CAAAAACAGAGTTTTATCGCGTGAGGCTCCCTTTTATTGCTTAGCGGGGGCTCACCGGCTCCTGGGCCGGCGGGATCCATCACGCTAGTCCTGATAAGGCTAGGCGGGGCTGGACTTTGTCGAGTCTGCAGCCAATTGCAGAGTTCCGTTTTCTCAGCCGTCTGGCCCTTGTGCACACCGAAAGTCTCGACAGGACACAACGCGACTGCTTTTTCGCTGCCGGAGTGCAACCAAGTGCTATATATGCACCTGATCCATATTCAGTGTTATAGACGCGCTCCACGTTCCCAAACACCCCTCCCAGTCAAAAAGATGGAGTAATCGTGTCGCTCATATAAGCTTTGGACCCTGCGCTCTAACGTTATTCACATGACACGTATTTTTCAAGAGACTGATCTGAACACATCATGTGATGGCACTAGATCTTCTTGGCGTGCTGTTGAAGGATCCAATTGGCTACTTAACGCCAATCACACATGCATAAAATCTCCACTGTGGAGCTTATTGCCGCTTAGCGCTTGACCCCTGGAACAAGCGCCAAGGATACACGCCAAGCCTGTTGCACACACTCATCTGAAATACGCCAAACAGTAGGCGAAGCAGCCAGCGCATCACAGAAGACGTAGGCTAGTGCAACGAAAGCGTACTTGTTTAGCTCCTGCTGTGGTCAGCGGGAGGGTTCTTTCCCCTATAATACATGTATATTATATCCCCATTCTCCCACCGCCGTTCTACAAGAGAAGTGATCGCCACATAAATGTGATGTTATCAAGTGGCGGGACCCCATCTTCTCGAGTTTCACTTGTGGAGCTGGGTCAAGTCACCGCAATTTTTCTCATCGATTGGACGCTACGTGGATACTTCCGTTCCTTATTCCCATGCCACGAGCCATCTGGGGACTCTAAAAGTAGTACAGATTCCCGGCGCTGGTAAGTTTCTCCCAGATCGAGGTTCTGTTTTTGCGTTGCCGAAAATGGGGCCGAAGCTTTTCCGAAGCAGATCAAGGTTATACAGGGCTTCCTTGTGTTTTCAATATGTGGGGATGAAACAGAAGCCAAGCAGGAGGAATGGAAACGTGAAGATATGTAACTTGGACGGTATACGGAGTATACTATTATAGTAGGATCATATTATACACATTTCAGGGAGATTATGACACAATCCTATTACATCTCAAAGTTCATATCAGCTGCTGACCCTTGCAAGAGGGTCTCCCATTGAGACCAGTCAACGGGGTTATCCGGTAGCGCATAAGATGGTACAGCACTGGAGGAAGGCATGTTTGGCATCAATCCGTACCCATTAGTCATCTCATACGTGGGTACTGCCATATTTGTAGGCGGAAATAAGGGTGGTGTCGCTGAAACCTGGTTCTGACCACCAGCCGGCGGATATGTTTGAGCACTGTTTTGCCCACTGGTAGTCGCTACCTGGGGTGACGACGCCGATGATGGAGGAGCAGATGCCATTCGCCGAGCTCGAAGGGGTTCAATGAAGCAAGGGGGCACAATGGTGTCCTGGCTAAGACCACCCGACGCTCGTGCAAGAGATGCCTTCCTCGCGTCCCAGGCCTTCAGAGTGAGGTTCCCAATTGCGATATAGAGCGGGTTCTTGGCCTCTGATAACAGCTCTGGTTTAGAAGTATACACGTTCCCAACTTCCTCCCATGCTCTGTCGACCTGTTCCCCTTCTGTACGTGTCTGAAGCTCGTTCAGTAGATGGATGAATGCATGCCACTGGAAATTTGCAGTGACATGCCAGTAGTATCGTTGGATGCCAGGGGTCAGGCGGAAAGTATGGTAGTTTGCTATTATTTGCAGGGTATCGGCGAACAAAGCGTCGCGTACTTCTTGCGAATTTTGGGCATCTCTTGAGAATGATCGTGCTCTGAATCTCAGCATTACGATGCAGCTATAGCCGACTACCCAGGTCAAAAGATGGAAGGATATCGACGTATCACAATATTGCATATACTTGTCCTGGAGAAGTGCCTCTAAGGCATCAATTCGTTTAAGCCGGTCACTCAATGTTATTGACTTGTCGGTCACTGCTCCCCAGGCCCCGTCAAATGTGTTCCGGGAGGCTAAGTCACGAAGTAATAGGCCTACTTCATACCGCACCAGACAAAAGCTCATTTCAGTTATTCCCTTGTGCTCTATCGGTAGGTCGCGCATGCCGGGCGTTATTTCGGAGTCGTTAACATTGAGTGGAAGTTTGGTATCCCAAGACGAACCAGCGGCTAAGGATGCGCCCATGCCGCATAATTCTCCGCAGAGGCCATCAAAATATACAGTGGGCCACCACAGACGCCGCCGCATCTCAACCTCAAATATAGGCAAGCCAAACCGAGCACCATCCCTATGGAGCCCCAAGCGTTGTGCTATTCGCATAGCTACACCACTATACACCCATAACGTCTGTGCGTCTACGAATTCTCTTAGGGAAAGCTAAAAAATTCCTTTTCGTCAGCAAGACCAATGTAGAAGAGTTACCTTCACACGTACCAAGTATAGAAGAAATGCTCGGTACACCGTCAAATCCGAGCTGGTAAGGAAATCAGCCCTGACCAATGCACGCTTGGCTCCCAGATGGAACCGGCTAAGTAGCGCCTCTCGTGTTTCCCCGAGTCGAGAAATGCAGTCATCTTCCCGCAGAGAAGCAACCGCACATGTATAAATGCCGAACATGAGCGCCTCGACATCTTTAGGTATATTGTCCAGGTCCGATGTTGCGTCCAATATCTGCTGCTGGACTGTTGGCTTATGGCACAGCTTCGTCACCGGGTCCATGTTGTCAATATATATCTGCCACAGCTTAAAAATCTGTACCGTATGAGGATGTAGGGCGCGCAGACTTCCTGACCCTCCAGTGGACCCAGCAATAATGAATTCTCCACCATCCGAGAGAGGGGAATCTTCAAGTGACAAGAAAGGGTCTCCATTACTATTGGCATTATCTCCTGCGACGTCCAAAATCGTATCTGGATCTCCAATCTCACTGCTCAAATTCACCCATAGGCTGTTTTCTAGGAGATGAGTCTTGCCATCCCTGATTATCATGCGGCCAAACTGGTTTTTCAAGTCTTCCTCCTGGTCTCCATCAGGGTCTGTTTTACTACCACTACCAGAGTTGTAGGTCAACCCTGGAGCCTCCGGAGCCGCATGCTGGCTATCAGATTTATGTTCATCGATATTGCTCACATCCACTCCTAATCCTACGAGGAGTTCTTCATATTTGCGCAGCCTAGCAAGCAGGGTTTCCTCTGGGGACCGTCGCTTGCGTCGTTTTGGTGCTGGTGGCGGGCGATATATACAGTTGACTTCATACTTGCGACAGCCTGAACATGGGCTCTGCCGGTCACATCTGACTTTTCGCTGTTGGCATAAAACACAGGCATATGGCTTCAGCGTTGGAGGGGCAGGGTCCGCCGCCACTGTCGACGACATGATGTGGGTATCGAATAACTAAAGGGTATTATGCATAAAAACGCTGGAGTTATCCTCCTCTCCTGCTTCTGTAGAAGAGATTTTTCTTCATGCGTATCCTAGCAATGCCTTCTCGCATTGTCTTAACTACACGCTGTTGACCTGATCCTCCTCCGCCGTCTGCTGGAAGAATTGAGGTGGATTCCGCCTATCACGTGACCTTAAAGTCACGTGGGTATCTAGCCCCTTTTTGTTAAGTTTCCAATTCAATAGTTTGCTTAGTAATGAGAGTGAAGAGAGGAAATCTCAAAATATTATTGGGTCTTGAATTTTGCTAAATATCACCAATCAGACCTTCGGTTAATTCTGGACAAGCAATTGTGGGAAAAGTAGGCCCGCATTCCCGTGAAGTCACCAGGGGTGATGTCTTTGTGGCTTAAGGACAGGAAAAGAGTGCAAATTTCATTATTACATCGAAGATGGATACCCCATAAGCTCATGAAGACCAATCAGACCATCTATCTTTTGGGATGATACTGTTGACCCCTGTAAACTAATTCATAGTGATTGATCCAGGGCCATGAGATATTACCCATACATAATCCTGATTGAAACACATACCATCCATAATTATAGGGTTAACAGCTGGCCTTGCATTGAGAGAGACTTGAATTGGCATAAAATACAGGTTGTATGGCTATGTATGGGTATACCAACATGAAATATGCACTTACTTCTGGCTTTTTGTCTACTACTTGACGTGTCTTGAAGTGCGTGCAAAGATATGGTTAAGTTGTCACTTTCCCTAGGAATAAGAATCATCGTTGGACCATCTGAACTGTTACTATGGTTTGCAACATGACCTGTGGATAAGTCACCTGGTTGAATGCCGGAAGGCAGGACATTGTTGACGTTTGCAAAAAGTGCGCCATCATCTCCAGACCGGCCATACAGATTCGTATAGAGATCCCGCGTCTCGTTATCTAGATAGAGCCGTTTTCTTGGTCTCGTTAGTATAAGCTCCGTTTCTGCGTCTTAACAGTTAGCTCACTGCTATTGTCATATATTCCTCTATCGGGGTGCCTTACCAACCCCCTGTTCGTTCAGAAATCTGGATTTGGTGGAAACCTCGGAGTTTGTTATGTTTGATGAAAGTTCAGGAACGAAACTGCTATGGAGTTGGGTAAGAGTATCGGTGGCATCGGCGTCCTGGGTATCATGATCATGAATGCGTTCAGATTCCATTCAATGGGCTCTCTCCATTCCAGTGGCGAGTGAATTGACGGTATTTTCGCTCGTCAACAACACTGGCTATATACATGTGTTGAAACCATGTTATCGAGTCTTCATCTTGTTCTGTGCAAGCCTCTATACAGATACGCAATCTGCCTCGTATCTACATTGGTGTCGCGATCCCTTAAATTAAACAAAGAAGCAAAATAAAATGATGGGACGAAAGTAATTGTAGAAATTTTGCCGTATTATTAATTTCAGCAGTTCATTCATTTATCCGTGTTAGATAAGTTTATCTATTTACATTATTATTATAGCCATACTATATAAGATTCAAGAAATGAGACCCCACGAACCCCAAATAATGCGCCTTTGCCGAGATGAATCCAGAGAAGAGTGTAGAAGAAAATTCATGCCACGATAACCGGGTCTAATTATGCTTTTTCCTGTCCTTTCACACTCTTCACTCAATAGTGAGCGCACCAAGAATGGCAACGCAGGACATTGCCAGGGCAATGTAGTAAGTTTTGACCACTGAGTCGTTATACACTTCCAATACCAGCCTGAGAGTGTTTGGATCTTTAACGAGATCACGGATAGTGGTAGCGCCAACCTGAGCAAGGTTGGCTGCATCGAGGCTGGGGATATGCTGGAGCCCGGAGGTAAGTTTATTTGTGAAGATGTTTTGAGCGACTGAAATAAAGATCGTTCCGCCGAGCTGTTGAGCAAAGAAAATCAAAGAGGAGCCTATTGGAACGTCGACCTTGGACAGGACTGTCTGGCATGCGACAGAGCCCTGTTGCATACCCATTCCCAACCCTATGCCGTAGATAACCTGGTAACCAATCCATTTTGCGTGGCCAGTGTCGGTTTGGAAGGTGGTTAAGAGGCCGGCACCCACGGATGAAAGGACGCAACAGCCGATCATAAAGGGGGCGTAGTATCCAATTGCCGTGACTAACCCTCCGCTCATAATCACTCCAATGACTAGGGATAAGATCATGGGGAGGTTCATAATGCCAGATTTGACAGCGCTAACACCTTTGATAGCTTGGAACCAGAGCGGGAGGTAGTAAATGATCGTCATCATCGAGGAGCCAAGACAAATTGTGAACCAGAAGGCGGAAAGAACACTGCGCTGGACGAATATGCGGGGTGGGACGGTTGCTTCCTCCTTGCGCCAGATCTGGACGGCGATAAAGGCAATGAGAAGGATGCCAAAAACGACAAACAGCGCAATGATTCTCCCACTTGACCAAGGGTATGTTGTGCCTCCCCACTGGAGGGCAAGGAGAAGGCAAATAACGCTCGGCATGAAGCAAAGAGTGCCTAAGGGGTCCAATTTGAGGAATTGTTGGTACAGCGTCAAGCTTGCTGTGCTCTTTCGAGGGATGTTGATGCGGAGGAGGAAAGTAACGATGACCAAGGTAACGGCTCCAATGGGAAGATTGATGTAAAAACACCATCTCCAAGTGACTTTGTCGGTAAACAAGCCACCAAGTAAAGGGCCAGCAACGGAAGCAATACCAAACATACCGCCCATCAAACCAGTGTACATCGGCCGCTTGCGCAAGGGAACACTATGGACGATGATGATTACAGTCCCTGAGAAGGCACCAGCCGAACCAAGCCCGGCAATAGCTCGGCCAATGATAAAGGCTGTTGAGTTAGGAGCTGCGCCGCACACTGCTGAGCCGACCTCAAAGATCACGATCGCAATGAGGTAGACCCATTTGGGGGAGTAAAGCTGGTAAAATTTGCCAAAGAGTAGCATGAAGGAGCATCCAGTGAGTAAATAGCTGCTACCATACCAGCCAATATCTTGAATGGAATGGAACTGATCTGTGATCTTCGGGATAGCGGTAGCGATAATAGTTCGGTCCTACGGTGATGTTAGAAGAATGCATTATTGATGGTAAAGGGTGGAAAAGGGTAGACTTACCAGAGCGATAAGGAACACAACTAAGTAAAGTGCTATCATGATGGGGATAACTTTCTTTGCTGACGGGTACTGGGAGTCATCTTGCACGACAACCTTCTCCTCGGTGCCAGTGCTCTCCTCATCGATAGAACGTTTCTCTGGTTCCCCCATGGCTGGACGTAGAACAACAGACTCGTTAGGGTAACGATAAAAAGCAGATGTATCAATCAGTCTGGTGGTAATGATAATGATGTGCTGTATTGAATATTTGATGATCTCTTGATGTGATGGGTATTTCCACCATGACATGTCAACAGGCGCAGCATGACTGTTTATTATATACTGCAACTTTTCGTGTACTTTTAAACCGGCCAGCTCTTCGAAACAAACTCCGAGATGATAATGTATCTGCCTGAGTCAAAGGCATGGAGCAAGAAAACTCTATGATCTTAACTCCGGCGATCGACTTTTCCCGTGGTTCGGAGCGGAGCGCCCTTGGCTTCGGCCCCGAGACGGGCGTTTCTGGGCGCCGACATCTTCTCGGGGCCATATTAAAAGCTGGTGCATCCAGCGAGGAAGTCATATTGGGTCTATCTCGTGCCCGAAGTATATGTGCAGCCTTATGGACCTCCTCATTGCTCCTGCGGCCGAACAATGCGTTTGTACCTGCGAACTGGATGATTATCTCGATGTTGACAACTGCGAACTTGGGAGAAAATGAGAGAGAAGGGCTGCTGACTCATCCGGGAAGTCGGCGTCTATTAAGCTCCGACATCACGTGGAGACGGGAGGCTTGGCTCAGGAAGGCTTAAAAGCTTGATTTCGTTGTTTATTTTTAGTGTTTTTCACTTTCCTTCGCTTTGATTGGACGGACTTTACCTATTCTCCTTCAGTCACGGAGTTAGCGGAGACATCTCACGCACATACTTATGAAGGCTCTCTGCTTCCTGTTCTCAACGAAGGACAGGATTATCTTGCTTATCTTGAAAAATACTTGATAGATAGCCCTATCTAAAGGAGAACACAGATATAGTGAGTAACCAACGTGTTCTTCAACATTGTGAACCACGTATGGCTCAAACTCAGCAAATCCTCACACAAACATCACCCAATCACAACCGGGTACTTCCCGGTTTAGGATTCTAGATAGATGTAAGTAAGTACGGCACATGTTTTATCTGAAACTACTCCCATATCAATTACGAATGCTGTCATTCCTGAGACTTGGACGACGAGTAGGAGCTTCCAGATACTTGTCACAGGTCCATTACTGTGAGCCTTGTTGTAATGTCAACTCCGGGGACATAGTAATCAACTATACAGATTATAAGTATTGTCAACGTAACAAATATAGTCGGGAGAAACTACATAGAAACTTACCAATGAAACTATAACTACTGAAACTAGCTGGAGCATCGGCTAGCGAGCTGGCTGTGACGGTACAGACACCATTAGGTGAGGCAGGGGACCCCTGGCTTTCATCACGCTAATAAGCGTACATTCCCTGCACCAACTGAGGCAGCAACGAACATTCACGCCTTGATTACGTTTTCGGTCGCATGGCTCATAGTCGCGGAGAACGACCCTCCGAAACTCGTATTCATGACTGCCTTGCCTACAATATTCCTTCTGGTGACAACACTACTACTCCAATCCAGCCCCATTGTTATGCCAGAAATGGAACCAGATCCATTGTTATCCAGAATCTTGACACTGGACCACCAAGGCCTTTTTGACAACTCCCTAGACAGTTCCAGCTATTATTTCGGCAACAGAGGTCCCATGACCTTCTGTCACCATCTCCATCAGGCGTGGCATTGATTCCCTGGATAGCACGGCCTCTCAGGCCACAGTTGGTGCCATCAACTCCAGTATCCCGTGAACATTCTGCCCTGCTCTTTCTTCATAAACGTATTGGGGGGCAGGATGCAGCTTCTTATGCGATATGGTGGGCTCCCTAGACTTTACCACTCACTCCAACATGCATTATACTCCTGGTAAGATACCATATTCCGTACTACTTACCATCACCTTCCGACATGCCCCGGTCTGCTAAACGTAGTTGAAGTCATCAGAGCAGGAGGACTCCCATACATCCTCTCTTTCTCCGGAGCCAGTGGACGTGAAGACAAGGGAGTTGGGGCTAGAACATTATCCTCCGCAAATGCGTTAGTCAGGACATGGGTATTTGGGACCTAGGGACTTTGACCAAGGGAGTTATAATAGAGGTAGAAACTGATCCTTAAACTTAGGACTTCAACTGGGCATTTTGAGAGCGTACAAAGATGGCGGAATACGAGTAAATAAGCAGCAGAATTTTCCCTTTCGTACCCATCATTCTCTCCAGACCTTGCCTCCTGGCTTATTCCCCTTACTGGCTCCCCTTGACTTAGGTGTAGAAAACTCTCTGTACTGTGTTAGAACCCAACTATATATCTTTAAGCAGGTGCCCCTTAGACTTAAGGCTTTCTCACCTTGAACTTTGAGAAGTGAGACTCTCTTTGTCTCAGTAGATGTTCTTGTATTTTATCTCTTAGCTTCTCACGTTGTGCAGCTCGGCAGTCCTTCTTATGCACACTATGATGCTCTCTGCGGCACTCAAGCGAGCAGTACCTATTATAGTAAAAAAGAATATTAGAACCTTTGGTACATCTGGAGATAGCTACCATCTAGCCCTAGGCGAATAGACTAATACGCTGTGTAAATAGAATAAGTGAAGTGTATAGAGAAATACTTACCGAACTACCTTGCAGCCGCTACAAAGCATAAGGCCTTCAGTGCTTCCACACATCATACAGGAGGGAGAAGGTGGCGTGGCGAGGCCAGAAATATAGGTGTCGCGTAACTCGGCTGTAAGTCGCCCAGCTTTTTGATCGCAAGATCCAGCAGTCCGGCAAATAGGCACACCATAGCCCCAGACGGATCGACGGATGGGGTCAATGGTCCCGGCCTCAGGAGACAGAAAAGAGACGACTACCAGGTTGAAAGTTGAGGCTTTGATACCGCAGAACTGGCAGTCCCAGGGCCTCATGGCAAGTAGATCGGCATGATGGCGCGCAGCCAAGTTCGCTACAAAGCGGCAGGCTAAATGGGCCGATTCAGGGGAATGTCCAAAACCAGGCAGGCAGATGGCTCTAGGAGCAAACTCGGCGAAGGCGAACTTCAGCCCATCTCCTCCGTTGACTCCAGGATGACGGACACCGCAAAGTCCCTCATAGACAAAGGGAACAAGCTGTCTAGGGGGGTTAAGGACTTCACTAGGAGCTTCGCGGCCAGGACGCGACATTTTGATAACTGTCATTTAGCGCTAAGGAGGTTCAAAGCAAGTATCAAAGAAGACGAGAGGAAGAGGATAAAGTAGATAAAAAGAGGCAGAGGAAGGGGAAGCTGAATATCACCACTCCTCTGTGGCTTGGTGAAATCCAGGGTGTATTTTCATGAGGCGCGAAAGGAGGACACTAAGGTGTGTTTGTTGTTATGTCCTCTAGGGAGCTTTGGTTGTCTCGCTTATGACAAGCTGACAGCCCTAGCTATTTTACCCTTCCGAATAGAAAGATATACTTCCAACCAAACGTCCCCCCTTCTAGGTATTCGGGTATCACTTCGCCAAAAGATAGTAACAGCACGTATTTAAAGTTATAGATAAATAGAGATTGAATAATTTTTATACATAGCCAGTGGCTATATAATCGATAAGGCAAGGAAAATGAGTGAACAGACCTAATGAATGAAAAGATGTCACGTATGATCTAAAATTAAACGGGCATATTCAACAAACCATGTATATATGGACAAAAGGAAGTGAAAAAGAAGCAGAAGATAAAGACGTAGAATCAGTCATGCAAAATAAACGTGAGGCAATGTGTAGCCAAGGCAGAGTGGTTGGGTATTTACTCTGGCTTCTTGCCAACCATAAGGAACATAGGAGTGAAGAGCTTCATCTCTCCGCCCTTGACTAAACAATCAGCAGCGTATGCAAGGCTGTCTCCAGTCTTCTGAGAGCCTTGAGGGAAGAGACCCAACTTCTCCATGGAGCCGAGGACGCGGTGAACTATGGAGCGACCCCACCAGGTCATTCTCATGATGGTAAAAAGATCTCCAATTGAGGACATGTGCTTCCAGGAACCAGCAAGGGGGTAGTACCATGGGCTGGGGTCAGGACGGTTGGCAAGATCTTCAACTTTAAGGAGCTCAAAACCGGCGGCCTTCATAGCCTCGACAGCAACGGATTCCTTGACCATGTTTGAGATACCATCTCCCTGTTCGATTCCAAGGCGAATCTCTCGGTGAACAGGATTGTCGTTGTCGTACTGATCAGTCATGACCCATTCATAAACGCCAAACACACCACCTGGCTTCAAAACCTTGAAAATCTGAGAATAAACACCCTCTAGAGAAGGGGCGTGAACGGTAGCCTCGATAGCGTAGACGGCATCAAAGGTATTTGGTTCAAAGGACATTTGCATAAAGTCACCCTTAACAAATCGCAACTGCTTAGAGAGACCTTCTCTCTCTGCGTAACGCGTGGCACGCTCAATTTGATAATCGTTATTGTTCAAACCGACGATATTGACACCAGCGAATTTGGCGATCTCTCTAGCAGGGCCACCAACACCGCAGCCAACATCCAGTACAAGCTGGTTCTCTTTTAGGCCGATCGAGTGTGCTAGATAGTGTTCATGTCTGGCAATGGCTTGACGGAAGGGTTCACCGTAGGCGAAACGGCAGAAATGGAATGAGCTTCCCCACCCGTATTCGTAAAAATCGGTGGCTAGGTTGTAATAACTAGATGTGATTGTCAGAGACCCCCCGCGTCCATTATTGCCATTCTATAGACAACTGCAGCAGAAACTTACTGTCTGGTGAGAGTAGCATATTCAGCTCTTCGTGCCTGCAGAATGCGATACCCACTTAGCATGGTGATTGCAATAGTCAGTGGAGATAGCGCACCTCTCTGGTTTCTTCAGTCTCATCAGCAGAGGGCTTCTTGTCCCAATGCTTGAAATACTCATCGACAGCAGCCTGCTGAGCCTTCTTATCCTTTCCCATCATAGCAGCAAGGCCACCCTGGGCCTTACTGGTGTTGCCGTGCAGGACCTTGTTAAAGGCCGCATCGCGCTCATGGTTCTCGGCTTCAAGTTGAGTAGACGACATCGTGGTATATCGGTTTTATTCTTTCAATCAGTGTGGATAACGAGCAGGAACAATGGTCGAGGATGTGCGATAGCAAGCGAAAAAAGGGGGTTGTTGTTGTTGTTGTGAGTTGGCAGTTTCGAATATCTTGCTTGCTCGCACTTTTTTTTTTTGCATCTCGAAAATGAAAAGAAAAATTAATTTTCCCAAAAGGGGCTCAGAGGCTTGGCATCAAGCTGTCCCTTTTTGGGTTAGCTCAGCTTCCAGTCATGTGATCCGGAGCACCGGGCTCTTCCTTTTTTGGATCATGTCATTATCACGTGAATAAATACATGACTAATGAAAATGACTAATTCAAATTACTAATCAAGTCTACTCCGCTGGAAACGAACTTGAAGATAGAAAAAAGCAGAAGAAGCAGCAAGACATACAGCAGCGAGAGGGACATTCATAGCCGCTCTGTACTCGAAGATGCCTCCCCAGATCAAACAAGATATCAACCGGTCCGGATGGGAGACCACAGATTTTCCGTCCGTGTGCGAACAATGTCTCCCCGAAAACCCCTACGTCCAGATGCTCAAGGAAGACTATGCCGCCGAATGTAAAATCTGCACTCGGCCTATGACTGTCTTTCGATGGAAGGCAGATCGGACGTCTCGAACGAAGGCGACAAATATATGTCTGACGTGCGCGCGACTGAAGAACTGCTGCCAGTGCTGCATGCTGGATCTTTCGTTCGGTCTGCCCATCGTTGTTCGAGATGCGGCTTTGAAAATGGTTGCTCCGGGCCCACAAAGCTCAATCAACAGAGAGTATTATGCACAGGAACACGAAAAGGAACTGGAGGAAGGCAGGGGAGCGGTTGAGGAATATGAAAAGACGGACGAGAAAGCACGAGAGCTGCTACGGCGCTTGGCCAACAGTGAACCGTACTACAAGAGACAGAGGAGGTTAGAGGCCAGTGGAGAGGCCAACAGCTCCAGCGCGGCTGCAGAAGAAGGACAGCGGTCATCTGAACCGGAGAAGATAGGATATGGACCCGGCCCGGGTCCTGTGCGGACAAGTGACCTGCGTCGCGGCGCTGGTCGAGGCAGAGGCGGTGGCCGAGGCCGTGGAACACGCCCATACCCCCCAATATCTCAACGACCTCCAGGGCCACAGGACATCGAACCACCCGCAGACCCCAATATTACTTCCTTATTCATTACCGGAGTGGAAGACGACCTCCCCGAACACGCCCTCCGCACATTCTTTACCCCCTTTGGTACCATAAGATCGCTCGTCTGCTCGCATAGATCACATTGCGCATTCATCAATTTTGCGTCACGGGAATCAGCAGAAGCGGCGGCAGCCAAGTGTCAGGGCGTTGCGGTGGTCCAGGGGTGTCCCCTGCGAGTTCAATGGGGAAAGCCTCGTCCATTGGATAACATGGAGAGAGACGAACGGATACAAAATGCGCGTCAGGGAAGGCAGACAGTTGCTGCCGTCAAGGGTGGAGGATATAGAAAGGCAATTACTCAGAGTTCATCCGCACAGGAGGGAGACGGAGAGTCAGATGTCAAGGCTAGTGATCAAAGTTACGTCGTGGCGCCGCCGCCTGGCCGTGGAGAGGTCCAGTACGCAAGCATGGCTGGAGATTGATACCATTTTTTTTGGTACCTTTTGTTTTCATTTCCAATATCTTTAATAATGTATTCCTGGGAGGCATTAGCGTTTTCGTACTGGCGTTTTATCTACTGGCAAGGTGTGAAATTAAGAATCGTGGAAAGAAATGAAAATAAAGCATATGATACAGCTGATTTTGAGCTTTACAAGTGTGTCAACACAGTCTATTGTACATGGCTAACTTGAAGTGGAATGATATATAAAAACGCCAAATAGTGCATCCAAACGCCTCCGCTCCGAATGTTGAATATCCCAATTGACATCTGGATTTAATAATACTTTCGACGCCATGGCCGAATCCGAACCCCGGCTTTGAACAGGCTCGGCGTGTTCTCCCTGATGCTCCAGCAATATTATGAGGAGCAGCATCCCTTTCCAACCTTGACTGGCTTCTCACCGGCGGCTTTTATAGTATCATTGTCTCCGCGCTCCGTATATTCGTGTATCCGCAAAGCTGTAAATTGAGAATAGATTAGTTATAGCCCAAACACCACGGTGTTCAAGGGAAACATACAATATCGATCTACCTTCTCTCCGCCCTCGTCCTTAGTCTCTATTTTTGTCCCTTGGACAATATTTGTCTTCAGGATATGGGCTGTTTCGAGCGCATGTTGAATTTTCAATGGAGTATCAACGCCGAGTTGTCGGTTTTGTTCAAATTGTTTACGAGCCTCTGCTCGAGCAGCGTGAAGAACGGGATAATCTCCTAGATACCATATTAGCGCATCAGGTTTATTCAATGCAGCCATGAAATCACATACCATTGAATGCAATCCGAGTAGCCCGGAGAAGTTGACGGTATGCGCTGAGGGCGGACACCGGGCTGGTTGCTGCGGCCATAGAAACTTATTTAAATGCCGAGACAGGAACGGTGGAAACGAAAAATAACAATGAGAGGTATAAATGATCACCAAAAGCTAGATTGTCTCCGGTTTCATATCTGGTATTCGTAGTTTGATGTCTCTTCCTTTCGTCTTTTCTTCATCCCCGGCATAGAAGAGGTGATGGTCCAAAACGGACTAGCGCCACATCCATCGATATTTTTTTTTTTTTTTTTTTTTTTTTTTTTTTTTTTTTTAACAAAAACTTCATCCCACTTTTGAATAGCGAAGAAGAAGAGACAACAAGGTTGATAGACGATCTAAGTGAAGACTGCGGCAAGATGTCGAGCATAGAGACTGTCCACCTACCGCTCCCTCGCCTTCCTGAAGGTTGGGCTGCTGAAGACAAAGACTTCAAGGCAGTAGGATGCTTGTCCGCTGCAACCAGACGCAATGTTGAGCCCGTTGGTCCGCACTTTTTAGCCCACGCTCGCCGTGTAAGTCATGCCAATTGCATAATATGATAGCATTATACCGCTCAGTTATCTGATATATAAATTTCTACGCTTATAGAAGCGCCATAGACGAACTTTCTCTGAGGATGAGCGAATCCTTGCACAGGAGAATGTCAAGAAGATCGAGGAAGACGATGCCGACGAGATCAGCGAGCCAGAGGATCCAATGATGCTACAGAGAGATGCTAAGGACTGGAAGGTATGTGTTGTGTATCGAGTTTGATGTCTTGCCGATTGGATACTGTTGCTAACTGCTCCATTTGCTATCTAGGGCCAAGATCACTACGCTGTGCTCGGTCTTAGCAAATACCGATGGAGAGCTACCCCCGAACAAATCAAGAAGGCCCACCGCAAGAAGGTCCTCAAACATCATCCGGACAAGAAGGCTGCTGCAGGTGCTGGTGATGAGAACGACAGCTTCTTCAAGTGCATTCAAAAAGCCACCGAAATTCTGCTTGACCCTGTCCGTCGACGCCAATTTGACTCTGTCGATTCCGCTGCAGATGTTGAACCGCCAAACCCTAAGAAGAAAGGGGACTTTTTCAAGCTCTGGCATCCGTTCTTCAAGGCTGAGGCTCGTTTCTCTAAGATTCAGCCTGTTCCTATGATTGGAGACGATAACAGCACGAAACAGGAGGTCGAAACTTTCTACAACTTTTGGTACAACTTTGACAGCTGGAGATCATTTGAGTACGAAGACGAGGATGTACCGGACGATAATGAGAACCGTGACCACAAACGTCACATTGAACGCAAGAACGCCAATGCCCGTAAGAAGAAGAAGACAGAGGACACCGCCAGGCTACGACGAGCTGTCGATGATGCCCTCGCCGCCGATGCCCGAATTAAGAAGTTCCGCAAGGAGGAACGTGCAGGCAAAGACAAGCGAAGACTCGAGAAGGAAGCTGAAGCTAAACGCCTAGCCGAAGAAAAGGAGAAAGCTAAACTTGAGGCAGAACGACTGGAGAAGGAACGCGAAGAAGCCGCCAAAACCGAGCGAGCCGAAGGCAAAAAGGCCAAAGAAGCCGCCAAAAACGCAGCTAAGAAGAACAAGCGTGTACTCAAGGGCAGTGTTAAGGAGGTCAACTATTTCGCAGAAGGAGACCCGTCTGCGGCTCAGATCGACAGCGTCCTCAGTGACGTTGAGCTGATCATGAGCAAGATCAACAACGAGGAATTGGCCACTATTGCATCAAAGCTTACTGCTGCCGGCAAGGATGGTGCTGCTGTAAAGGGCATTTTTGCTGCAGAGGTCACCAGGCTAGTTGGCTCTGGGGCCCTCAAGGAGGGCGATATAAAAACACTGACTGCTTAGATTCCTTTTTTTTCTTCCTTTTCTTCCTTTTTTTGATTATGGAGCAGAGAATCGGCTTCCTGGTTCAGATGAGATATAGATGGCAACGAACTGGCTTTTATAATCCTCCAAAAATAATGATATTTTTATCCTGACTAGACTCCCTGGAACCCCGGCGTATAGTTAACTCTGCTGCATCCGCCTAGCCTTATACGTCGTGTTTGTATCATTGTTTGCCAGCCGAAAAGGTATCAAAGTAGATGGTTCGGCGGTAGCTAACCAGTTAAAGATATTAGGTATTCACAGTTACCTGCTGCAGGTTGATCCGACTCGACCTCCTCGTCTCTCCACCATCGACACCGTCGCTCATCCCTGCTTCTAGAGGGCGCCCATTAGGTATCAACAACAACGGTGTCCTACGCTGCTCCAGTCTTTTACCTATCATTGCGTAGCAATGATGCAAGTGGCGCATCTCGCCGCTTCGAACGACTGTCTAGAAGAAGCTTATACCCCATCGTCGATTAACTCCCGGATGTAGCTTTATGAAGTCATCATCATCAACAAACAGAGCAAAACTAGGAGAAACAGGTCCCTCTGACCTTGCTACTCATCCATGGTAACAGATTCATTGTCTACAGGGAGAAGACTGGATCAAAAGCCGCCACCGGGTCTCCTGATGCCTCCAGCATCACCTTGCTGAGTGATTAGCTATGCTATCGAGGCAAACTTTTCCCCCTCTTCTCTTAAAAAGAAGACCTTGCCATCCGATTCCGTGGAAGATTTACCTCTTCTCTCTACCTTTTGGTTGGGATCCCTCTGCTGCATGAAATAATTGACATCTCGATTGGAATATCTATTTCGCATTTGGTAACCCCAACGACTTCGGAATATACGGAATCTCCTGTTTTGAAGCTCCAGTCCCGATATAACCACCGCCAATATGGGACTCATGTCTACTCTTGTCCGTGTGTTTTTGATGGGCAGTCGCTTTATGCAGTTTGCCTGCGCTGGTATTGTTCTTGGAGTCAGTGCCTGGTTCATCCACCGGTATGGAGCGAATGGCCATCTCAAATATGATATAATTATAGTACGTCTCTCCCCGTCCTCGTGGTTCATGGCTGAGGATCGCTGACAAAGTGGGCTCATGGTGCAGTCCGTTCTATCAATCGTCTTCTTCCTTCCAGGCTTGCTCTCACCTATAATTAGGACACTTGGGTTTATGACTTTCTTCATTGACCTGGTTTTCTCCTATCTGTATGAATCACATGTGTCATTGTTGGATAGAACACTTGCTAACCGTCGAAACTTTTCCACTATAGGTGGTTGACTGCCTTCATCTTTGCCGTACAAGACTACAGCAGGAGTGATTGCACCAATACTTCTCCTCGTGGTGGAAGCTGCAAGTACAAGAGACTTATCGAAGCCTTCACCATAGGAGCAATGTTAGTACTATCATCACAAGTTGTCAAACAGGCGGCTACTAATTCTTGATCACTAGGTGGTTCTGCATCTGTTCTCTGGTCCTAGAGGTAATGAACGTCATGAGCCATCACCGCGAGAAGAACTCATACGATGGTGGCCATCACAAGGACATACGTCGATCCGGGGATACCGGCCGCAATGATACGTACGGGCGGCATATCTAACTTGTGAACCTGTTCCATTGCTATTCCAACTAGTATGCATGACGAGGGGCTGCCTGGTCGTACTGTATCTACATCTGGGCGGAATGCAATAGAACCAAATCAGGTGTGAAGGGGAGGTGTTGAGGAATGGGCAGGTATCTACTAGTCAGTTAAAGCTGCTGGGGGCGGGAGGTCGATGCTGTTGGCGATATTTGCGTGTGTTTCAAAGCAAACCCCCATTTGGCCCACACATCTGCGAGATAATCTGTAATATCCAGATGGTGAGTTGAAGGAGCAGGGTGGAGGGTCTGGTTTTCCAAAATTGTCCCTCATTTTGTGAATTAGTATGCTATATACATATTGTATTAAGTCTTCAGCCTTTTAATTGATAATACATTGCATGTTTCATCCACCTTTCTAACCATTAGAGGGTAGACCGTAGTAAGATCAAATAGAGACTTTGTAGTTATGTATACATAAATCCATTAGACTAGTAAGCAGCAATATACAAGGGGTAGTCAAAGAGAAGAAAGGGAGAACAGGAGGGTGAAGCCATGAACAATCACCAGAAACAGAGAAAAACACCAAGAACACCGATTGCTCATGAGTGTAAATGCATAGGATGAATCATTAAACAGACATCCAGTATGAAACGCCGCTTAGAGTACAGAGCATTAATAGCGTGAGAATAGCTGCTCCAGCTGTATCGGCGCCGGTGATAGGCCTAAGTATCTTAGGCCCATTATCTTTCCCTTTACCAGAACCTCCGGGACCACCCAGGCTTATTCCACCAGAAGATTGCGTGACAGGAGGTATGACCTTGCGGATGAGATTAGATTGAAAGACTTCCATCGCAGCCATTTGCTCTCCAACACCAGAACTACCGTCAAAGTTCCCAGTGGTCCATTTAAGGCCACATATGGTTCCCTCTTCGCCTCCAGTACATGCCTTTGCTGCTCCTCTGGCGCAAGCGCGCAGTCTCCGCATGATAAAGTCGGTTGAAAAGGGGGCAAACTGTGTACTAGCTGCCATCCAGCGGGAAAGATAAGCCTTAAATGATCTCTGATCTGTCTCGCAATTGCCCTGTTCCTCACACGAAATCTCAGACATGATATGAGTCTCGGGGTGAAAGAATGGGCGCAGGCCATCTAAAATCCCTTGAACTCGTTCTGCCCATTTGGGACTACCGTCGGTCTATTAATGTTAGGTAAAAATTTCACAGAAGACAGAGCAAATTTATGGTAGCTTACATAGTTATACATGGCAGCTGCTCCGAGGAGGTATACCCCGGCATTGTAAGTCCACTGGAGTCTGTTGAGCTCTGTACAGTTCAATGTGTCACTTGAGCCATCGAAGAACTGATAGTTCTCGTTTATGAGTCCTATTGCCCTGGACCAATCCCATGTCATCTCTGCCCACTTCGCATATGTCTCATTGCCGGTATACCTGGCTAGTCGAGCGCCCATTTGGAAGAAGGCTCCGTTTGATATCGTGTTTTTATAGTTAAACCCTCTGTTAAACCGAAAGATCTGCCACTTCAAGCCTCCACCGCAAGTTGCGGTATCCCAGCGAGGTATCTGAGAGTTGAAAACAGCTTCAACTAGAGAAAGCCACTGCGGCTTATCTGATGGGGGGTTAGGAAATTTTCGTTCCGCGGCCGACATGGCTGCAATCGCCCAGAATGCCTGATCGTCGTTCCCTTCCGTCAAGGTTTGGTTAGGAGGCATGAAGTTGGAGTCTGGGCCAGCTTGCCAGAGCATTCCTTGAGTGACAATGTCGTTGAACTGGCTGTCTCCCGTATAGAACCAGTAATCTATCAAGCCACCGAACATAGCTCCTGCTTCCCACCAGAAGTAGGGGTCTGGTAGGTTTCCTGGTACACCTCCTGGCTGGTGACCGGTGTAGTATTTCATCATGGCCTTCGCAGCTGTCTTTGCAGCAAGTTTTATCGAGTCTGCGCATTATTAGTAGCCACGAAGTTAGCCTTGTAATGTATCTCGAGTAGTCAAAAGGTATACCTACCATCGCTTTCCAGGTCGAGTTTGATCGCCGACGCAAGCCAGGACTGTAGGAGAAGAAGCAGAATGACCCACCGAGGGGATAAAAAGGACAGACGCTTCAACTCCATGTCCGATAATCCTGTATCAGGAGCTTTCAGCCCGCGTCGAGGTACCGCTTGAACGAATCGAGTGCCTCTGGATGAGCATGAAGGTCGACCAACTGGTATAAAGTGACTATTACAACAAATCTAGCCTGATTTAAAGCCTAGAAAACGTGAATAGATCGAGGCAGAAGCAGGTGTGCGGGTATGTCGAGGCTATAAAGGCCAGATTTGAAGGCGTGAAGTCGTGAAGTCGAAGCTCAGGAAGTTAACAAAGCCCACGATGACTTCATCCGCGCGGAAGAGCCAAAACTCTCAATCGCACAACAACTTTTCGCCTTTTACGACGAATGCAGCGGACGCCATTTTCACTTATTTCATTATATATATGGACAATATATATAAATTTATGCACAGAATGAACGGTAAACCCGAGATGGTTATACCTATGCATCGTTTTTGATGGCTTTTACCGTTAAAAGCTGCCAAATCAACGTCATCCCACTGTCATCTAGCGACGGTGTCACAGATCAGCATAAGCCGTTATCGGCATCAGCAGTCTTGTCTGTGTCGTGTTCGATGTCAGAACGGACGAGAAGACTTCGTTCAGATATTTATTCCACTAGCGACGAGTTTACATGGTGGATTCGCTAGGAACTGAGCCGATTGGCGCGCAGATCGCAGCTAGGGTTACGAGAGATGATATCACCATGTCCTTGGCTTCTTAACGTGAACATATATTCGAGAGTTGACATTTTGAACTTGCTACAGGAGAAGGAAAGAAGAGGAAGAGACGAAAAGGAAAAAGAGTCATTCAGTCCAGTCTCATGCATCGTCCGTCTTGTGGTGGCCGTCAGGTCGGCCGCTCAGAGTATCGACCATCTCCCGGAATTTGAGCCAGAACTCGTTCTTGGGCCGCCGGTGCTCCCAGTCAGTGTCAGTCGCTTCCAGCCCGTCCTTACCACCAAGCGGACTGAAGACCACCTCGCTACCTCGAATGCCAATGACGACAGTAGACATGTCGTCTGCTACGATCTCGTCCGGGCTCTTGCCAGCATACTCTTCAAAATGTTGGATGCATTTAAGAGACATGCGAAGGGCGCGGATACGGTCCATGGGAGAGGGCTTTCCGCCTTGCTGGAAGTGACCTGGGACAGCGGAGCGGGATTCGAATCGTCCCTTAGCCTCTTCCTTGATCATGTCGGCTATCACTTGGGTGGTGTATGTGGCGGAGGCACGCTCGTTGCGTAGGATGATCTTGCCGGCGTGGTTGGCACCGCGATCGGTAGCAAAGCTTTTTCGTAGATTCTCGATGTCGTTGGCAAGCATCTTGATACTGATACCCTCTTCAGGGATATACACTGCGTATGCGCCGACGGACAACCCAGCGATGGTGGCAATGTAACCAGATCGTCCTCCTTGCGTCTCAATAACAAACACTCGACGTCGAGAGGAGGAAGCTGACTGCCTAATGACATCGCAAAAGTTAACCAGGGTGTTGAGACAAGTATCACTTCCCAGGGAGTATTCTGTTCCAGGAACGTTGTTGGAGATAGTAGCAGGTAGCTGGATCATCGGGATCTTGAAGGCATCATAGTCCTTTCTTGCTTTTCGCAATTGGCTTACAGCAGTGAATGCTTCAAAGCCGCCGATGACAAATAAGGCATCAAATTTATAGAGCTCAAAGCATTTTGCAGTGGTCTCCATATCCTCTGATGGGAGGCCACGGTTAGTACCAATTTCAGAGCCACCCTCGTTGACCCACGAGTCAGACTCGAGCCATTTGACCTCTCTCACAGAGCCCAGAGGTTTATCGTCATGATGCCTACAGAGACCTGGGAAGCCATTGTAGATTCCAATGGGGGTGTGGCCGCGAGCCAGACAGTACGCTACGGCACCTCGAGTAGCTGGGTTCATTCCACCAGCTGGAGCTCCGACATGAATAATAGCAATACGCATTCTCTGTCAACATCAAAATGATTAGCATCTATTATTAGCATCTCAGTTAAACGCTGAGCCATACCTTCGCTTCCGGAAGGAGTAGTTTTGGATGGTGTGGTGTGGTAGTGTTGATATATGCTCTGTGGAGAGCCATGAATTCAGAGTCACGCAGTGCCATGGCAGTAGCAAAGTCTTTCTTCGCTATGGCCTCGGAGACACTTTTCGTAACCCTTACAGCCTCTACTAAGGAGGTCCTTTCGATCTTGTTCTCTCGTATAGTGATGATTGGCGAAGGGGAACCTGGCTTGGCTTCCAGGACAGCCTTGACAGCTTCAATGCCCTGGAGTGTGGCCAGCCATCGGTCATAGGCACAGGCTGCGCCCCCTCGTTGTGTATGCCCTAGAACAGTGACTCGAGTGTCGAGCTGCAGCCGATCACTGAGAATATCTTTGACCTTATTGGACGTGATCTTTTCAAGGTGACTGTCCTGGGCACCCTCAGCAATGATAACAATAGTTCGTCGTTTACCTCTTCGTCGGTTCTATAGACCGTTAGTACATCAGAACAATTGGTAACCCAGTCGCGGAAAATTACCTGAGTGATGATATCACACATATCATCCTCCCAGCCGTCTCGGGGAGGCATCTCGGGAATAAATAGCCAATCTGCTCCGGTACTGATGGCAGACATTAATGCCAACCATCCACAATGCCTACCCATGACCTCTATAACGAAACCCCGCTGGTGGGAAGAGGCCGTATCGAAAACCTCGTCCACAGCCTCACAAATCCGGTGCAGGGACGAGTAACAGCCAATGGTAGCATCCGTTAGGGACATATCATTATCAATAGAGCCCACCAGCCCAACAATATTCAACGACTTGAAGGGCTCAATCTGTTTTGAGCTGAGCTCTCCATTCTTCACCAGCTCTTCCAGTAGACCGGGCCACTCGGAGCGAAAGATATCAGCTCCAGTCAGCGAGCCATCACCGCCACACACAATAAGGGCATCAATCCCACGAATAACCATATTCTTAGCGGCTTTTAGCCTCCCCTCACGCTCTCTGAAGGCCTTGCACCTTGCAGACCCGATCAATGTTCCTCCACGAGACAGCCATCCCCGGACGTCCTCCCAGAACATTTGCCTAAAGTAGTCCCCTCCCTGCACCAGACCATCGTACCCTTCGTGAACAGCGTAGGCCTCGCAACCACAGTGAATCGACATGCGGATAACGGCTCTCACGGCCCCGTTCATTCCAGGCGCATCCCCCCCACTAGTTAGAACGGCGATGCGGCGCTGCTTAGCCGGAGCTGCCACTGGCGTAGGGGCAGCCATCTTGGTCTCTTGTTCAGCGGGCGGTGTGTGTCACTGTAAAGATCACGGTCTTAGGGTATGTAATGTCGTCCTCCGATTATTCAGTTGGGGCTCAGGTGCTCTTCGAGACTAACCGGGCAGCCGTGATGTGCCTCCAGGTGATGAAGCTCTTATCTTTATATAGTTTGTTTTTCTTGGTGGGAGGGAATTTCCTGCTGCACTCAACGTCGGCTGCGGCCAAGTCGGAAGCTTACCAGCCGCCGAAGATAAGAAGTCATGGAGACAAAGGAGGAAAGAAAAACCATCACTGACCACTGTCAGACTCTTCTCAGCCTGCTTGTCTTCTCATCTCCGCATCGTCATGTCGCTTTTTATGTCTTCAGCTTCATCGTCATCGCGAAAAGTAGCTTGAAAGTCATGAAATTTGAGTTTGTCACGTGTTTTTGGTGGGAGAATTAAACTTCGGGACTTCCTTGGTACATGATGTGATTAATAAGCAACGCTAGTCCATTCTGGGACCGGAAAGGATGAACTATTCAACGCGTATTATGTAATATTTGGACGCTTACCTAATTAATATTAAAAGTGCACCTAAAGCTGCGACCATCGACCAGTTGACGGGAAGAAAGACAAAGCCAACAACGTTGGAAGGGAAGAAGGGAAGCGAAGAGAAGAGAGGACTAGGGGATATATGGTGATGGAACGGTTTGAATGACAGGGGAATTGGGCGCGATTGACTTTCTCCGTGGTTTTTTTGTCAGATCAATCGGGGGATACACCGCAGGCACCTGGCCTAGACCCGACCCGCGTTGACAGATCACGAGCTTCAATGTGATATTTGATAGCCTGCTTTGAAAATGTCGGACTCGTTTTCTCTACCTCTACGGCCTGTTCGGAAGAAGATTGACGATACAGACACCTTACCGATCAGAATTGCCCAAATCAACGCACAGAGGGGCTCGTTCAAGGATGTCACCGAAGAGAGCTTGTCGGAGGAGATCACAGCCCTTCGCGTATCGGGTAAACAGGAGCTCGATATACAGGGGACAGAAGAGTCCGGAAATAATGCTGAAGATAGAGAGCAGCAGCTCTTTACCAGTCGATCAGAAATGCTCGAGTTTGCGACGTGAGTGCCTGTGCGTCAATATAAGAGTTCCAGCTCCCTGGCGCTGACCCCTGAATTAGACAGGCTCAGATCGAAGCTTGCTATGCCCTTGATTTTGTTTCCCTTGCCCTCTCAAAGTATACGCCGCGGCAGGTAGAGGCCTCCATGACCCCTTATGTCAAGCAAAAGATACCTAGTGGTTCTCTAGGTATCGACCGAATAAGGACGCCCGACCGAACCGAGGCAAATAAGAAGGATATCGAGCTTGTCTCCAAAGGGTGGAAGCTAGAGAGCTTTAGTTCGGCAGCAAATAACCTTCTGGAGGCTGCTACTCGTCTTCAGAAGGAAGTGGCTGCGGAGACAAAATACTGGTCTGAAGTCTTAGCAATTAAAGAAAAGGGATGGAAGATATGCCGGCTTCCCCGCGAGAGACAAACCCTTGGAGTACAGCACGGCTTTCTCGAAGGTATGCATGTTTCCCTTGGCTCTTGGGATCTCGCCCACTCCGATTGCTTACAATGAACAGCTACCCCGGTGTTTAGAGATCGCGGACTGGCTGCACTGAGACGGGCGGATGATGGGTCCTTGTACGTTGACCGGGGAATACACGCAACGCCTCCAAAAGCCGTGCGTATTCGAATACAAGACGATGGAAATATCGTGGGAGTGTCCCAGCCAGCCAGAATCAAACATGACGATAATACATCCATTCAGGAGACTCTTATTCACCAAGCTAGGGACTCGCTATTCGAAGAGGAACTGTTCTATGAACTAAACCGTGAAGCCAGATCCCTTATTCGCCATGGAGTTGAAACAACACAGAATCAAATCCTTTTTCAGTTGAGCGATAACCGCCAGGTTCTTGTCGATTTAGTGCCGGTGGACGACGCAGCCGCCTCTGACCAAGATATGACCCAAAACCTTCCAGCCAACGACCTTGCGCATGCAATTGCCTGCTCAATACGCCTCCTATTAAATCACGCCCACCGGAAAAACCACCGACGTCGAACGTCTATACCCGCTGCTATTTCAATAAAGAAAAAGCCAACTGGAGAATACTCGCTTCTTCAGCCCAGCATCGCGTATCTTCAACACAGTTCCCACCTCCAATGGCTTACTTCGTGTCTTCACAATATTACTGCCACTCTATTTTCAGCGGGGCTCAAATACAGATACTGGAAGACCAAACCCCCCTCAAAGGACACTCAGGAAACGGTCACCAGCCAAGAAAAATCTATACCACTTGTAGAGTCCCTTGTAGACTCGTTTCTTGGAGTACAGGAAACTAGAATGGCTGGAGGTTTCTGCACGCAGAATAACTGGTATAAGATTATGGTTCGTACTGATCTCAGCCCTAGCGCCCTCGGAACTGAATTCGTTGTCTGGACCGTCCATTCTGCTCTCCCGCAAAAGCATATTACCCAAAGATTTGGCACTCGCGAGGATCTTAAGGAATTCCTTCTTTACTTGTTTACATTAGACATTGTCCATAATATCCCATTCCGCGGGAGTAGGAAGCCTGTGTCTTCTGCATCCGGTGCATCTCGCGAGGAAACCGAAGCCACTGTACACGGTGCAGATGGGGATGATACCAAATCTACAACCTGGGAGCCCACATTTGCCGAGGATGGGGAGATAACAGCCTCAATGCCCGGGGAAAAATACAATAAGAAGCTTAAAGTGACATTAAACGAAGAATCATTAGAACTGCTTTGTATGTCATTAAGCTCGACAACCGGCATGGTAGAGGAAAGTAAGTATATATGGCATGTGGACGAAACTAAAGGTGAACCCCATACCACTCTTCAAGAAACCCTCAGACGTATTGAGGCCGGTGGGTGATCAAGTGAAAGCTTCAGATACATGACCTTTACTGTCTATGTACTTAAGTGCCGACGATTTAGTTGAATCATCAAGCAAAGTTTCGGGAACTTGCTGAACCATAATTACAATGGTATACAACCTTGAGAAGATTTATTATATCATGTAGGGCAGTTCACGCCCTAGCACCCTGTTCCAGAACGGCGAGTTCGTCAAGTAGTTGAACTGTTTCACCAGGATTAGATATCCACGCAGTGGTGCATGCAAGTCGTGCCTAAATATAAGATTATCAGTTAGGAAAAATGAGTCAAATGGATAAGGAACTATAGTCCATACCTTAAAATCATTTGCCCCAGCAGAAAGGAACTGGTCTCCTATATGCAGAGTTTTGGATCTATCAATGCCACCGAAGTACTTCTGGCAAGCAAGGACACCCCACGATTTATCCCCAATATCTACAAAGACATCACTTCCACCTATCACAAAGTAGTGGATTAGTGTCGCCGTATTATCGCAAATAGACTGCGGGTACCTTACCATTGAATGCGCAAAATGGAAGGCGCCTGCCAACCTCAGATGTTTCAATAGTTTGCTGCGCCACCAAAACAGTCTCCTCCAGTTGCTCACGATGCATTCGATGTCCCTCGAGCGGATATATACCCACGGCCCTCTCCTTTCTCAAAATTGCAGCGGGGAGCCTCAAGTTACTGACACAGTCTCGCAACGCGGCCTCCGCGATGTCTAGTAACTCTTTGATATCCTCATCGTTCCACTGCTTCATTTCATCCAGCTGCCACTCGCTCTGGGGCTTATAGGTGAGCAGATCGGGGGACTGAGGATCAAATTCATACATGAAGTTGCTCTCGCCTCCAAGAATAATGAGATGATTCTTTTGCTTAACGCTGAGGTCAGCGGAGTCCTTGATAGCTTCCAGGAGGCCCTCGAGGCGCTCTTTGTATTTTGCAGCAGAAGAGTATCCGGCAGCAGTCACAATACCGACTCTCTTGTTTTGCTTCAAGAGAAGTATTATCCTCTTCACAACTGGGTTATCTGCCGTGAGAGAACACCCATCATCATAGAGTGTTACATCTCCGTCAAACGTAATCAGCTGGACTTCACTACGGCGAACAAGACCCATTAACTGAGCAGTATTAAGCGTGAGACGGATATCATTGAATGACGGAGGCACAAATCGTCTGTGACTAATAAACCTCTTGTTATCCTGGTATATGAAGGCATCTTCCAGCAGTAGTGGCGTAAAGAAGGTACCAACAGAGGGAACTAGCAGTTTCAATGTAGATTTTCCGCTAGCTCCCGTTTTCTGGAGTTCAACTATGGCCAGAAGTCAGTCTAGTGGTTTATCTAGTTATCTGTTTGAGTATTTTTTTTTTTAATGCAAACCACATACTGTGGTCATTGATCAGATGTTCAACATCCCGCATAATCTCAACATATCTATTATGTGTCCGTTCGGCAAGATGTGCGAGGTTGGGGCTGTTTTCCTTGTAAGCAGCAGTGGGTTGCGAATGCAGAACGAAGGGAACTGCAAGAAGGCCCTATATAAACCTATTCAGCGCAGGTTATTCAGCTTTTCCTTCCTGAAGAGCTGACCTTGATCCATTCAATCTGATATATTCGTAACACAATGCGTTAGTCCAGATATTGAGTTACCCGGGAGCAGGAGACTGGTGTACGGCTGATGATCTCCTTGGATCTTACCAGTTGGTCACGGCGATGTGACTGTGAAGAGACGACGGTCAGACATGCAAATTCTATTATCCCCGCAAAGTACAGGATACAGTGGAAAAGTCCAGCCATATTCCTTAAGGCATGGAGAGTGTAGGATCATTAAGCTTACCTTGAGGGCGTCTATTTCTGGTGTCAGTCTTTGTGTAGTTATCGCCTCCCCCGGCCCAGTTCCCCTGGGGTGTTGGATGTTACTTACACTCGACACGGTAGCGGGTAGTCATGTTTCCTGTCTGTCTAGGCGCTTGATCTACCTACCTCTCTATGGCTCTAGTTCCCTTCTTGTTGGACGTTGGTTTCTTGATACTTTTTGCATCGTCGGTTAGTTAACTTGTACCTCGGGAGTGGAACGTGCCCAAAGGCGGGCAGGTCTTGGCGGCAGAAGGGACGGGCTTTTCCATGTCATGTTTATCTCAACGTCAACGGTTTGTTGCTCCTACAACCATCTATCCTAACTAGATACCTGAGAGGTATAAACAGAGGGCCTTGCACCCGGAGAGATGAGGTTGCCATCACAGTTGTCCTCTGCATTTCCGCCTTACTACCACTACCACTTGGTACCTCAGATCCACCAACAAGCGACTTTTGAGCTTTGTTACTAGTTACTTAGCTATATCACCATGTCTTCTGTTGCCAATTTTGCCATCATTCGGCACCATCTCAATAATCGGTTTTCGGAGACTCCGACAAGCTTGGCCGAGTATAGCTTCGTTGCTGCGTCCATCTACCTCAGTCTTAGCTACTTTCTACCTCCCACATTCGCAAGTGCCTTCCTTGCCCGTCTAGCAGTGCAGTATAATAACTTACTAGAGGAGCCGGGCTATATAGCAGGATGCAAGGGAGTATGACACTCGCCCTCGGCATGGTCGATTCCATCCACGTTAATAACATTATTCGTAAGATTTTCTCACGCCAGGTGTCAAGGCTGAGGGGCTTAACTTCTGAGTTTCTGCCGTAACTACTCTGTAGTTACCCCATAGATCTCCCTGTAGAACAGGCTGCTTGTCCAACCTGCTCTATGCGAGAGCCTGATCGTCTGCGGGGACATCTATAACATTGCTTGTCGTACTGACGACTTTTGGAGCTTGCGGAGAGAGAGACAGCGGCTCGATCTCCTGGTCAGACGATGATGCAATGCTATCACGGTGGCGGACATTTTCGTCTTCGTCTTCCCACATAATACCACTGCTATCGTCATCATCAACGGTATCAGCGAAGACATCCGCCGCCCCCCTTAATGCAACCAGGCGCTGCAGGGTCCAATGCAGGTCCAGGAGGTCCCAGCTGGGTAGTGGCAAGTTTTCGGGGTCTCTGGTCGTCAGGACGATCTCTCGCCCAGACGCAATCTCCTCGCCTGTAAAAGTGTTCCAGGCCCTGTAGTCCTTGGCGATGCCAACGAGATCCTCCGGTATGGTAGGGTCAGTCAACAGGTCGACACCCTGAGCTGCTGGTTTCCGCAACGGCAGCCAGTAGAACTTGACAGTGAATTCCTTGCCGTCGTCGGACCGGCGAACTGGCTGCAACCCAAACAAGCCCTTAGAATGCCACCTATGGATCGTAGGTGCAAAACACAGCAAGTTCTCCACTACCTCGGTAGTGCCTCGTGGGAATGCGGCGGCCATCCAGGTATTAACACGACGCTCCGTCCAGAATAATTGTAGCAAAACCCAAAATCGGTGTTTATTATTGTCTATTGAGAAGGAATTCCTCAATGAGTGCGGAAATATATGTGCCGCGTCAACGGGGTCAAGAGATTTTGTAATTAGGCACCTATTCTCATCTCTAAAAAGACATTGCCTCCGTGCTGTTGACGATCGATCGGAGTCTCTGCGCTGGCGTTTAGCTGGAGGTGTGGCTGGCTGCGACGTTGGCTGCGGGGCTTGCTCATCTTCGTGGACGTCACGGTGTAAACCTGCTTGTCTCTCGATGGTCGAACGATGAAGCGGGGATGACTGGCTGGGACTCCCGCGCGGTGAGGCGAGTGGGGACTGCGGTGCTGACGGTGATGGGGAGCGGGACTTCCAAGGATCAAGCTGTTGCCATAGGAGAGCGACATTTTCAGTCTGATGATCGAGTAGCTTAAAAAGCTCTGTCCGCTGATTCGGGTCAAGGAGAGCTTCGAGTATCTCGATGTCCGCCAGCCACAGACCAGCCCAGGTAGTAGAGGAAATTCCCTGGGGCTGAATTCTTCTAAGCAGGTCCTGTAGCGAGCTTAGCAACTCACGACGTCGTTCACAAACGAACTCCTCATTCGGGCCGTGAGAAGTCATATTGGAGATTTCGGCGAAGAAGACGGGGGAGAGGGCTTCGAATTCAAATAATACACTAGGATGCGGTTTGAGGCTTGCAGCAAGGTTGTCTGGTCCAGGAAGTCTGGTCACGATTATTCGCGGTTGCAAAGTTACAATTGGAAGGGGGAAGAAGTTTAAGTCGCGGGTAAGTGGGTCACCTGACGCCTCTAGCCCTATTCGTTTCGGTTAGAAGGAAGATCAAAGCATTCGATTGGTTGAAAGGGAATAAGCATCATGTTAAGGTTCAGATCTGTGGCTTACATCATCAGTCTCTGCCATGCCTAGGCCCGAGGTGCCCGAGGTGCCCGTGATCTACCTGACGGGCGGGCGTGCCCCTGCTAGTTAACAATTGCGATGGCAATAATGACATATCTGTGCTATCATACATATCTGTGCTATCATACACGATCGAAACAAGATGGTGGGTGCCTATTACGATACCTTCCGTCACAGGTAGTTAAGTCGGACGGAATATCCTCGAGTGAGGGAATGCGACATCATATCCTGCCTGAAATCATGATAGTATTCAAGAAAAAATCTTACGAATAAGGTCATTATTAACATGGATGGTAACTAACTACCCCGTCTTCCAGAGTTCCTCTGTTCCGCATTCGCGGGAACCGGTGAAACATGGTCCATCTAGTCCGCCGTAACCAGATAACTAGTTAACCTCAATATAAATAAATACGTGGCTGCCTGGACACTCACACCCGTTCTTGATTTCAGCTCGAATTACTTTCCATCACCATCGACCCGGCACAAGAACGAGCAGTTAGAGATGTTCTTTCCCCTCATTGCTGCCATTGTGGCAGCTTGTGGTCTTTACTATGTATACCTTACCACACTTGACTATTTGGCGCTGAAAAAGATTCGTGTACGCGAAAGGACTCGACTTCCCCCGAAAGTCGAACAGTCTCCAGTGAAGTTTGGCATCGACTTCTACGGCAGAGTCTCAAAGGCAGTTGAAGAGAATCGCTACTTGGAATTAGAGATGGAATTGCTCGAAAAGCATGGCGATACCGTTTCGGTTTCTATGTTTGGGAAACCTATGATCTTGACTCGCGAACCAGAAAACATCAAAGCAATGCTTGCCACCCAGTTCGAGGATTTCAGCCTCGGCGCCTCGAGGTACAACAGCTTCGTGCCCATGCTTGGTGACGGTATATTTACCCACATGTATGGAGGGGGAAAATCGGGTCAACCATGGCGCCATTCCCGCAGTGTTCTGCGCCCACAGTTCGCAAGGCAGCAAATCCAGGATCTTGTAGTTCTGGAGTCATTTGTACAGAACATGTTTAACTTGATCCCAGAAAAGAAGACCGTCGACCTTCAGGAACTCTTTTTCAAGCTGTCAATGGATACAGGTACTGGAATGTCTCATTGACAACCCAACCCTTAACCCAAGCCATCTATCGCTAACCTGGTGTTGACAAACTAGCAACCGATTTTTTATTTGGTGAAAGTGTCAATAGCTTATTACCAGATTGTCTTGCACAAGAGTCCCAGTTTTACAATGACTTTACTCGAGGATCAGGTACGGCGTCTTTATCCCCCCGCCTCTACTTTTATCTATTGAGGTTTAGATGGTAATAATGCCGGCCTGTGGTAGAGATTTTACTTCATCGAATTACCCTCCAAGACTTTTACTGGCTCCAGAAAGACAGTACTGAATTCAAGAAGATATGCAAAAATATGCATGCATACTTGGATAAATTTACAACAAAAGCTATAGAGCGACAAGCTTCTGGCAAACCAACCAGCCACGATCTAGGTGGAAAGTATGTTTTTCTAGAAGAGGCTGCAAAAGAATTCCAAGATCCAGTCCGACTTCGATCAGAGCTTTTCAATATCCTGCTTGCTGGTAGAGACACAACTGCGGGCCTTTTATCTATCTGCTGCCACCAGCTCGCAAGACACAAAGACGAATGGTTCCGCCTTCGAAAAGAAGTAATCGAAACCTTGGGAAACCGAAAGCCAACATATGAGGATATTAAATCCATGAAGTATCTTCGCTATGTTCTTAATGAAAGTCAGTTATATCGTCTCTTTACCGTTCACAAGCTCTATTCTGTCTTATGCATGTCACTGCGTTCCGGTCCGCAGCAAACGTACCCGTTTGTGAAATGCATACTAAGATAATCTGGTCCGCGTCATTCAACTCTTCGTCTCTTCCCAGTTGTACCATCCAATAGTCGTGAAGCAGTCAAGCCTACAACACTACCTCGTGGTGGCGGTCCAAATGGGGAGCACAAAATTCTGATTCCCAAAGATACAACTGTATTGTACTCAGTTTGGAGTCTTCATCGTTCTGCAAAAATTTACGGTCCAGACGCAACTACCTTCCGTCCCAGCCGATGGGAAACTCTCCGTGTGGGATGGAACCACCTACCATTTAACGGTGGCCCTAGAATCTGCTTAGGTCGTAAGTGAAAGTTCTCCCTTCCTTCCAGCGCCATATTTATTTGCGGGAATTTGAATTGCGGTCTGATTTACCCATGCTAACTCTTGTAGAACAATACGCATTGACTGAGGCATCCTACGTGTTAATCCGTCTTTTGCAGACATTTGAAGATATTGAGAACCGAGATCCAAATCTCCACTTTATCGAGGACTTGAGGCTGACCCTGGCATGCCATGGAGGGGCAAATGTGTCGCTGACAAGGGCTAACTCCAAGCGCTAGTTGAAGCAGAGCTTGTGGAGTATTGCCTTTTCCCCCTATACCCTCTTGAGGTGTTTATGAAGGCACCATTCAAACTCAAGCCCAGTTATCTTAGAAATGTTCGAGATACAAATCCATCTAAAGCTGAATGCAAAAAATTCAGCTGCAGATGAAAAGGGTTGGGAAACACATAGCTAAAGTTAAACAAACGACTGAACCAACAGCTACCTAAATGATACAAAAGCAGAGAAGATACACCATTTCAAAATATGAAAAGAATGTTACTGTCCTTGTTTCTCAAACCAAGTCCCTGAATTCACACTCATCTGCTGACCTTCACACTCATAATCATTAATAGTTGGGTCTATGAAGCCGTTTGAAGGAACTCGTTGAGGGAAATATCGATTGATATCTTCTAGGGCCCTATTGGTTTCGTGAGATTGAGAATTTTTCTCGAGGTATCTCCGCATTGAGTATGACAGACCCATAGAGACCATAAATCCAGCCTGGAGTTCACGATACTGCGACATAGAGCTCGTAGCTGAGTGGTATTCTCGGGTGCCGGCAGTCTGACCGAGATGTCGATATTGATGACCTAGAAGGTTGGCTTGGTGAGAACTGCGAGTTTCGTTACCGTTGCTCGTTGGCGTCCTGTGGTGGCCTGTTGAATACATAGCCGGGTGACTGGAACTTGATACCCTGGCTACCTTCGAGCTGGAGTGGATGCAACTATTCTCGTGGATAGAGCTTGATGTTCTTGCGGATACAAATTCTCGAGCATCAAGCTTAGAGGGGTAAGAAGGTTGGGTATACGTTTGTACCTGCTGGGAGTTGACAAGTTCTAGGTTTGTCTCACATAGAATTCTATCGTGCCCGGGCACAAGATTCTGGTCAGACACTGAGGTACTTCCCTGACTGGCATGGCGACCCAGGTCGAGATGGCATCTGTTACTGATATTGTACCCAGGAATTCGGCGCGATTCATTAGGCAACTCATTGGTGGCTTTGCGCTTTCTATCCATATTGAACAGTTATAGAATACGTCCAACAATGATGCTGACTTGATCAATGTCTCAAGGAATTGAACACGGCAATATGAACGCTCAGAGAGTAGCAAAATTAACGCAATGTTGTAAAGGATTCCATAGGCAGCATGGTGTCTAGTCTTGCCTGGCCTGCTTGTAAAGCCACTCGAGGGGCATTCGGGTATGAGCTTTTGTGGTTTTGCAATGCCTTGGTTGGAATGCATGAGACGATTTAACCAGCTAGATAAATTGAGATCTTCTGCCTTGTCCGCCTGAGTATGTATGGAAAAAAAAAAAAAACATTAAATCAGGCACTACCACCTTGTCCAGCCTCTGGAAAGGTGAGGCGCTGCTTTCGACCGGCGCTCTGCTTGTGAGCCTCGCAAAATGGTGTATAAGGCTGGGCCCCCGGCCAAAACTCTGAGGGCTGTGTTCTATATATGCCAGGGCATGCTTGGAAGTGGCAGTGTCCAAGCCTCACCATCACGTTGATCTTAGAGACCCCTATATCGTAATGACCCTCCGTAGATGCAAAGATGCAAGATGGGACTCTTTTAAAATATTAATTTCTGACTACTTTTTTGCCTAATGAGAAAAGAGATTGAAATAGATATTGCACGCACTGCCTCGGAGAATTTAGACTTTAAATGTATGAAATGGTAGACGCTGACCAGAGCTACGAAAACTCGCAATCAACAAGAGGTAAGATGAAGGCAAACTCGAAAATCGCCCAATGTTATCACCTCCAATCACATGGCCATCCACCATCAGAAGAAGTAATCGAAAAGAGAACCAAATCGTTGCTATACGCTTCATTTTCCATCCTCAACATCCTCGCGATTTATATGATGGACCTCAATCTTGTGCCTCCTTAATTGGTCAATCCTAGCAAATCCCGCGGTATTCTTACACCCAGGTATGTTGCACTTAAATGCTTTCTCGTGTTTTTGTAGATGTGTCCTGAGAATCTTGTTAGCTGTAGGAGCTGGGAGAAGCTTATCAAGATGAACGTAAAACAGAGTACATGGGACGCCATTAGTTATTATGGAGGGGCACACTTACTTAAAAGAGGAATTCCGCCCAAATATAACAACCTTTCCATCGCGGAATCCGCCCTTTGTGCATTTTTCACCATATGGGCATACCCAGTTCCCCACTCCACGTCTGTTGAGGTTGGGGTACGTGTTTTGGAAGGCCTCCATAGATACTGGAAAGGCTGTTTCCTCCGCTGCATTGTTCGTGCTCGAGCTCCACGAAACAGTAGGCGTAGGCGATCCTGAGTTGAAGTCAGGTCCCATTGCACAATTTGGGTTAATCTGACTACCAGTTGAAGAATTGTTGTTTGACCTGCAAGAAACCATGGCAGAAGATGCTGTCTGTAGTACATCCCCCATGTGATGGGGTGGGTTGGGGCTTCGCCGCCAGACCATTGATGTTTCATTGGCCATTTCCTCAAGTCTAGTTGCAAGTGTACTGTGCGCCATTAGTGAGCGTTCCATGATTAGTCAAGCCGGCAGATAAGTACTTATTCATGAATTCTCTGGAGAGAGCGATAAAAGAAAAACCCTAGGAGGGTAGAGTATATCAGAGATAACAGTTGATGAAACTATTGGTATACGGAGTTCTATTGAGCAAATAAGGTGGAAACACTCGAAGGTACTTACTTGAGGTCACGTTCCTTCTCACTCATATATGTAACCATATCCATATCGGAAAGATGATGCATTTCATTTAGTTGTTGGATATGAGCCTCGATATAAGTTTTTATATCCTCTGCCTCGACCAAGGCAGAGGCTATCTTCGACGTTAAAGCCATCATATCAACAAGGAACTCCCCAATCTCGACTAGCCTGCAGCTAGGAGCATGCGCAGGCTTTTTATCTGCCTGAACTGAAGGCGCAGGTGTGGGACCAGAAGGCTGTTGTAAGAGTGCCCAAGGAGAACCGCCATCTCCGGGCGTTGATAAAGGCTGTGATCTAAGCCCTAAGTTGGGAACAGTAGCACCTTTTTCTTCACGAACGCTGGTATCGGACAAGTTTAGCTCGCTAAGCTTTGTTCGGATGATTTCTTGAAGCCATGGGCTAAGAGGCTGTGAACGTGACAGAAGTATGTTTGCTGGAAGATCGCTGGACGACATGGCAGCCATTTCTTGCATACATCGGCTTGGGACAGTGGTATTACTTGGCAGTGTTTACGCTGTAGGCGTTCTTATGTATGCCTCTCTCGCCACGTCCTGGCAGGCGGTTAGGAAACAAGTAGTAAGCAACCCAATGTGGGATGGAAGGATCGACTTCCCACAAGAATTTCGCACAGGGCAGGGCGACGAACGGGAGCAGAGCAAGGTGAAGCCCAGCCCGGCCATAAATATAGTCCGTGGGTGTCCGGGGTAGCTATGTACTTTGCTTCCTCTCTTAGGCAAATGGATGTAAGGGCGGGTTGGATATGTACGTCAGGCGGGCATCAGGCAAGGCAGTGCTACTTACCCAGCCTTGCGGCCTGCTTCAGAGGGGAGAGATTGGAAGTCGGGCAGAGTGAGCAAGACCGGAAGATCCCAGTCACTCAGTTGGTCAATTTGGCAAACCCTGGGCTAGGGTTGACGAGGGAGGCTTATGCGCAGGGAGATTAGCATAGTTACCGCAGCAGCATGTGTTTTTTTTTTTAGCGAGCCCCCCTGTCCCAGCCAGCCTGACAAACTTGCATGCGCCCTTATCTCTCTTGCAGCTTCATGAACACCCACATGTATCCCTTGGTTGCCTCTTTCCTCTCGGCTTGCTGTCGTTCTCATCAATATCTTCATTATTATCAAAGTCTTGTCGTCCCTCGAAATGTTGTTTGATGTCGTTTTTTCGCTCTTCGCCCAATGCGGATCCACTTGTTTACTCACGTGATAAAAATATGATTACTAATATACACGTGATGCGGCTCATTGTTTGTCATCAGGAGCGGGCCTTTCACCGCCTTCCGAGTGCGGCATAGCGGGGCTGGCAGAATATATTTAGTCTCGGCTCAGCCGCAACTAAAAAGAGGCGCTTGCGGCTTTGTTCTTTCGACCTCGATCACCCGTTTCTTCTGGCGCTCTTGCTGTTGGATTCCTTTGCCATTCCACCCATGACCCGAAAGCGCCTCGAGTGGTGAAGCTTGATCGCCAGTTGTATTCCTATCATGCGAAGAGAGATATTATGTCCCTTGCCAAGAAGCGTAGCTGGTGTGACGAAACCATGGATCCACAACAGAGGCAGTTCGCCAGCTACAACTTCGACCCGCCGAATTCAATATTTTGCAGCCCGGAAACTCTAATGGAGTTAGTCCAGCAGGACTCTGGAGGATGGAGCGAGAAGTCAGCGTTCAACACAACAAGGAAGATACAGGGAGGAGTTCCGCGGTTCAAACTTATTAGCAATGCTCCGTCCCAGGAGCCTAACCAAGGCGAATCTAATCAGTCGTTCCGTAAGATAGCTCTACCACCATGATCTCCAATCTGTCGGCGTTTGCGCATTCTTCGCTAACTTACGGCTAAGAAGAACTGTATTTCAGCACAGCGATGGACCCTAACAATATGTTCAATTTCAATGACAACATGGAACACCAACCATTCCTGGGCCCTGCGGTAGCTCTTCCCTCCACGGCGATGGCTAGCAATCGGAAAGTTGAGATGGAACTTATCAACCCTTTCGCACGGAACCAGGACAGGAGACATAAGTTTTCCAGAGATATTATCATACCACCGGTGAATGGAGAAATTAGCAGTTACATAAAAGTAAAGCTTCGAGTACCTAAAAGTCAGAATGATGATCAGAATGCCTTACACACCAAGCGTGGTTGCTCCAACTCCCGAACGGTGATTCCGCTACATTCAGAAAGATATTCATATCCACGTCAAGTTAACAGAGGAATTTCACTTATACCCTCAGTCATTCCTCCGACTATAGCCATGCATAGCGTCTTTGCTGAACATCAGTTTGATGGACAGTGCCTGAAATTTTGTATGCGTCCCTCAACTCCCTGGTATGGTTAATGTCTTAGACCGTGAAGGGTGGTTAGTTAACCAAAGAGAGGACAGACCAAGCAGCATTTTGTTCCGGAAGAACTCTTCTTGCTGGAACTAATTTCTGGATAAAAGAGATATTAGCCATGGCCCAGCATGACGAGTGTGTAAAGCACGCTGTGGTAGCTTTGAGCGGCAGCTATTTACTGGATTATAACTCGCAGCAAGGCCTTCGTGACCGCGTCAACTATCATTATGATCAAGCTAAACATATGATAAGCGTTGCCCTAAGAAGCAGGCAAAACCAAGACATTGGTCAAGGTGACAACCTTGTTGCTGCTATCATGTTGCTTCTAGTGGACGATGTGAGTTATCAAACATTTCTATCCGATTCTCTGCTGGCTTTTTAAGACGCGCGGAACAAAATTCAATAAGAAAGAAGCTGATGCAACTAAGTGCGTGAATTGGGAGTTGCGTATAAATAACGCCGAACCTAACTGGATATTGGCTGCGAGGCTAGCCAAGTCCATACTTGACAACTCGGACCCTGGGTACAGATACTGGCGGCCTGATAACACCCAATATAGCGCTGCAAGACACGGCTATGCGAATTGGGTGGCTCTTGCATGCATTCTCAGCGAGCTTGTAACTCCATTAGCATCTCGAGGAAACCCGAATGCGTATGGTTGGCTCCTCGCAGGAACGCAAAAGGAAAGCTGGAAGATCAACGGCGGTACTGGTCTTTGCCCCAAGTTACTTCATATAATATCACAAATAACGTATCTGTCTGTCTTGGTGAAGGAAGTAAGTAACTGCGTTAATAATAGATTAGCTCTCCCAGATACACTGTCAGTTGATTTATGTCTGATCCTCGTTTTAGGATTCCTCCATGGCGCCCATCTATGCAGCAAAAGTGATCAGCAAAGGGCTGAAAACATTCCACCAGTGGTCAGAACTTTCTGATGGGTATCCAAGTGCGGAAGAGCTGCTTCGATCATGCGACCTAGACAAAAATGGAAAAGTACAGACAGCAACGAAAGTGACCGAGCTGACTGGAGAAACTTGGGTTGCCGCCGCCCAAATATACCTCCACTGCCGACTGTTGAGGTAAGGTTCCTCTTAAACTCGATCTACCCAGGATAGAATGGAGGCTGATAATAGACGTAGAAAACCTCGCCATCACCCAGATGTCCAAAAAACAGCCAAGGTTTTATGGAAATGCGTCACCATGATGCCATATTCAGGAACGCTGTTCACGTCTCAGGCTCCCTTTTGTCCTATTTTTATTGCATCCCTTGTCTCGATAGAGAAGAAGGATAGGATGATAGCCGAGGAGTGGTTCACAACCGTCGGACTGAAAGGAAAATGTAGATCAGTAAGTCAGCACGAGGTTCCGAACAGTTTCATATGTCACCCAGCCCTTAAACCTGCCCACATTTGAAAAATTACCATTCAATAGGCTAACGAGGTTTATTAGAGCGTTCCCCCGGTGTGGGCAGCAGTCCAGGCAATGTGGACGTGGATGGATGGCGGTGGGGTTAGCCACGTCTTCGATGAAGGTGTGCCAGTGCATAAAAGACCCTCCTGGTGGGAAAGTATGGTTGATCAGCTCATTGCAACAGTAGGTTATGTTAGTTTAACATAACTCTACCCTCAACATGCCCGCTGGTGAATCTAGTATTCAGTCCTATAACTAGTCCTTGTTCTTGTAAGAGAATAATATATAGCATATTTCAATTGTTCCAATGACTCGGCTTGGGTAGCCTTGAACAAAATGATAATGAAGGAGAATGTTTACACTGCCGATATATCGTCCTATTCAGAACAGTCTAGGAATTTCTTTGAAGTATTCCGTAGAAAAATTCGCGTCAGCCTTCGGGCCTGATTTTTCAGCTTATGTAATAAACGGATAATATATAATCCACAATGAGGCTCAAACTTATTACGTAATGGTGTCACACGTGACTGTTTTGAACTTCCTTCAATTTTCTTTTTGCGCCAATAATAATGACATTCAGCATCAACTAACTATTTGATCAACAACGACCAGCGTCTGCTCTAAATACAAAGGCGACATGCTGCGAGGGACTTCATGGCTTTACGTCAAGTCAAGGAAAAACAAACAGCGCTCAGAATGTTGAATATGCTAAACGGAATTCAAATGTCAAAACACCGCCAGGAATGGTCAAAAAGTGAGCACAGCCATCGAGATGCAAGGCGGTCTGACCGTTGGCCCTGGGGCGAGAAGGCGGATTCCACCTCGACTCCCCCCCCCCGGTCGCTACCTAGTATTTTGTGAAATCGGAATTCATTAAGAGATATTCGTCTGCATTGGTGGGAATGAGTCAGCAACGGACCTTGACATGAATTCAACCTTGGGATCACCTACAGAATGGACGGTTGCCAGGGGCCTGCCATCTCTCCACCTCGGCGAAGCCCGCCATTTTAAACTGGCTCCTCATTCTCTCTGGACCGTACTTCCACGCCTCAAAAAAGTCGACACGTTCCCCCGCGGAGAAGTGAAGGCCAAGAGGGTGGCAGTGTACGTCCCGCCTAGCAATGATGGAGAATCGGTGGACTGTGTCTGGTGAGCTATCAATGCGGCCGGAGATTTGCCAGTCCTCCTCTTTATACCAATCACACCTCAAAACTTCGTTCGAGTATTTCAGGCCATTTCGAATGAAGCTATCCCAGACTCGTTGGGGATCATGGTACGACTCCCATAGCTCTGGCAGGTAGTCGCAGGCATCCAACCCTAGTAACATGAGATCGTTACGGCCCATGACATGTTTCCACTCCTCCAGCCTGGAGACGGCGAGGGAGAACTCATCGTTCCCGAACATGGAGCCCAGGGAAAGGATAAGTTTAGGAGACTTGACAGGCCTTAACCAGTTCAGACCATCGCTGAAGTCGCCCCAAAGGCCGAAGCATCGGACATAATGGAATTCTGGGACAAGTTGCTCCATTGTCTGTTCCAATGCCTGCTTGGAAAGATCAAGAGCAAAGTATTGCACTTCTACTTTTAACTGCTCAAGGTGCGCTAGAAGAGGCAGCACCTTTCGGGTATCCCTTCAAGAACTAAATGTCACCATTTTATTCAAGAAGACATGATGTCAGATCAATAATATATAGGGCAAATACATACCCGCTACCCATGTCGACGATTGTGCATCCCTCCACTATCCAGTCCGCTATCTGGCCCTTGAAGGAGTTCAGAAGGTTTATTTCATCCTGGGTTTGTTGGTATTCCGGCAAATGAGTGATGTCCTTCCAGATCTTCAATCCTCTAGTATTATAGAACAGTCCCGTTGGAAGGTCACGAGGATTCCCACCATTTGAACCTAGGAATTGATACTCTGTTAACTCCTTGAGTGAGCTTTCCAAGCGGCCGCCTCCAATGTCGATAACCGTCCCTGCCTCACACATGAGCGTGCGGGTATCCTATATATGACATACACCTATGTTAGATTAGGTATCTGAAGGGGAGCAAAAAATATTCTAACCTCGCGAGGGAAAAATGAAGGCATATTGATCACAGTCGATGGTTCCCCTCTTTCGCACAACTAGAACGGCTTTGAAATGCGACTTTGGTAAGAATCCCTTGGACGTATGCTGGTAGGATTGAGCTGGGATTGACAGATATCAATACAAAATGTGGTGAGTGTAGTAGCTGACATTACCATTACTTGGAGATATTGAAGAGGTTTTCGACCTCTTTTATATTCCACTGACCTACATTTAGGCGGCTGTTTAACACCAAACGCCTGGACTACGGTGCAAGGCATACAGCTACGAATAATCATGGCAGAAGAAGCCTTTAGCAGGATCGAGAAGTAAGGCGGATGAGAAAAGATCCAGTATTTTTTGCAATCCCACGCCTCTTTCTGTCGTGTTTTGTGTGTATTGTTAAACCAGTTTGTGCTGAAAACACGGCGGAACAATGCTTCAACAAGGTCGCCTTTGCCGCCTTGAAACATGATTGGAGGGAAAGGCCGCTTTTGACTAGGCTTCAGGCGTTTGTGAAAGACGCTCTAGTGAGGCGAGAGGGAGCCTTCACTGCCTTGCACATTAGTTTACTCATCAATTGTTGCATCGCGCTGACGCCCGTCGTCTAAGAGAGGAACTACTGTCGATTTAGCAGCGATCGAGAGACCCTGAGTCTTCCATGCTTATCACGAGCCCTTCGTAACCTGTATTTGTGTGTTCGTGTGTTCGTGTGTTGCGGCTGTTCAGAGGTATAATCCCTGCTATTACCACGTTGTATGGTCCAAGATATTTCTTTGTTATGCATGTCATCTCTCATTCATGCTTCTAAAATAAGCCTGACATGAGTAAGACTGCCGGAGAACAACGTAGCCCCGAATATTACCATGAAGATCCCTTTCTCTACATCTATTTGTATAACTACATGGTTGACCACGTTTATGTCAATAAACAACTGAAAATAGGACTGTGGTGGCTTGTGCTTATGCTTGAAGCGAGATAACTATGCATAGAATATTCGCGGGTGTCGAACGGCCAATAATCTAGCTGTGGAGCTGCCTTGAACGCTCAGTCAAACTGTCCCATGTCAAGCTTATGTCTGTATGTAAAGAAAAGGATCGCACCCAACACATGTGCGTATAAGTAACGATCCATACATCAAGCCTCCTAGGTTGCCCTATCAGAAAGGCTTGCATATCGATCAATAATCAAGGCCTAAACTACTCCTTCAAGGTCTCTTGAAGGCAAATACACAGCACATGCACCTCCACTATTTGCCCGATCCCAGGCCCACCGTTTAACCATACCTGGGTCCAGCTTCCCTTTGATCATCTTCTCCACGTAGCCCCCAATACTAGGCATAAATTTCCATGCATGGAATGATCCTCCACTCGCAATATAAAGATTCTGAGAATGAGGATGGGCGCATATAATAAAATCTTGATTTGGAGTTACAGCATCCCTGCCTACGGTTAGTCGATTACTCCGCATGTGATAGAACTGGCAGTCATACCAACACATGCGGTAGAATTCAGGAACAAGGCCACCAATATGCTCGCCATAAAGCATATCCTTGACGTACTTGACCTCGTTTTTCAGCTGGGCTGGGACATCCAAAGTCCAGGTGCTGGAGGTCGGATCCTCTGGCGGAGCAGAAATGCGCCGATGTGAATCGTTATGGTAAAGCATATTGGTGAAACTTAGTTCATGGGTGCATTTCAGCAACCTAGTTTTTCCGGGGGGTATGCTTTCTCCTATGCATGATTAAAATCAAGCAATCCAAGTCAGCATCAAGAGGCTAGGGATAGGACAAACCAGGGGTAACCCCAACAGGGTTCACCACAATCGGCGCAAAATCAAACTTTCCCATCTGTTCCGTAGGAACACGGTAAGCACCCATGATTGCAGCAGCAGCCACCATCCTGTCTCCGACTTGTAACGTCGGTTTATCCGGAGCGCTATTGGCTATCAACCAGGCAGTATTCGCTCCGGTGCAGAGAATGACATGCTGTGCACGTAAATCGAGCCCTGTAATTGTTCGTGCACCAAGACAGCTGTGCCCAGTCTCGTCAAACAATAGCTTATCAACAGCGTGGGGGACATATTTCACACCCAGCGCAATAGCGGACTTGATGACATTTTGAAATGCGTTCTCTGCATCACCCCATCCTGCCTCTGGGCTGAACAGACAAGTTTCCACCTTGTCCAGATATGCATTTCGGAAAATGCCACCGAACCGTTCCTTGGCGGTAGCTGGTTCGATTAACTCGATGGGAGCGGGCTGAGAAGTAATGCTGGTATAATTCTCCGCAATCTTACTAGCATGCTCCAGCGTTGTGGGCAATAGCATGCCCACCTGGTGAAAATAAGGGCTAAATATAGGATCGGATTTCCACAAGTCCATGGCTTCTAATGCGAGGCGCATATAGAACGGGTCCGTATATTCTGCGCGAATGATCTTGTTCAGGTCATGGGCAGCTGCTGACGGGCAAGGGGAGGGAGTACGGTCCAGCAGGGTGATATTAGAAGCTGACGAAGGATCAGAGCGAGCAAGCTGCAGTGCCGTTGTGGCTCCAAAGCAGCCAGCACCAATAATCAAGTATGACTGCGGAGGGCTCGAGTTGCACCCAGAGGGGGAAATCGATGGTTGTTGGCCAGGCCCGGAACCCATGGCTATGGAAGGTTATATAATGTGTTAACTAGTTGAAACAGTTAACAAGATACCTTACTGGTTAAGTCCTTTTAGTTAACTAGACGAAAAACAAGATGCTCCCTTGCTCTTCATCACCAGTATACACCACCAGAAGCGGCTTGTTGTTGCTTGCTGGCCAAAATCACGTCTGGGGGCAGCGATGCGGAATGACCAGCTGACTAATAAAATTCTTAGTCATCTCTCATATCAGCAGAAATCAGCCAATCAAAACAGTTCCTCGGCTAAGGACGGCCTGGGAGGAAAGGGCAGTAAGTAAGGAGGATGGAGAGAGATGCTAACCAGCATTCTACACTTGATTTATGGGATATCTTGTTTAATGATGCACAAGAGAGCCTATACTACTCCATGCAAGTTTTGCTTCAATAGTCACCTGCCACAAATCAGCTGCTTAATCATCGGATAACAACACCACTCTCGGATAGCATCCCGGCCAGGGTCAGGCCAATGATTAATGAACGATCTATATGTCAAACATTGAGTTGTTTACGGTTCGACGGCCCTCTCGGGTAAGATAATGATATATATATTTATGTATGTATATATATTTGGCTTGCTTCATCCAGAAGCATTGTCGAGATTTTGAACAATAAAGAGTTGCAAACATCGTGTCTATATGTCATACCAGTGTGGTAAAATAATCCAGATTCATGTCGACAAACCGGAGACCCCATAACTGCCATATACCCGGCTACAAGGTGGTGGCTGGATAATTCCACCCTGCATTGGAGATGGGGTAACTCCATTGTAGCCGGGATTAGCTCTGGTGCTACTGTTCCAGGAATCCTGCAGTACTCCGCTTGCCACAGCAGTTAGCCCGTCGAAAATTGTGTCTCTGACAAGTAAAGATGAGACGAAACTAAACAAAGCTGACGTCGTTAAAACGAAAAGAAAAGGTGGTCGGTGCGTTTTATATGCTTATATAATCGACCACTGCGGCGGGAAGCTTCCCGTCAACCTTATTTTCTTCTTTCATCACCGTTTCTTCTTTCTTCATTATCCTCTTCTGCTCTTCATCATCTCGAGCCGCCACCACCAATAGCCTCAAGCAGCGAAGAATAGCTGCACTCATCGATGGTTTGGCTCAGCCGACCCCCCAGCTTGTTTCGGAGACAAGGATAGTTTACAAGGTTGTCACTCGCTGCCCCCTTTTACATTTCTGTATGCCGTTACTAATTGGCTTGACCAGCGATCCACCCACGTTCTTGCAGCCGTCGCGCGGAGAGGAGAGGCATATCAAGAAGTCAATACGGGTAGTTCATCCGCGAGAAGAGCAACAAAGAGTCCCGCGCCAATCGCGCCTTTATCCTTCCACGGGCCTGCCCGGATTTAACCATGGCTACCGCGGTGTCGCCCCGCCAGCTCGAGCTCGAGCAACTATCCTCCTCCTCCTCCTCCTCCTCATGTACCCCCTCTTGTCCACAATATCCCGCGCACTCGCAGTATACAATGGCCGATTTCGCCGGTACCATCTTCCTCTTCTTCGTCCAGGTCCTCCCCGGGCTGCTCTACTCGGTCATTACCTTTACCACCATTACCGTCCCGACAGCCCTGTTCACCCTCTTCTCGATGAGCTTAACCTTCACAATGAATTTCACGACTTTGTAAGTCCCGGCCGGCCGTTTCCTGCATTACTCTATATACCCACGGCTCGGCGATTAACAGATAATATAGACTATTAATAACCCTCTTCCTCGTCTCAACAATCAGCTGGTTCGTCCGCTATCGGTTCTTGAATATGTACGCTCACCTCCCTCCGGAACCGCAGCGGCAGGAACCACAGATAGACCTTTTTCCAGACACCCAGGAGGGGGACTCAAAGCCGGGACTCGCCAACTATCTAGATGAATTTTTGAGTGCTATAAAGGTCTTCGGCTACTTGGAACGGCCGGTCTTCCACGAATTAACCCGGACGATGCAGACCCGAAAACTTATTGCGGGCGAGACACTTTTGTTAGAGGAAGAAAAAGGGTTCTGTCTTGTGGTTGATGGCCTTGTACAGATATTTGTCAAGTCGGCGAGGGAGCGTGGTAAGGATGGAGAAAGTTCCGTGGAAGACTCAATGGAAGAGGAAGAAGAACAGCACCACCGTCATCACCAGGGGTACCAGTTACTCACAGAAGTGAAGAACGGTGCATCCATGTCCTCTCTCTTCTCCATACTATCTCTGTTCAGTGAAGATGTGAAGCTCCGCTATCAGGAAGGGGAAGAACCTGCTTCACCCAGCCCTGTAAGCCCTTCACCGTTCGCCAGCAGCCCTCGGTCTTCCTTCCAAGACCGCCACCATCATCACCGCGACATATCCCTCCCATCCAACGGCGGACGCCTTCCTACAGTCCCTCCCATGACATTAGACGATACCAACTCCACCGCCCATTTCCCTACAGCCCACACCCCACCAACTTCTTCGGCTCAGAATCGACGTACTCCAAAGCGTTCGAGAACCAATTCCGTTCATCCAGATATAGTTGCTCGTGCTGTGGTGGATACGACCATTGCCATAATTCCTGCCAGTGCATTTCGTCGTCTTACTCGACTATACCCCCGTGCCACAGCCCATATTATACAAGTCATTTTGACTAGGCTGCAACGTGTGACGTTTGCCACAGCCCATTCATATCTTGGCCTCACTACAGATGTCTTGAGCATAGAAAAGAAGATGAACAAGTTTACTTCATTTGATTTACCCAATGACCTCCGCGGGGCCCCACTGGATAGACTCAAACAGAAATTTCAGAGAGCCGTACAACGTCTTGGGCCAGAAGAAGGCTCAAAGGGAATCGCTCTACACAACCCTGGTGTAAGTAATAGGCGGAGATCGAGCAGTTCTCTGCGGAAAGATGCTTCATTAAGGGCCAAGGTATCTGCCGCAAACGGGCAAGCTACATCACCGCCCACCCCGCCTATCACTGATAAAGAGGCAGCAGGTGTAAGCCCCGGAGATTTACTTTCCTCCATTCAGCTATCTAGATTTGGCCCACGGCATGGTATCGATCGACGACTCGCTTCACGGAGTATCCTCCTCGACTCAACTTCAACTCCTGGGATGAAAACTCCGATGCATACTTCACCCGATGCCAGCTCACCAGCAAATTCTATCTTTAATTCTCCCTCTACTGTCCATGTAAACGAAGATAGCCTCTTCCGTGAATCGATACTCGATTGCATGGTGAAGGCATTGGGACTAACAGCAACTACGCGAGAAGCTCTCCCACTTCCCAAAGGTTTTGGGTCCGCTGATGGCTCTCCACATCTTGTCTCTTACGACTCGCGGAAACAAAAAGCTGTGTTCAACAACGCGTTTGGCTACATAGATCCATATGAGGCGTTTGGGGATGGTGACTCCGAATCTCAGATGAGCATTTCCGTTACAAGCGCAGGCGGTACGCCGCCAATAGCCAATCTGAAAGCCGAGTTGAGCAATGAGATCGAAATTGTCTACTTCCCCAAAGGTTCAGTTTTGGTGGAACAGGGAGAGCGTAATCCGGGATTATATTATGTTATCGACGGCTTTTTAGATGTCGGTATCCCGGTGAATGACAAAGGAGAAGACTTGATCGGTCCATCGAAGAGTAATATCCACTCCGAACCGCTGCTTCCCCTTGGAAGACCATCAAACGTCAATGCACAAAATCAGCGGAAGAAGGCCTCCCGTCGATCCCTATACCTGGTCAAGCCTGGGGATTTAGAGGGTTACATTGGTTCCATAACTTCATATCGATCTTTCACAGACGTCATGGCGAAGACGGACGTGTATGTCGGTTTCTTACCGCGAATATGCCTTGAAAGAATTGCCGATCGGTACCCCCTTGTGCTTCTCTCTATGGCAAAACGACTAACCAATGTCCTTCCTCGTCTCCTGCTACATATCGATTTCGCCCTGGAATGGGTACAGGTCAATGCCGGCCAAGTCATCTATCACCAAGGAGATGAGAGTGACTCTATCTACATAGTGCTAAATGGACGTCTACGATCAGTTCTTGAATCTGGTGATAACAAAGTAAGCGTGGTTGGTGAGCATGGACAAGGCGAAAGTGTGGGTGAGCTTGAAGTCATGACCGAAACCACTCGTCCTGCCACTTTACATGCTATACGAGATACCGAACTAGCCAAATTTCCCCGTTCGTTATTCAACAGCCTTGCACAGGAACATCCTGGAATAACAATACAGGTGTCTAAACTGGTTGCTCAGCGCATGAAACATCTCATTAATACCAAGCTACTTGAAGCCGGTGGTGAAAAGGCTCATGATGAAGCAAGCAGCCTTACTTCAACACTGAATCTACGGACAGTCGCAATCCTTCCTGTGACGTCCGGGATACCGGTTGTAGAGTTCGCAAGTCGTCTCCTCAGCGCATTCAACCAGATAGGAGTTCCAGATGGGGTTGCCTCGTTACACCAGGCGGATATCTTTAATCATCTGGGGCGCCACGCCTTCAACCGCATGGGAAAGCTAAAGCTTTCACAATACCTTGCTGACCTTGAAGAACGGTATGGGATGCTTATATATGTTGCTGATACTAGCGTCAATGCCCCTTGGACGCAAACCTGTATCAGCCAGGCCGACTGCATTCTTCTAGTCGGTGTTGCTGGAGCCTCACCCAGTATTGGAGAGTATGAGCGTTTCCTTTTAGGAATGAAGACGACAGCCAGAAAAGAACTAGTTCTGTTGCACGCAGAACGATACTCACCACCTGGTCTTACAAGGCAGTGGCTTAAAAACCGCATGTGGATTAACGGTGGGCATCATCACATTCAAATGACATATCGCGCTACCCCTGAACCTGCCCTGCCACAAATCAAAAAATTCGGTACTGTCTTCAAGCAACGCGTGCAAGTTATCCAGGCTGAAATACAAAAGTATACCTCGCGACGGATCCGCCAGGAGCCTCTATATTCTGCAACAACTCCGTTTAAGGGAGATTTTCACCGGCTAGCACGTAGATTGTGCGGCAAGTCCGTTGGTTTAGTGCTTGGAGGAGGCGGAGCTCGAGGTATTGCTCATATAGGAGTTATCACAGCACTGGAGGAAGCCGGTATTCCAATTGATATTGTAGGCGGCACATCTATTGGTGCATTCATCGGTGCACTCTACGCTCGTGATGCGGACGTGGTGCCTATGTATGGCCGAGCAAAGAAATTCGCTGCCAAGATGGGCAGTATCTGGCGATTTGCATTGGATCTCACATACCCTTCTGTCTCCTACACAACGGGCCACGAGTTCAACCGTGGGCTTTTCAAAGCGTTCAGCGACAGCCAGATCGAAGATTCATGGCTTGAGTTCTACTGCAACACCACAAATATCAGCCAGTCTAGATCGGACTACCATTCTTCAGGCTACGTATGGCGCTACGTGCGTGCATCAATGTCGCTAGCAGGGCTACTTCCGCCGCTTTGTGACGAAGGTAGCTTGCTTCTGGATGGCGGATACGTGGATAATTTGACTGTTTCACGCATGAAATCTCTTGGTGCAGACGTCATATTCGCCGTGGATGTGGGTGCCATCGATGACAACACTCCACAGGTATATGGTGACTCACTGTCCGGATTCTGGACAGTTCTCAATAGATGGAATCCATTTACTAGCGTCCCTAACCCGCCCACTCTCTCTGAGATCCAAGCCCGTCTTGCCTATGTCTCATCCGTGGACGCACTTGAGCGGGCAAAAAACACCCCAGGATGTCTTTATATGCGTCCACCAATTGACTGCTATGGGACTCTGGAATTTGGCAAGTTTGATGAAATATACCAAGTAGGCTATCAGTATGGAAAAGGATTCCTAGAGAAGCTCAGGAAGGAAGGCTCTCTGCCAATGCCAGAAGAGACCGAAGAGAAGAAGAACATGCGGAGGACTATGGCACCAAGACGAGCGAGTATTTAAAGGGCGAAGAAGAGCAGGGATGAATACCAGGGAGGATATATATATTTTCAAGCCACCTTTCTGTTCCTTTTCCTCATACCTCAGCATCATTATATATACCCAGCCGGCGATACCCCATATATGGCATCATGTCATTCCAATGGTTCATCTACGGAGCATTAGCATGAATACTGTAAAATACTACATACAATGTTATTGATTTACCATGCTCTTTACTAGCATTACTAGGGTGCATAATTGAGGTTCTCGAATAATCAATTAGTATACAACAAAATAAAATTACGGTCAATAAATAATAATGATAATAAAGAATAAATTACTACAACTCCAACCATGATGCCAATAATAATGTAATTATCTTTTAGCCTTACGGCTCGTCTTTGATGTCTAACGAGCCTTTTTGACCTGGCTCCAGCTCCGCATCACTACTCCAATCTGCATCTTCGCCCGCGGACAAACCTTCTCCTTCATATACATCGCTGCTAACGCTCGCCTTACGGCCAATCTTGTTCCCAGGGCTATCGCCATCTGTGGGGGTAGAGGGTTCTACCACGACAACCGGTGCCGCTGGTCTTTGAGGCATGCTCTCACTCCGTCTACGTATATGTTCTTTGCGAAGCATATCATGAGTAGCGGTATCCTTTTTCTCCTCGCCGTTCCAACCGCCACACCCAACACAGCGCCATCGCCCAACTTCTTCCAAGGTGCGAATACCAGGCGCAGCTTGTCCGTTGACTAACCTGCAGTGGACGCATATCAGTGCCAGGCGGTTTTTTGGCAGCGTTTCATCTTCACCAAGGAGAACGTCAAGTATCCTGTCATACCACTGCGGCTGACGGGGTTCAATATTCTGAGTTGGAGGGAAGGCACTAGGATGAAAACCAGGCTCATCTGGAGGATGGTGCGGTGGCTGCTGTTGCATTTGTGCTAACTGTAAGCTGGATGGGCTCGGTGGGTTTGACGGAATATCAACTTGTTTGCGATCGTGTTTCTGTCCCATGGGGCTTGAAGGGAGGGAACCGGCAGTTTGTGGCCGTCGAATATTAGCTGTAGGAGGGGGTGTCATTCTGGTTCTTGGTCCCTGGAAGGGGAGAGAAGTTCGAGAACGAGGACCTTTGCGTGAGCCCCCATGCTGATTCATCCCTTCCATGTCATCAGCACCTTCTTGTGGAGACGGAGACCTCGGAGGCTCTGCGCCATATTTCTCGAGTAGTTGCAGAGTAGAGTTGTATTTCGTAGCTTCTTTCAGCTTTTCAATAGTCTCGTCACGTTGTTTCTGCAGTTCTTCGAGGTATTTCTGTGTCTTCGTGATTTGATACTGGAAGAACGCTGCGCCTATCCGCCGAACTGTATATATTCTATATATCCAGACATATCAGATATAGCACACCAGAGATAAACAAGATCGGGGTATCATACATTACTGGGCTACCTGACAGGGCCGTATACTCTACAGGACCCCACCGTTCCCAACCTAACACCAGCGCCGCAATAAGCGCATACAATATGTACGCAAAGGTAGTATACAGCGTCCAGAGGGCCCTGAACCGGCGAGCACGTTGCCTATGAACCTCTAGTCTGCCATTTGACTGTGCGATCTTCTCAGACAAGCCTGCGAGTGTCTTCTCAAATGACGCTGGAGAGTTATCTGGGCCCTGTTAACTCATCGTTAGCTGCTGTAGACCTAGTTCATGTACTGCGAAAGATAAGCACTTACTCTCCATGGCCAGAGGGACACCATGGTGATTCAGTATCAGCGATCCTGCTTCATATCAGCGTGTTAAAACGGCCGTTCGGCGCTGTACCATGGTCTTCTTGAGCTTTTATCTGCGTGTTGGCTGTGTTAGAAGCCATCACAGACGTTGCTGGCATCAAGAAGAGCCAGTTGTTGGCTGCTGACTAAGCACGGCCATTCTACATATTTGCTTCCAGCGGAAGAAGCGCAAGTAAACATTAATTCAACAACAGCGCCAGTTATAGATTTGATCCTAGAGCTACGACGGAGTTTTCTTCTTGTGATTCAAGTGACATGAAACTGTCAGTCTGCAGGTTGGCAAGGCTGCAGTACTTATACCGGCGCCAGGGATCTAGCTGTTTCGTCTAAATAACTAATTGCCCGGGTGCTCAACCAGATCTCAACAGCCAGCCTCTTTGGCCATTGTTAGACAACCCTATAGCAACTGACAGCCACTCACGGAAGTTCAGTATTGGGGAGTGCGGGATAATTTGTACGCGATCATCTTTTGGATACTCCCGAAAAAGGCCACTGTTACTAGAAAACGGCCGCAATGTTCCAGGTGAGCTCATGCAACTGCAACTAGGAGCTGCGATTCGAGCTGACACAGCCTGATCCCAGCGTATCCGCGGTGCTATCGATGCTAGGATAGCTGAAGAACAGGCCCGGCAGCGTGCTAGTCAGGAAACTCTGTCTCGTTCGAACTCAGCGGCCCGAAAGTCGAACAATGCATCACCATCTCAACGAACAAGCCGGATAAAGCAAGATAGTTCCGGAATTCCATCCCGTGGACCAGACCCAGCCGAGTTTGATGGCGAGACGATTACCGGAGACGATGAGCCGATGGCAGAGACCGCCTCGTCTAATCAAGGGTCTGAGAAGGGTGGATTTGGGAACCCAGGGCAGCAGCCAGGGCAGCAGGCAAAGGGAGATGCTAAGGAGGCATCTACAGCTGGGTTGAAGGATGGGTCCATGAATGAGTTACCCACCGATATTCGAGTGAGGCTGCGAAGACTGGATAAGCTAGAAGCTAGGTATCAAGGTATGTGTAGGTATGATTCTGCGGTTAGGATCCTGTGAGTTAACAATCACATAAAGAACTGCTCAAGGCTTATCGAGCTGCACACGCCCGAGTCCTTACTATCGAACCTTTCGAAACTGCCCTTCGTGAAAATACGCCTCTTACTTCTATTACAGATCCTCGTGCGTTAACTGAATACCTCAATCAGATTTCATTAAAGGGTGATATGGTGGTGGAAGAGTTGAAGCGGGTATCGTCTGAGCGTGATGAGTTCAGGGCTAAGGTGGAAGCTGCAGAGAAATCTGCAAAGGATGCTTGGAATGAGGTATCTAAACTCAAGAGCAAAAACGATTCCACTGGAGAGACCCAAGCGGAGGACAAGAAGGATGCTACACAGGCTCCGCCGATTAGTCCACCGGGAGCAGAGACTTCAGAAAATCCGAAGAAATCACCAACACCTTCTGTGGCTTCTATGGCCACCGCTATCCCTAGCTTATCTATATTTTCTCCAAAAACGAAACCTGTTTCTTCGCCGCCGCCAGTTGAGGAAACGGAGGAGTTCTTTTCCTTCGACAATGAGATACCACGGCTAGAGTCCGAGATAAAATCTCGTGATAAGGAGATTACGGGGCTCAAGTCTCAGATCAAGACATTGACAAATGATCTCGCCGTGGCTCGCGAATCAACAGAGGGCATGGTTCATAGCCTAGAGTCTGCTACCCGCGAGCTTAGCGGCTTGCGTGAGCACAAAGATCTACAGGAAGCTAAGCTTGTGAGCCAGGAGTCATCATTCAAGGAACAAATTGCAGCCTTGGAATCAAGATTGGCATCAGCTTCATCAGAGCTAGATAACTCTACTGCAGAAATGGGAAAACTGAGGTCTCAGATCAAAGAGAAGGAAGAAGAAATGAGTCGGATAAAGGCAGATATGAATGCTCAAGAGAAGAGCAAGGCAAACGATAAAGAAGCTGGCAAACGGCTGGAAATACTGCAAGGAGTTGTAACAAATCTGAAGTCGCAACTCAAAGAAGCCGAAGACACAATGTCATCCTTGAAGGTAGAGTTGTCTGCTAAAACAGCCGAAACAGACTCTCTCAGTGCTGTTGTTAGCTTCATTGACAAGGGTTTGGATGATAATGAGACGTGGAAATCCGCCAGGGATCGAATTTCCCATGGTGAGTACGTTGATTTCGCAGAAATCAAGAGAAGCATTAGGGGCGCAGACCCTTCGAAGCCCACCGAGGACGTCAATATTCCCGCTGCTACTAAGGCTGCGCCTGCTGCTGCGACTGCAGGGTCCAAAAAGAAGAATAAAAAGAAGAAAAAAGGGACAAAGCAAGAGTCTGACGAGGCGGTTGAAGTGTCAAATGCCAATATACCTCCGCAAAATTCTAGTACCATCAGTGATCTTGAGCTTAAAATTCAAAAACTGGAAACAGAGATCGCGGATAAGGATTCTGCAATCGATCGTCTCTGCTTGAGGCTTAAGGGAGAGGAGAATCTACGCGAGGAGATAGAGACCCTGCAAGATGAAGTGGTAAGTCTTGGACAGGACCACGTTGAGGCAAAGGATAAGGTCAAGGAGTTGCTTGCAGAGAAATCTGCTCTTGAGAAGCGTGCTGCAGAATTCGAAAAAGAGATAGCTAGTCTACGGTTGAGCTCTACACAATCATCAGATGCTGAGAAGGCTCATAAAGGTTTGTCGGTGGAGTTTGAGGACCTGAAGTCAAAAGCATTGATTCTGGAGACGGATCTGAACGCTGCTCAACAGCTGGCAGCTTCTAGGTTTAAAGATCTCTCCGATCTTCGAGACACTCTGCAGAAACTACAGCCTGAGCTACGCTCCCTGCGAGCAGAGTCAGCAGAGCTTAAGAAAGCAAAAGAAGAACTGAAGACAAAGACATCACAAGTGTCAGACCTGGAGCATAAACACGATGATCTACGTTCAGAAATTAAGGGCCTACAATCCTCGGTTGAAGAGAAGGATTCTGAGGTGAAAACGCTGCGCCAAAAGATCAGCCAGGAGACTAATGGAAGACTGAAAGCAGAGCAGGCCCTCGAGGTAGCGCAAGGCGATTTGCGTTACTCTGAAGGGAAAAAGCAAGAGGCGATTGAGGCTAACGAGAAGACTCTACGTGACCTTTCAAAGGCTGAAGAGGAACTTCGAGCATCACAGTCTAGGCTTCGTGATGCTGAAGAACAAGTATCCCAGCTTAATAGAGATATTGAACAGTTACGTGATGACATCAAGCTGAAGACAGCCCAGTACTCCAGCGCTCAAAGTCTGATGAGCAGCATGCGAGACCAGGCATCAGAAATGGCAATGCAGGTAAAGGAAACAACTGAAAGATGCGAAAGCCTAGAAGAAGAGGTTGCGGATGCTCATCGCCTTCTATCTGAACGGTCTCGTGAAGGAGAAACGATGAGGAGGATGCTCTCAGATATCGAGATGAAGGCAGACATAAAAGTGCGGGAACACAAAGAGAGACTCGAGGCCGTCATTGAAGAACGGGACCGAGCCGAGGACGAGGCAAACTCGGTAAACCGAAGAAGAGCCAGGGAGATTGAGGAGTTAAGGACGAAGGCAAGGGATGCGGAGAAAGCCCTGAGAAGGGTAGAAGAAGACAAAGACGAGGTAGAGCATGCACAAAGGGAGTGGAAACGGCGACGAGGCGAGCTGGAATCACAGCTGGAACGCTCTAACCAAGAGCTCGCCGAGGTTAAAGAAGCCATGTCACACTTGCGGGATGCACTCGATGAAAGCGAGCGCCATGCAAGGGATCTAGAAAAGGAGAAGACTGCCCTCCGCCGGTCTATTGAGGAAACCAACCAGCGCCTCGAGAAGCTCAAGCGGACTAACAAGTCCCTCGCTACCGATTTGAAAGCTTCCCAGCTACCGAACAAGCGCGGGATCGACTCTGGTAACAGATCACCGCGCTCCTCTCTTGAATCGGCGAGACAGCGCGGTGTTACTTCTCCGCCCCCAGGCACCAGCAGCGGTCGAAACGGCTCAATCACCCGGAACGATACACCTACTCCGATTGACTACGTTTACCTTAAAAACGTATTGCTACAGTTCTTGGAGCAAAAGGACCGAAACCACCAGAAGCAGTTGATCCCAGTTCTTGGGATGCTGCTGCATTTTGATCCGTAAGTTGTTCACCTCTGAGAGTTGAGCCGAATATTCAACTAAGCTATTTTGCTATCTACAGAACGGACGAGCAGAAATGGATGTCGGCTATATCATCACGATAAATGTAGCGCCTGCTGTAATCTGCATGACTCACATAGCTCACTAATACGATGTAAATTTCGGCCATAATCCGTATCACTATTTAGCCTCTTTCTTGAGTGCAGCCAGCCTTCTCAGCAAACCTCGGATTCTCTGTCAAAGGGCGTGGGTGTCGGGTTCTAGGTTGCGATAACGGGTGTTTGCCACAGGTCGGTCAGTATTCATCCATTATGGGTATATAATGACCCAAACACCCGGGATTCTTTCAGCAATACTAGATTTCTTCCCGTTAAAGAGAAGAGACTTGGATATAGCTATCAAAGCACAGCAAAGCATCAACCCGACAGCATGGCTGGCCAGCCGATTACCAGGCTTGCAACTGAAGACGGTACGAACACACGCGGCCCGGTTCTTTGACAGGGAGAGTGACTGGATAGTTGAACTAACTAGACAAGCAGACATCCCAATCATTCTGCAGTTCATCAACGAGCTCGCAGAGTACGAAAAGGCACAGCATGAAGTCCAGGCCACCCTCTCTTCGCTAAGGGAGACACTCTCGTTCCCGGACTCACCCAAACGAGGCTCCGTCTATACGTTTCTCATTACTCCGCCTGCCACCGAAGCCGACGGCAGCCCGAAACCCGTGGGGATGGCTCTCTTCTTCTATAACTACTCAACTTGGCGATCAGCGCCTGGTGTCTACCTGGAGGACCTTTACGTTCAGCCAGCCTATCGAGGCAAAGGTTACGGCTTCAAACTGCTACAGACACTCGCCCAAGAAGTCATTCGTATCGGTGGGAAGAGACTTGAATGGTCCGTTTTGAAGTGGAATGAGCCCAGTATCAAATTCTACAAGTCCATTGGCGCGGCACCGAAGGATGAGTGGCTGGGGATGTGCGTCTCCGGTGATGCATTGAACAACCTGGCTGGTCAGGGCCCATAATTCGGCATTGACACTCACCCTCTAGATATTGTACATGAACCAGTTGATTATCACAGCCTTTTACATTTGGAGTACTGCAAAGTAATACAGGCTATATAGAGTGTTTCTTGTCACTTCAGACTCATCCACACTTACCACAAGTACGGCCAGAAAATGGCCTTTTCTTTCTTCACTGAAAAGCTTTGGATACATTAGGTCTAGAGAAGCCTACACTGGAGCTCTCTTTGAGCTTGTCATCTCCGTCATCGAATGACCTCAGCGAACTTCGGTTATTCGGAGAGCCTCAAGACAAGTCGAGTTCTCTCTCCTGCGCTGGACCTGATGATTCCCGCTTTTGCCACCGCTGGTCCCCAGAGCTGGTCTGTGATGATAGCTTTCGGAGACGACTTGTAGTTAACCTTGACGCATAGTTGGCTAACGAGTCAACTGACGGCTTGAGGCTGTGAAGAATGGCCGAGCTACCCTGGAACCGTTGAGCAGAGGACGGCGAGGACGGGGATGGCGAGCTGGCCATCAAAGCGGTTGACTGTTTAGTCAACTGTTTAACCCCCTTTGTCCTTTACGAGCTTGCAGAGTTTGTCACGTACGAGACCGTCGACTGGCCCATCCATTCATTCAAGACCGAAGTCTAACCTTGTGCAAAGGCTTACGCTGTCCTGATATCAAGGAAAGGTAGGCGAAAAGACAAAGAAGAGAGAACCGATGGCTTTACGGTCGAAAGCCTGTGCGCAGGAACTTGGCTAACTTGCTTCTTAGACATGACTTACTGAACCAGCCCTTGACGGCCAGAACCGATTTCCGTTAAGATGAGATATCATGACCTCAGCGATGTATGACCTTGTGCTTTTGCCTCCCTCCCCTGGCGGCAGCTGGGAATTCTCCTTGCAGTCGGTGCCAGGGCGAAGCTACTCTTCTGCCCAAAGTCACTTGACATAAAGCACTCGGTCTGGCCGCAAAGGTGTACATGGCCATTCCTTGACGGCCGGATTCCATCTCCCGTAGTTCTCAAAGGGCTGCTCTGGCTACACCGATATCCCGCTTGTTCCATGTATAGTGGACTAGCTGCCGCTCTGGCCCATGCCTTACGCCACAAGTAGCAGACACATCTAAGCGCATGGCAAGTCACCTCCTTTGTCTAGAAGAAAGAAGACAAAGCATAATAGAAAGTAAGCGTTAACTCTACTTTCTTGTCTGTGGGGGTAGAACCAAGTTCAGATGGTGGCCGAAGCTTGTGGAGAAAGCGGATGCAGTATCCAGCTAGCTAACTATATATACCTACAGACAGTTATTCCGCGCATCCCATTTTCGATGTTTCTTCGATGTTTCAGTTGCTTTCAAGAGTCAATCAACCGTTGTCATCTACTACTCACTACCGTACTAGCTATCTTTGGGTAATTCTACAGCGACATCTTGCACAGTGCGGAACCAACACAAGATACAGGCGGAAATGCTCACCTCTCTATCTGTCTTACGTCTCTATTCGACAGATTACTTGACATCTGCAGGCTAGAGGAACAGACCGGAACAGAAGAAATCGGATAGTGGTTGACACTCAACACCAAACTGATACCAAAACTTCTACTTAATACCTATCACCAAGACCCATAGTTGATCGGAAGCCGTGAAGATGGACTTCCCCGCTGGTGGAGTGATAGTCATCGTTATCAACACCACATTTACTTCGCTCGCGATCATCGCCGTGATCCTCAGGTTCTACGCCATCCATGTCATTGGCAGGAACTACTATATGAGTGACTATCTTATAGTCCTAGGTCTGGTATGGCGCAAATGCCCCATCAAAATTATACCACTATGCGGCTAACACTGGCTGTTCATGATATCTGCAGATCTTTACAATCGCCACGGCAGTCCTTGCAATGATTGGTAAGTTAAGGAGTCTATCTGCTTCTGGCGCGACGGTTGCTGACGTTTTATTGCAAACGCCTAGCTGTTATAGATGGCGGCGCAGGTCTACACATGAACCAGGCGACTGACCGCCAGCTTCTGATGTTACTGAAGGTATGAACAAAATGATAATTTGCATCTTATCGTACCATATAACGCATTTAGAAATCTTCACTAACCCGGGAGCATAGACATTCGTTGCAGGGCCTATCCTATGGTCCACGGCTACAACATTAATCAAACTCTCCATCTTATCCTTCTACCATAAAGTGTTTGGCTCGAAACAGTCAATGAGAATCGCTGTTTATATTGAAAGCATTGTCACTATAGCCCTCTATCTGGCCGGAATCCTAGAGCCCTTCTTGCTCTGCCGGCCGTTCAACTATACATGGAACAAAGAGGCACACGGAACCTGCGGTAATGCAACAAAGGCGTATCTAGCTATAGCCGTGGCCAACCTGATCGTCGACTTGTCCATATACCTGCTTCCAATACCCGTGTTGTGGAACCTGCAGATGAATTTGGTCAAGAGACTAGCACTGTGCGGTATATTTGCCATCGGTCTAGTGTAAGTACAATCCTCCCCTATGATTAAGTGCACCCATGTTGATGCTGATGCTCCCGGCTAGTGTTTGCGTTTTCTCTAGCCTTCGAATATATGCCGTTTTGACCCTCGAAGTTAATGATTATTCCCATTCTATGATCAAGGATATAACTTTTGGCGGCTTGGAGGTTGAATTGGGTGCAATAAACGCTTGTCTCCCATTCTATCGACCGCTTGTCGCCAAATATATCCCGAGTCTCAAGTTTGATCGCAACTCTAGCAGAGGGTCATATGGTAGCGCAAAATCTCGGCCAGGTCACGTCCCCTGCAGTAGTGAGGGCGGATCCCGGGACTCACGCGGGTCACAAAACCCATTAAACCCTCCAAGCTGCAACCCTTATGTTGATGAAGTGGTTGGTGAACCATATGCCAATGGAGATGGGCATGTTCAGCTGGACGATAGCTCGCTAGAAAAGGGAATTACCCAAGAGCAAAGGGCCGTCAGTCGTTGATCGAAGGCAGGCAAGTCCCACATGGTATTCTATTGATCATCCGTACCATTATCACCTCCACAAAGTCGGCCAAAGCGTTCTGCCTCCATCCTCTCCGCAGCCAGTCGTCCTTCCGAGATATTGTCCATGATGTCGCAAATCCAACTCGAAAGTTGGCTCACAAGCACCGTATTTATGCGAAACACCACCCACTCATAATGCCACATTAGCCAAACCTCAACCGCACGATGGCAGTTCTCTAGGCACTAGCAGGCAGGTTACGGAGCTACCTACCTATAGTGCTTACTAAAGTTTAATTGGAAAACCTCTAGTATGATTGCTATCGCCGGGCCTTGTGGCTTTCGAATAGCTTTCCGAGGACTGATGGATATTGTTCGGTAATAAAATGACATTATTCTGAGCGTTGATACCCCTGTTTCCTGGTTCAATTGCTGAATGGTAAAAATATTCCACACAATATCAAACGAATGAGTAACCTCAAAGCAAACCTCCACGTCCATTATATCAACTCTCACTTATTTAGTTTCTTGGTCATATGATCAAGGTAAAAGAGCCTCAGGTCCCGCATAAATGAGCTGCCACTCTGAGTGCCGCATCTGGCTTATGAATGGGTATAGTTATAGTCAGTTATATTTCGATTCTTTCGCCAAGGCAGTACGAGAGGTTGTGTGAAGGTCAAATAGCTGAACCGTCAGGTATCTATCTGCGTCCCCGACCTTGATTCCTCCGGGCCCTAGGTGATTTATACATTTTGTTAGAGAGGTTATTCCGCGGGAATATATGGAGTCCTCTGTAAGTAGTTGTACGGAGTATTCAAAGAACACGATAGAAGATAAACGGATGTCAAATACAGCATGAGACTGCTTAGTCAGTAGCTGAATGTCACATGATCTATTATGTAATCCTTCCCCGCCCAAGAAAGACCGCCGAGGGATCCGGGCGATGCCCGTATCAGATCTTCTTTTTTTCTGCAGACCTGAAACGAGAGAGAAGATAAGGAAACAAAACAAGCCGGGTCGGAGTTGTATGATAAGATCAACACGAGCTAGAAAAGAACCCCTTCCGGGTTGCTGTCGGTACTGGGAATCGGGCTGGGGGCGGCCACAATGCTACGTTATACTATAACACTGTGTCATACGGCGTGCTACCTTGCTGAATGGAAGGGGAGTTTCACTCTGGGCTAATGCGCGAAACATATACCCCGATGCAGAGTTGACTATTCCCATTCTGAGTGTTATTGATGCACGACATCACTCCGCTGTTTCCGCAATGCAGATGGTGTTTCTAGAAAGATGCACGGTAGATTTTCCATGGCTCGTTTTAGGAGTGGTACTTTGTCTCCCAGATTTATGATTCGTGGAAGAGAAATAAAGAATCACGATCCAGAAGCAGCGCCAAAAGTCTATACAATGTTAGCATGACCTAGAACTCTTGTCACAGACGTGCTTAACTACCGGGAAAATGGTGTCAATGAAATTGTATGGCTTTTCCTTTACTGCCACGAAAGCAGCAAAAGCGCAAAGCAAGAAAAAGTACTTAACCCTTATTACTAAACAATGATAGATAAGCTTAAGCGGCCCCACATTAAATAAGGTTACCCCAAAGTTCAGATATTTTCTGATTGGCTGGAAGCCCTGCCAGAGGCAAGCCAGCATCTCGGCTTGTTTTCTGCACGAGAAGGAGTGTCATCTGCTTGCATCCCTCTGCATTGCATTCAGCCTGTTAAAAGGGGGGGGACTGCACATTTTTCTTCATCGGCTACCATAAACATACTCGCTTTCCCTCCCGACGTCATGGATAGGTCCTCGGGTAGTCTATCTACAGGAGAGATGAGCCCGGAGGCTCATCTCCAGGGGACTGAGCTGGCAGAGGCTCCCGACCTGGAACTACTGGGTGAGTGCAGGAATTGAAATTTCTTCCAGTTCCCCTCATAAAATATCTGCTAAGGCAGAGTACATTTAGCGGTCATGGGTTATAAGCAGGAACTTCGCCGACATTACTCCACGATTCAGGTGTTTGCTATTGCCTTTAGTATTATGGGATTGCTGCCGTCCATTGCATCGACGCTGTCCTTTTCCGTGCCTGCGGGGCCAGCGGCTATGGTTTGGGTACTTAACCCGCCACCAACCATTAGTTATAGATAGTAACACAGGGCTCTGGGGATATGGCTAACCACCGTGCACTTCCATCTAGGGCTGGTTCACTGCCTGCTTTTTCATATTCATAGTTGGAATCGCTCTGGTAAGTTTAAAACTAGGCCTCGTTTAGCTCGTACGGGAAGTATTACTGAAGTTTAACTCATAATAGGCTGACCTCGGCTCCGCGCTCCCAACATCCGGAGGATTGTATTGGTGGACACACCACTTCGCCGCAGACAAGTGGAAGAACCCCCTTAGCTTTCTCGTTGGTTACAGCAATACCATAGGCCTCATTGGCGGTATATGCTCGGTCGATTGTAAGTGATTTTGTATCCAGTAGCTACCGCCAGTCCTATGCTGATAAAGCTTAAGACAGCTTCGTGCTCATGGTATTCGCCATCGTCTCGTTCGTTCGGGACGGTGAATGGATGGCTTCAAGAAGTCAGATATATGGCGTTTATGCCGCTACCATAATAATCCACGGCATACTTGCAATACTGGCAGCCCCAATCATGCATCGTATACAGTCAGCCTGTATCGTTGCCAATGTTGGTCTAGTACTAGCAACTGTTATTGCATTGCCGATCGGAAGATCAAGAACCGCGGAAGGTATCAATTCTGCAGCCTATGTTTTCAGCCACGTAGAGAACCATACTTCATGGCCAACAGGATGGGCATTCATGCTCTCGTGGCTCTCACCCATCTGGTCCGTCGGTGCTTTTGATTCCTGTGTCCATATGAGCGAAGAGGCCATGAACGCTGCCAAAGCTGTTCCCTATGGAATCTTGGGGGCCATTGGTGCATGTTGGTCCCTTGGTTTTCTATCTCTTTGCATCATCGCCGCCTGTATAAGTACCGACTTAAGCTCGGTCCTCGAGAGCCGGTTTGGTCAGCCGATTGCCCAGGTAACTTCATGTCTTAAGCGCACTTCGTAGGTATCAAGCTAATATATCTTATACATAGATATACTATGATGCTCTGGGGAGAAACGCAGCAATAGGGTTTATGGTGGCCATGGCAACAGTCCAGTTTTTCATGGGTTTAAGCATTGTAAGGAATCCTTCGCCTAGTCGCTTAGAGAAGAGACTGTCTTAACAATATATCCAGGTGATCGCGGCATCTCGACAGACATGGGCCTTTTCCCGTGATGGTGCTCTCCCATTCTCAAACTACATGAAGGTAGTCAGCAGGAGATTCCGTTATCAACCAGCGCGCGCGGTAGTGGGAGTCACCATCACGTCAGTCATACTTGGCTTGCTTTGCCTTATCAACAGCGCTGCCACAAACGCACTATTCTCGCTAACCGTCGCCGGAAACAACGTTGCCTGGGCGACTCCGATATTCTGCCGTATATTCTGGGGCCAGAACAAGTTCAAGCCTGGTGCATTTTACACAGGCCGGCTCAGCACACCAATCGCCATCCTGGCACTCGCGTATCTCTCTTTCTCAGTCACTCTGTCGATGTTCCCAACCGCCGGGCCAGCACCATCCCGTAAGTACTTTCCCACCATCTTTCTCCAGCATTACGCGTCCCATGTTAACACCAATGTTTCCATAGCGGACGCCATGAACTACACTGTCGTGATCAACGGGTGTGTCTGGGTCGGTTCGCTGTTGTACTATTTCGTATCAGCCAAAAATTGGTTCCATGGGCCACAGAGGACTCTAGGCCCAGCATCAGTGTCTCTTGAAGGGAGCGAAGACAAAGAGAAGAGATGATGCGAAGTTCCCTCGAACTGGTGTTATATTGTATGTTCTTCCTGTGCGGTGTTTTTTTTTTTTTTTTTTCCTTCTTCTCTTTTTTCCCACCAAGAGGGATAAATTTACAGTTTTAGAATTAAGCGTAAGTTACTAGAGTTTAGATAAGCTATGCTGACAAAGCAACTCTAATTTGACTGCTGAAACATGATAGACCAGAATATCAACCAAGCCATCTCCGTACCCAACGAGCGAACCAGCGGACGGGGTAGTGACATCGGTACTTCGAGGAATTCTCAGCCAATGTCTGTCGTTTCACCAGTGAAGGATCCTGGCTTGGCGGGCAAATGGTGCAATCCGCAACAAACTTCTTGCGCTTTTGCGACATCGGACATGTTGCGGTACGTTTGAGATCCCTGACCATGGAGCACAGGCTAGTTTGTCTCCAGAGCTTCGCATCGCTTTGTGTCTTCCCCGCCAGGTAGAGAGGTAGTTGAACCGTCGGGTAGCCGAAGCTCTCCTCAGAGACTTATTTATGCTGCTTACTTCCCCCGGATTCCTGGCTTGCTGAGGGGGCCGTCTTCGCCTTTGTTTGTCCTGTTACTTTCCCCCTGCTTTTTTTTTTTTTTTTTTCTTTTTGACAATCCGCGCTGGAAGAATATATTCCAAGTCTAAGACTCCACTTATAGACCTGGAGGCTGGTTAGTAACTGCAGCTTCGGTTGGTGTTGCCGGATACTTGTCTGGCGCCCGTCTGCATTACCGACCTGGCGACACGGAACAGTTCATAAGACGGAAACGAAGCAGGAAAAGGGAAGACGGAATTGCCGAGGGTCTCTCTCCATTATGGCTGTTACTGAAAGCCATACTGATGGCGCGGATACGATCATTCCCACGAGTGCGCATGGCAAGCCGCCGGGTGATCCAGTCCTGCTGGAAAGCGCAATGCCCGAGGAAACTCCCCAGAATGCCCCGTTGCACCGCACTCTGAAGTCGAGGCATCTTCAGATGATTGCCATCGGAGGTGCGTCTTGCTTTTCTGCTTTGGTTGTTCTTCTACGCCTGATCAACTAGTTAATGTTATGTTTGGAACAGGCATCATTGGCCCTGGTTTACTTGTTGGATCCGGAAATGCCCTACACGTTGCTGGGCCTGCCGGCATTCTCATCAGCTTCACACTCGTTGGAATCCTTGTTTTCTTCGTAATGTAAGTGCTTCCCCTGTGATATACAAAGACAGTCCGGTACTCATACTTACTATATAAGGCAATCTTTGGGCGAAATGGCTACTCTTATCCCTGTGTCGGGATCGTTTACAGAATATTCAGCTCGTTTTGTTGATCCGTCGCTGGCTTTTGGTCTTGGTTGGGCTTATTGGTATTTATGGGTTACCGTTAGTTTCCGTTCATCCCCACTACCCGTTTCCTTATATTTGATTCATATTCATGATAACTGACGATTCTCAGGTCCTTTCTAACGAATACAATGCATTAGCTCTTGTTATGGGCTACTGGACAGATGTTGTACCGCAATGGGCATGGATTCTTATGTTTTGGGTCATCTTCTTAACGCTGTCAAATCTTGGAGTTCTAACGTATGGCGAGGTTGAGTTCTGGCTTGCCTTGTAAGTATTTACAACCTTGACCTTTTTTTCTGTATGGTAGCTAATCATAACTTGTGTATAGGATCAAAGTCATCTCCCTCACGGTATTCTTTATCCTTGCAACAGTTATCAGTGCCGGTGGTATTGGCGGCAAAACAATCGGGTTCAAGTATTGGAGCAATCCTGGCGCTTTTGCCGATTCTATCAACGGAGTAGCAAAGACATTTGTGATCGCAGGCACACTCTATGCTGGGACTGAAATGTATGATACACCGCCAACCTTATCGCCCGGTTGAGTCTCTCGTCTTACACAGTCTAGGGTTGGTATTACTGCTGGTGAATCGGCGAACCCCCGAACCGCCGTTCCAACCGCTATCCGCCAGGTCTTTTGGCGTATCTTGATCTTCTACGTCGGTGTGTACTCCTTCAATAACGCCTCTCCTATATCGTCTACAAAGCTAACATAACGTTAGGGATGATGTTCTTCATTGGTATCCTACTACCATATGACGACAAGCGCCTCCTGTCCTCTGGCTCCAAGACAGCGCAGTCACCTCTCACCATTGCACTCTCCGATGCCGGTATTCTTCCAGCAGCTCATCTGATCAATGGTTTGATCGTTATATCTGTGATCTCTGCTGGTAACAGTTCCCTGTATGTTGCATCTCGCACGATACTGTACATGGGACGATCCGGCAAGGCGCCGGCTATCCTAGGTCGAACAAACAAAGCCGGTGTTCCCTGGGTTGCTTTGCTGTTTACCAATCTGGTTGCTTGCATTTCCTTCCTTTCCTTGTCTTCCAGTGCCGGAAAGTTATATTCCGCACTTATTACTTTGTCAGGAGGTACGAATCCACAAAGAACCCCAGTTAATCCTGCATTTACTGACAAGTTTTCTCCAAGTGTGTACATTCATCGTTTGGGCTGTCATAGCCGTAACCCACATTCATTTCCGACAGGCCCTCTCCATCCAAGGCGAAGATACCTCTGTGCTACCATTCCAAGCTATGTTCTACCCTTGGGGAACATATATTGCCCTCGCAGCAAACATATTTTTGATTTTCTTCCAGGGATACACCGCTTTCCTCCACCCATTTAGCGCTGAAGATTTCGTTGTCAACTACATCCTCCTTCCCGTGTTCGCTGTTCTTGTTCTTGCCTGGAAATTCGCTAAACAGACTAAGATCGTTAAACTAGAAGAGATGGATATATGGAGTGGAAGAAGGGAGTACGGAGATGATATTACAGAAGATGTCTCCAAGAAGACCGTTTGGACCAAGATTAAGGATATCATTGTTGGTTAATCCCCCCGATAATCCTTCTATCCCTTACGATATGATGCATATAGAAGTACTCGTATTAGTGATCAAATATATATATTATGATTTTATATCTGATTTTTGTATATTTTATTTATATTTTATTTATCTCATGAATCGTTGCGCTACTCTGAATGTTCAACGCCAAGAACAGCCAATCACACACAAGAATAGTAAAACAGGACAAAGGGAGTAAGTTTCGGTGCGCTGTCGCAGTGGAGGTTAGGAGGCAAAATACCAACTTGTCAAAGCGCCCAGCGCTATCGGTTAGTTTAAGTTAAAGAATCGGGTCTGGCCATTTATTAAGAAAGGAATGTAAGGGAAAGAATCGGGATTTGAGTGACAGAGGATCACATAAATTTCCTCTGTTTTATCGGACTAGGGGTCCGTAGATGATCCTGAGACACATAACCGGATGGTGGGCCGAGTTCAAGCTGTCTCAGAGGCCGGCCTTCCGGCCCCTGATTGTCTCTGAAAACACTTCGGTGGGCAGGATGACTGAAAAAAGGGTTATCTGTTTCTGGTCTTGAATGACCTGATGTATAGCTGCTGACATGAGCCTGTTGGGAGGGCATATGTGGAGGCGGAGGATATCCCGTATAGCCAGGTGGCATATGAGGTGGATTGTTTGATTTGTTGCGGAAGAATGAAAATGTGAGGTTGGAGACAGTGACGCAGGCCGCTATGGAGGATATGAAAAAGAACTGTGCGCAGTCAGTACTGTAACATTATTTTTCGAAAGAGGTTGGGTAGAGGCAACTCGTACCATTGCTTTGAAACTAATTGGTTCAATAAAGCCGTTGAATATCTCCGCCAGCGTCTGTGCAGATACCCTTGCTCGACCAACCTTTGCAGGATCTCTATGCATGCATCTCTCCCAGTTGTCGCAGACCGTTTCCAGAGCAGGTAATCTTCTCCCATCGGGATCACCGCAGCGGTTCTCGACGTAGTTTTTCGTGCATGTGGCTATCTCCGCCAGAATATCTGCGGACTGGCTTTCACTAGCGATCTCAACGTCGTGTTTAATGGCAAGCAAGAAAGCAACAATGACATATAGTATCAGAAATGCGATTATCAAGTTAAATGTGAATTGGGCGTAGTATGACAGTATTCGAGGGATATGCGGATGAGTTTCGAGAAACGTAAAGAGGCGCGATAGGTATGGTATGTGGCTTGTGTTTTCAATCTGGTTGGTCTGTTGTGCCTTTCCTGGCTTTCGGTCCAATTCGCGACTGCTCGGCCGGTCATCAGTGCTGTCTTCACTAGCATGGCGGATGTGTCTGAGCTCCCGGTCTCGTCTCCTCCTCTTCTGGACCTTTTTCACCAGGGAATTAGAGAACTTGTTTGAGCGCGGTACTTCTCCACGACCCGAGCTAGGTGCAGCTGGAGCGTATATACCGTAGAGATTGAAAAGGGAATTGCGTCGTGTGGCTTTCGACGGCTGTTCAGGGGTCTCGTCGTTATCTGCATGCTCGGGAGATGACAGGTTTTCCGCTCCTGACGAGATGTCCGCATCTAGTTTCCGTGGAGTCGTGAAAGATGAGCCGCGGGTAAGATTGACGTTTGCGAATGAAGGTTGTGTCAGGTTCTTCGACTGTGTCGACTGCTCTCGTGGTGGTGCTGGAGTCTGTGGTTTTATGGGGGACGCAAATGTCCGACGAGCATCTGGAGAGGAACAAGTGAGCAAGGTTACCTACTTCGCACGACACAGCCTCCGCGTTCATACTTACTTGCGTGTTCGTTCTTCAGGGCGAGTTGGTAGAATGGCGAAGTGGCATCTCCTGGAGCTCTTGTCTGCCACTCAAAGTCCATGGGAGCTTCGTTGGAGCGGTTCTGCATGATGACGGTTCGCGATTAGCATGTTAAGGACCGGTGTCCACAACATTCGCAGTTCAGAGCTGGGTGCGGTCAATCGTCAGCAGCGATGTCCGAAAGGTTTGCAATCCTTTTATTCTGTTTGCTTTCGTTTCTCTTGATTTCTGGTTGTTCTTTTGCTATTTCTTTTTATTTCTATTATTTTTTTTATTTTTATTTTCTGTTTTTTGTTGATGTTGTTGGCCAAAGCTTTCGTTGACTAATCAACAAGGTAGCGTCATGTGACTTAATATGCTTAATAATTTTAAGCCTCCTTTATTATGTAATCAATGACATCACTTTCATTATTGACTGATGAAGAGATGTAGACCAGAGAGAGGGCTTTGTATTGTAAAACATAAAGCATAAGACTGAATAAGACTGAATTAACCCTATATATACAATCCACTAGTCTATACGGTAAGAAATGCACCGGAAAAATTAAGCATACTAACGCCCTGAATGCCAACTCCTGAAGATATTAACTCGACATTTCTAGCCAAAATGTGCAGGACTGTATATAGGTATAAAGCTATACAGAGCTTGAAACATATGTACGGATGGAGGGAATTAATTAACCCGGGGGGTATCCATTAGTTACAGAGGCATCCAACTTGAATGGCCTCTTCTTCTCCACTTTGTCTCAAAGTGGATGCGATATTGTTATATCACTCCGCGGTGCAAAGGATGTAGATCATCTGCATGGGCTTCTGCGGCCCGGAGAGGGGGGGTTATCGTTGAGGCATCTGAAGCAGGACTCTTAACGCGAGCGTAATCCACCGAGGGACAGGGTATCATGAAACCATTTGGAAAAAGGTCAGAAACCAGCTTTCGAAACCGTTGCCGTCAGTAAGGTAGGATATCAAGTCCCTTGTCAACTAAGCTACAGTGTTAGCCAGGCACCAAGAGGCACCAACAGGAGACATTTGACTCAAAACTTACCCATAACCTTATCCCATCTAGTCTTCCCTTCTACATCATCACTCTTGTCTCTCATGGCCCATAAATCCTGTAAAAACGATCGGCAATTCCTTGCATTTCCCATGCCATAGCGATGTTCAAAATTCAAAAGCAAGGTATTGATGCTGTCCCTGTCTGGCCCTGCAGATGCTTCACAGCCAGCTGTAAAGAGAGGTTGTAGCACGGCAATTCCAGGGCAAGGTTCGCCCAGGAACCGAACCTTGCATATCCGACTGATGATATGTTTTACCGAACTCTGAACCAAAGGATCTGTCGAGGTCAGATTGAGGATACGGCGATAAATTTGAACGAGGGCGACGTGGTGAAAGGCTTCGTCAACAGTGGCAAAGTCATTTTTGTGCACCGAAGCATCGACCGTGGGCCTAAATCTCCGTTCCTGAGGGCCCATCTTTGAATGTATCTCATTGATGAGCTGGTAGCTTTCATCGAGTACTGAGAGCGGAATGCGGTTCTTTGGGTCCGAGTCCGCAGGGAAATGTGTTTCATCTTGTTTGAGAGCCAGGTCAGCCTCTATCGCAAGACGGTTGATTTTTTTGAAGATCGGTCCTAATGAGGACGAGAATCCAGCCAAATCGTCGATTTTATCATCACTTATCAACTTTCGCATCTGAAGAAGGGCGCGGGAATCGTTTGGCATAACCAGATTGCCTGTTAATAGAGCAACGGTTTCGATGGATAGATACCATCGCCACAGAAGAGACATGGTATTGGTGAGTGAGTCTGGAGAAGCCTTTGACTTCTCTAGATAGGAAGATATTATTGCCGTTGTGCCCTGCAGGTGAGACCGCCATGAACCAGGGCTACGGCCATCCGAGACAAAGTCAGAATGGCACAGGGTAAGGGTAGTTGCGACTACTGATTCGTCCAAGCTAGCCCCGGGCCTGGCCAGAGCGTCTTGCAGCTGACGGAGGCTGGAGGCTTTGAGATGACTGAGCTCTGACATGCTTTGGTCCATGCCCAGGGTCAATCTGTGAGTGGCTGCAAGGCTCAGCAGGGCGTTCATGAGATGAGGGGTCTGTGTAGCCATGGGCACGAGAACCCGGCAGAACATGTCCTGAATTGGCGAATGACATGACATCGACAATGTGGTGCATGATATGAAATGATCAAGGAGGTTCTGCTGCTGTTTCGGCAGCCAGCTCAGCTCGAACGGGTTGGCTTGAACATCGGGCGTGGGCGGAGTATATCTGATCAGGCGGCTCTCGAATTCGATGGGGTCGTCTGAAGCTGACGAGGGAGGCGGCGTTGCCAGCGAAGAATCTTTCCCGTCGTTGATATCAACTATAAGTCACGAGTCAGGTAACCAAGGAGAAGCAGTTATTAATGACCTAATAATAAGCCAGGATTACTCGGAGCAACAGCTGCTGCCCGCGAGATATGAGAGTGGGGCCCCATACATTGTAACGCCTGCTGCCCCTGCGACTGTTCCACCACGGCATCCACGGAGCTTGACGAGCGCTCTCCTGCTTTTGACCCATAAATAAATGCCGTGCTACCTGAACTCGCGAATAGAGAAAACGAGATGAAAAGTTTAGCCTCATAAAATCGTGTATATAACTTTTAGGGGGGAAGGGGAAGGGGGGTGCGGCACGGCTAAAAACGAAGCAATAATAATAACTTCAGCCCTGCCATGTGGCCCTGCGGGAGAAGCTCCGTCTGGGCATGCCAGGGTCAGACGAGAGCGAGAACGGGGAGTAATATAAAACAAGTCACTCCGTCGTTGCAGGGTCAGGCGGGAGGAGGCCGTGGGCAGACGATAATGCGAAGAGTCCGACGTGAGGTACGTACCTGAAGACGAGACGACCGGCAGCTGCACCAGACTGGGATCGCTCTTCATGCACTCGCCAAACCGGGACTTGGAGAAGGGCCGGCCCCCCCAGGAGAGCCGCATGGTATAGGTGCATTGCTTGCCGGCGCGCTCGCACCCTGTGCATGCAGGCTTCTTCTCGTCACACTTGCGATGCCGCTGGCGGCACTCAGTGCAACCGGACCGCGAGCGCCGCTTCTGCGCATCGGGCTGCATGGCCAGCGGACAAGGGAGTTCGGTCGGTCGGCGTCGGACAAGGATCGATAGTGGAAGCGGCTCGCCCAACACGCCAGGCTGGGCGTCAGAGACGGGAGACGGCTTTTGGGGATGGCTAGTCGGTGGGCTCAGCGCTCAGGAAGGGCGAGTTTGCGTGAGAGGGAGAAGCGCAAACTTCGTCGCTGCGTCGCTGGCTTCCTGGCTTTCCTGGCTTTCCTGGCGCTCGGGGGGCGGTGCGGCGCGCAGCGGCCAATCAGCGTCCGCAGGTGGTTGTAAGTTCCCTTGTAGGCTTAGCGCCGGCGGCTATTAGGTAATATTTATACTGATTAGTCAGCATGCATATACTCGACATTTAGGGGCTGCATATTGAGTATCGATATTGGTATTAAAGATAACTTTATTATATTTACTATACCGGCTAGTATCGTCTACTTAGCAGCTTATACATTATGCTATAGTCCCGACTGCAGGAATTTTCTGGCTTCCTCTAGCTCCTGCCTTGCTTCAATTATGTTGGTGATAACCGAAGGAAACAGCTTGTATATCGAATTTGTCAACTGGATTGGGCGGCAGCTTTTCAGTTCTGTTGCATCACCCTTGTCCTTGTAGAGGATTTCGACGCGTTGTCTTGACAAACACTAGAATATACCGACCATTCAACCAAAAGGGCGAGCGAGGATAGAGTTGTCATTTTGATATCCAGTTACTTTTCAACAACAGAAGGGTAACCCAGGGCATAGAGGGCAGAGAAGTAGGTGTAGGAGATGTAAGGAAAGAAAAACATGAGCCCGGTTATGGGAGCAGAAGCACAATATATATATATATATTGGAAGCCCAGATGGACATTCACTTTGGCAGTTGGTGCTTGCGGCCATTCACAGTGCTTACATAATACACTACTCATTCACGTGAGATCATCATCGCTTAATAAGCCCACACATTCTCTCAGGCATTTTTTTTCTGGTGGGATGCGCAGAATCAAAGACGAGGAAGCACAAACAAACATCGAAAGCCAATGGCTAAGGGTGATAGTTGATTGTTATCTATCAAATGAATGACTTCGGGTCAGGATGAAACAGACAAAATGCAATGCTGGGTATACTGGTACAAGTCATGTCATCAAGAAACGCCTGCGTCGTCCCCAATAGTTCCTCTCATGATGCTTGACCAGGAGGGGGAATGAAGAACAACAACGAAAACACCACAAAAGACAAAAAGAAGACAAAAGGATTTAACCGTTCGTCTTTAGCAGTCGTCATTAACTCAAGGGAAACAGATAAAACGTCTTCAAAAAACAGAACGATATATCGGATCGGCCAGAGATCATTATTGCCGGGCAGAATATCAGGATATCATTACTAACAATGTACAGTGGGGAAGGCAAAGAGGAAGAAGCAGCAGCAGAAGAGGGGGCGCTGAGTGGGAGAGTTAATAGTTGACAGGTTCGATGAGCTCGAATCCGTCCTCGTGGCCGCCATATCCCTCGTCGAAGTCCTCTGGATCGACCAAGCCGACGAATTCGTACTCTCGCGCAAGCTTCTCCGTCTGCTTGGTCTCGAATTTGTCTACTGCCTGCACGACAGCGGCGCTGAGCACATGGCCTCCGTGGGCAGGGCTTGTGTTGGCGTCAAAGGAGTATAAAGGGTCTAGGCCTTCAGGAGTAGCTGGTGGATCGAGCTCTTCCTCATCAGATGAAGACTCTGCTCCCCGGGACTCCCTTACGGCTTGGTTGATTGCATGCTGGATCGATACCTTGACAGGTACCTTGGAGTTGGACCCCGCAGCACTGAAAGAGCCGGATCTCCGTTAGCTGTGGCATGACCTGAGAGCGGACCTGCAAAACATACCCCGAATATTCAAGCAGAAGTTTTGGTCGCGGGCGGCAAATCCGGACCTCCTTCTGCCCCCTCATGGGGCGAGTATTTGGCACAAACTCCGAAGTGTTGGTATTCTTCGATTTGACACCGGTCTTGGGAGTTGCGGTAGCCTTCCGAGTCTCTTTGCTACGGTTGCCAACGTGGGAATTTCGAGTCATATTTTGGGCTAAGGTGGTGACTACGGTAGGAGAAGGGAAAAGAGTCGAAGGAACACCAAGAGCCGATGGTAGGCTTCTAGCCTCTGGCCTGTAGGCAAAAGTCGTTGACGTGAGGCTCGGTCGATAGCCGGCTTCCACCGTCAGCGCAAGGTGTGTTCAACAAAGGGTCAGGTTAAGATGGACAGCTTTCCAGGGCAAGAGAAGGTAAGTCTGGGTGGTTAAGATGCCAGAGAGAGGGTGTCAGGTCAACTGCCGGCTGGCTAGCACTCCGTCTGGGTCACAGTCTTGCATTTATATCCTCGTCTCGCTCAGCTCACGAACGCCGGTTGAGTCACAAGGTGAATCATCCGCCTGCAACTGGCCCTGCCCCTGGTAACGGCGAAACGAAGGCGATGACGACACGGGCGGTTACAGCGTCACGTGGTGCTGCCTCGGGTGTATTTTTGGTATTGTGTTACAGCAATACAGCTTATCTCATCTTATCTTCCAGTTGCGATAAGAGACTTCGAAACATATTTTGGATAGACTTGATGACATCACGTCGACCGTTCTTCAACTTTTCTTTCGAGGTACTCATCTTCATCTGCCCGCGTCTATCTGCACTTCTATCTTCGCCTTCAAATATGCCTGTCCGAAACTTTTGGATCGAGTTTTCCTTAACTCCCATCCTCTTCGCAGCTTACACCACGACACACTGACAATTTATCAATTCGCTATCCATAGCGTTTACTGCAGAGAGAGGTTTGATACTATCAAAGTCGGGATAACCGCACCCATTAAACAGAATAACCAGGTTTCTTGAACATGGAACTCATAGACCGTCTCCCAAGTCGTCAGGGCAGGAAATAACTCAAAGCAATGAACGTTGTTTCGTCCGCACTTTGTCACTATCAGGTACCTCAAGGGGCAATACAAGTTGCGTATACGGGAGCGTGATGGCGGCTGCATGATCTCACGCCAAATGAACAAAGACGCTTCCGAATGACTGGGATCTCGCTGCACCCATATCTTTCTTCTCTCTTCAACCTTTACGCAGATTAGATTTGGGAATGCAATTTAGGACGGCCGAGGTATCGATTCTCCCGGCAATGGGCTTCTTCTAAGGCCAGACATTCACGAAGAATGGGATGGCTACGCAATAGCTGTGAACCTCGCCGACGATTACTGCGTTCAGAGCGTCAGGGCGCATGCAGCCCGTTATCACAATACCATACTTCATCCCGCCTGCCTAGGCCCAGTGGCCCCAGCCGTGTTAGTGACGCGCTCTTCCAGTGGAACTATGAGCAATCTGTCTTCTCCAATATGAGTAGTGCAGGCGAGGTTTCGTTGGATTTCGATTTCCCCCAGGTACGGACATGATGCGAGGGATTAGGGAAGGGCCAAAGGCAAACGAACGTATGGAAATAGAACTCTTTGGACGTCTTTACATTTGCGAGAATGATCAAGTCGATGGCTAGATCCAAAGCAATGACTGCTACAAAAATTCCTGAGAGTGGAGGAGGTTGACGAAAGGGAAGAGCAAGACAGGGGAAGTAGCTGGTGGAAGCTTGCGGATGACTCCCAACCATCCCAGGACCAAAAAAAAAAAAAAAAGAAAAAACGAGTTTTATTGGCTGTGCCGCCCCCATCCTGCATGAGGACCCGGTTACCTTGTGGGGATGGATGCCTAGCTACCGATCTATAGTCGGCAGCCTCGCTCACGAAGAGTCATCTCAGAACGCCCTTGTCCAGCTACAACTTGCTCTGCATGCTTATCATTTGATCATGGCTGCACTATGCAGGCCCATTTGTGGGGGATCAGTTGTTCTGGATCGACTCCGGCGGTTTGACTATGTCTTTGGCCCTGTCATATTCGCTCAGCACCCGGGTACTAAAACGCAAAACATCGCGAATCAGCTTCTCCTGTTCAAGCACCAGGCTACACCGAGAACTCACCACTCTTCCTTCCCCTCCCAAGGTTGCGCATCTTACGTCTTGTCGTGCATGGTATTGAAGCATGATCTAAACATCGAACGATGCGGGGAGCTACGGGAGTCACCTCTGCTTCCGCCTGCTTCCAACTGACTATCCGTACTGAGGGGGTAAACACGGCGCAGCTGGTCAGTTCGCCAGCCAACGAGGTGCAACAATTGCATGGGGTAGTGAGAAAATAGCCGATAGGCACGATATAATTAGCTCTGCATATTCTTAAATTAAAATTAACCCGCTCCTCCAGCAGCGTCATCTCCAACAATACTAGCATCCAGCTCTCCCTCATCTTCTTCATTGGGCAGCCGATCTGGGAACCACCCGAACTGCGCCATGTCGACGTAGAACTCATTCATGCCATCAGAGCGTACAATGACCCCTTCTTGCTCTAGAGCTTCTGCCTGTCTCGCTGCCGAACCCGGCCCGCTGTTGGCGCAAACCATGTTAATCTAAATTGCGCACTCATTGTCTATTTCACATGCGGAGTCCAAAGGCGTCATACCGGTGGGATATCATCCCTTTTGAATTGATAACTCGCTGCCAGGGTACGTTGTCGTTGTTATAATACTCGTCTGGGCTTGACGGGAGATGCTTGAGGCAGATTCCAACCTGTCGAGACCGTTGAGCTGTACGACCGTATATGTTAGACACATTAAGGTAGAGATCGCAATGGCTATGAGCTATCACTCATTTATGAACTCACGGTGTCCTAGCAGACGAGCTATATGGCCGTAGGATGTCACTTTGCCATAGGGAATCTGCTGGATGGCTTCGTACACTGCGTTAAACCACCACTCTGCTTCGTCTGTACGAGCCATGGAGCCCCAATGATGACTCGACGGCTGGAACTAATGAAGGTATCATACAGAACGAGAAATATCAATCAAGCAGGGTGAGAGATGCCTGAACTTGTCAAGTTAGCTGAACATATTGCTGAGGCCGAAAATACGAGTTTGAGTCAAACTCGGTTTAACTAGTTATTTCGTCTCACTTTGGCTTCTTTTCTACCTTCAACATAAGGAAGACCATCAAACATGATCATTCTCTGGCATGATATCATCCTTTTTCTCCTCCTTCTTCTATTCCTTTTTTCAACTTTTCCTCTTCTTGTGACCGCTATCATCTTGGAGCTGCTCGATATGCATTCACTGAGCCATAAAAGCTCTGGCCTAGCACCTAAATAACTACCAGCAAACACTGTAATAACTTCACCAAGTTATCAGTTCTCTTCCCATCTACCTATCTAGTAAAGCTAGATAAATACTTATTTCAATCTCTTTCTTTCAATATATGCAATACGATAGCATTTCTTTTAGGGAGCTTTTCTATCAGATTCTCTCAATCAAAGTGACCGGGATCCTTCAACGGCCTTGAATATCTACCAGCTGCTGTCCGATATTTCTCTATACCAGAATCTATAACAGAATCAAGGACTCGGATATGTCAGAAAGGCGACTGCGAGCATCCAAGTTGCCGAGGTTTCCCCTACCAAATGTCGTCACTAACCGTCAAGGAGAAGAGTGGATGGATGGCATCGCAACACTCGACTTTGACTACTTCCCACCATTCCAGCATGTGATACCAGAGGAGAATCTCTCATCTACTAACTTGCCGCCATTTTACCGTCTGCTATGTAATGCTCAGGCAATGGCCCTATCCCAATGGGGATCCAAGGGGAACATAGCAAAGGAGCTACTTGGACTATACTGGCCAGCGGACTTTAATACAGACGGGAAGCTCAAGAAGAACCGCTTGTCATGGAGCATCGGAAACCAGGTCCGCCCAGCACAGCGCCATCATCTCACCCACCAAAGCTGTGGAAGGCCAATGAAGTCGATGCCAGCCCAGGCCACTTTTGATGAAGATGATGACTTTAAAGTAGCAGGAAATAGGAGCCCCAGCAAGCCCGACCGGCCATGCAAAGTGGTTCTCCTGCACGACTCAAAAGAAAGCGAGCGCGTGGTCGAGCTTGAATATGAAATCGATCGGTTGAAAGCAAGCTTGAAGCGTTCTGAGTCTCAGCTGGAAGGGATGCGGTCTCAAATGAACCAGGTTGAAACAGCAATGTCAGTGAGATCAGAGCTGGTGACAAATGCAATTGTCAACTATCACTTTTCGCGAGCAAACTTGGAGCTGCTGTCGCCCTCAATCTCGTCCCTGGTAGACGAATCCGTCTCTGCTGATGATCTCTCCGAACTTGCTGGCGGCGCAGCTACGCTCGACCATCGCATCAAGGTTATCCAAGAGGTTGCTCGCCGATTGCAAATACCGGTAACTATCCCCCCAGAAATCATTGGTGAATCAGACGACCCGGACCTGCCGGTTGATCCCAGCATTGCCTGGAACATGCAGGTAGGCCAGAACGGCAAGTAACTGGCATATGCATTTCCCTTCTTCCGGATTTCCCAGCACTTGGAAATTAGCCAGCCGACTGTCAGGGATACCAGCCCTTAGTCACGCCTACCGGTATGAAAGCCTGCCTGGCACCGAAATGATCTGGCCTATCCTTCCCTCGTAACCTGACGGGCCGGAATCTGCAGCCGGTAATCAGCAAAGGCTAGCTTGAGCAAGGGGCTACCTTTTACTTCTCTTTTCGGCTCATCCGAGCCCCTTCACATTTTACCTATTGCGGGGGATTCTGGCAATGGTTATCTGCCTGGTTGTAATAGCCAAACCCCCTATCCTATTCGGCTATAATCCTTTGATCCTTTTTTTTAACCCAATGGATATCTAGATGTTTTCGTTTTGACTATGCATCCTCTTATAAGTTAGCTCGATTTAACTGTTATAATGCTATATCAGAACTTCCTTTTACCTGAAGTGCCCCTTTCTTTTACCTGAGAATGCCTCGTAGCAAACTATAGCTAGGTGTCAAAACGGAAGCAGCAGCAGCGAATATGATTGGTTAAATCAATGATAAGAACGAATATATATGTGTAAAATATGTTCAAATTGAGCCTGGTTCGATATAGCTATATTATTAAATTGATTATTGTTGGAGCATAAGTGAAGACTATTATATTTCAAATAATTCAAATAGTATATTAAAATATTTTAGACTTGTTACGAGTCGATTCGAGTCGATTCTTTGAAATTTAAAGACTCGACTCGACTCGCCGGATTCTACCCGTCGGGTAACCCACTTATATAATTAATTACTAGTTAATACTAATAACTCTGACTACCTCTCTATCGCCGTGGCCATCGACTGGAGGTGGCAACCTGCAATTCCAAATAGAAAACGTATATAGGCAAACACGAACGTGGAGTTACTCCGCAAAACCATCGAGAGATATCTCCTCTTGGCCTATGATTCCTCGGAACTTGATAATAAGGGAAGTATCGATGACCTCGTATCATCTATCATCACTGCGATAGACGCGGGTATCGTTACATCAACCCAGTGGTCGAACCCCCCCTCCCCACAGTTAATCGCAGGGTTTGACCAGAGCTGAATAGATGTGGAAGCATATTTACTCCCGATACAGCAACAACTCGAATAGATAGTGCCGGAAGCCACTATGCGTATACAAGACATCCCCGCTACACGCTAACATAGCAGTAATCGAGGGCAACAATGGGAGGAATGATACACAAAGCCTGCTTGACCGTTTCTCAGGCATCTTTGGAACACAAAATACAAGGTGCGGCTTGACCGGCTCGAGAAACGCCAACCGCACAAATAGCACTTGACGTACATATATCTAATATCGCTCCCAGAAAATACGCAAATCTTTACAAGACAACCAGGCCGCCATCTAAGCTATACGGAACCCAAAACATTCCTCAGGCTCGTATGGGAACTCGATAAACTCCAACGCCTCGGGTGAAATAAGAACTCAGTTCAACCCAATAACATTAGGGTCCTCCTGGGCGTTTCGAAGGATTTCCCTCACGGCAGAATACAGATCTTTATTAGGCGTTTTCCACCTTCCGCCGTTGGGAAATACGACTCGCCGCAGCCGGTTGACCCAAGGCACCAGTGGCTGGTAGTACTCCGTAAAGTGTTCCGCCGTGGACTTGAGAAAATCGCCCTCATCAGCAATAGCTCCTTTCTTTACGCCAGCAAGTGTTTCAGTATTCATATAGTTCCAGTCTTCAAATTCCTCGACAACATTTGCTTTATCGGGGCCCTCATAATGGATGCATATCCAGAACAAGACCCAAAAGAATGACTCAAGGTCGTGCATGAAGGAATGCTGTTCGTCCAGAAGAACTCCGATCGCCATAAACGCCCGCGTGCCGGTCTTGCCTCGCGCCCCCGAAGCATCTTCCCGGTCTTCTTTGATGGCAAGGTCCAGATCGATGATGAACGCCTTCCAGGACGCGCTCTCCTCGTCTTCGTTGATCATGAGGTTGTTGGGGGAGATGTCTCTCTGGAGCATGCCAGCCTGCCGATGAAGGGACTCGTATCCTTCGATGCACCCTTCCAGCGCCGCCAGCAAGGCAACCCTCGAGCTCGCCTTGTAGATTGGCTGGCCGTAGTCCCGAACGACGACACGACGATGGACACGATTGGGGGTGGACGGAGGCTGGGACTGCTGGCGTTTGCTGGGCGGCAGCGACGGCTCGACACACGTAGAGGAGCGTTTCCGACTGGCGGCCCGGCGGCTTTTCCCCTTGCGAGACCCGCTTCTGCTCAGCGGAGGCCTGGAGCCAGCGTGGTTGTAGTTGCTTGCCGCTGTGATGTCTAGCCCCCTCCTCACCCCGTCGCGGATGTCGTAGTCTCGACCCTCCACCTGGACCGTCGCATGGTAGAAGTATCTTGCGACGTTGACCACCCCCTTCTCCGTGGCCTCACGTAGCAGCTCCCCTTCGTCGTCGCGCTCGGGGTACTGCCATGAGCCCTTGATCACCAGGGGGGTTCGGGATTCGTCTCCATCGCGATGTACCTTCCAGCAGGTTGTGGCTCGTCCGGCAACGCAACGTGCGCGCCCTATTACTTCATCGATAATAAGACGCTCTTCCTCGCCGTTCCGTTCGATTTTAAAGTACCGCGAGCCATCGGCGTTGGTGACGATCGTCGGATCGAATCCAAGCTGCTCCTCGCTCATCAGCAGATACCCGAGCATGACCGAGACGAATCGAAGGCCCTCCTCGTGGATGTCGAACTTCTCCGACGCGATCCCTCCCAGACGGTCAAAGAGCCACAGCCTCATGAGCGACCCGCAGAGCGTGAAGCCTAGCACGAAGCGGCGGGAGTCCTGCGCGGCAAGCACTTCCCTCGCATATCTGCCCATGTCCTGCCTGGACTGGGTTTCGTACTCCGGGTTGTTCTTCAGCTCTCCGGGGACGAGGATCTGTGACCACCCATACTTGCCGTCCTCGAGGGGTTCAGTACCATCCATGAAGCCGATGTCCAGCGTCCGCTTAGCCGTAGAGCCCTTTAGTGGCTTGTGAGGCTGCGCCAGAGGCCGCCTTCGAATCGCCTCGCCGGGCGCATGCTCCTCGTAGAATTGTATCATCTTGTCGATGGCCCCCGACAGCCAGGCAAACACAGACGCCTCCTTTGCACCCTCGGGCCATCCGGTCCAGCCAGTTCCCTCGCGGAATAGCGGTTCCTCTCCCTCCTTGCAGCTCTCAAAGACTGCCTGCGCGATCGTCTGGATATATCCAAAGAAGGTGTCGTAGAACTTCGGTATATCAACATACATGTCTAGCTCCTCCCTTAGCACGGTGTCCATGTTGGATCGCAGCTCGCTCGAGTTGGCGACGCTGCCTGTATTTCGAATCAAGGGCGTCTGGAAAGAGCACAACGGACGGGGGGCAGGAGTTGGTTCAGTGACGGCCTCGTAGACCTTATCCCATATGATTTCATCGGGCTCTTTGTTGTGGACTGCTTTCAACAGGGGAAGGAGGCGGTCAAATTGAGCCTGGCCTGAATCGATAGTAGAAGTAATCCTCGAAATATCACCGAAAAGGGTTCCGCTTCCCCGAGAAGAAGACAATATGCGGCAAGCAGGTAAAGCTTGCACTGCCATCAGAAAATCCAGTAACTTATTCTTGGTACCATCATCGGCTTCTCTCTGAAGCAAAGGATCGATTTCGTTTTGATAATGGCATATGTTATATAACTCGTGGTATTCCTCTAGCCGGCCCCCGATCGGGTGGCTCCTTATTATCTCAGATCTGGAGGGCGACATGTTCGGGAACTGGTATAATAGAAATAATGAAATGAATTCGTCGGCGCGTCGCGAATCTCAGTCTCCTAAATGCTGGATAATTATTAGCCCGGCGTCCCAGACTACCTAGATAGGTACCATAGGGCCGTCTGGGGGTTTTTCGGAACGGTGAAAGAATTATTCTAACACGAGCGGAGCTCCAGCTTACTATATAATAGTACCTATATCCAGCCCTTGCGGATAGGGGTAGTCAGGCACATAACCCACCAGAAATATCCACTGCCTTCGTACGTTTATTCGCCAGAGAGACAGCATCGTGACTCTCCTGGACTTGATGCAGCGTTTGTTGTCTTTTTCTCTATTTCCGCCGGTCTTTTAGAACCGGTCCGCTTACTAAGCAACCATGCGGGCTCTCCATGAAAATATCCTGAACGTCGAATGTGATTCCATCACAAGCTCAGCTTCACATCACATACATACGCCATGTCTCTGGCCGACTACCTAGCGAAAAACTACCTGACAGCAGACACGCTATCGTCGGAGCGGCCGAAGAAGAAACGCAAGAAGAACAAGCATGCTGTGGCCGAGGATACCGGCGCCGGCGGGCTGATAATCGCAGACGACGACCCTCCGCTACTCTCTAGCTCGAGCAAGACCTCACGATCCAGACGGCCGGGCAGATACGACTCAGATGAGGACGATGAAATACCATATGCAGCACAGGCAGGAACAAGCAGCGAGTTCCGGAAAAGCAAGTCTTCACAATGGCGGAGCGTGTCTGGACCACAACCCCCTACAAACGACGAGCAGGTTGCAGCAGACGCGATTCTAGCTTCTGCAGCTGCTGAGCGGGCAGCTCAGATGGAAGCTGATGATGATAGGCCCATGGTGGCCGAGGAAAACGACTCCACGCCTCGAATGGAGTCAGGCATGAGAGCCGGGTTGCAGACCGCAGCTGATACTGCGGCGATGGTAGCAGCTCAGGAACGAGAGCAGGCGCAGGAAGCCGAGAAGCTACGGAAGGAGAGAAAAAAGAAGGGGAAACAGGAAGTTGGACTGGAGTCGGAAACAATTTATCGAGATGCGTCCGGACGGATAATCAACGTTGCTATGAAGAGGGCGGAGGCACGCAAGGCAGCGGAGGAGGCTGCTGCTGCTGAGCGGGCGGCAAAGGAGGCCCTGACGGGTGATGTGCAGAGGCAGGAGAAGGAAGCTCGCCGTCAAGCACTGGAGGAAGCGAAGTTTATACCGCTTGCGCGAACGGCGGAGGATGAGGATCTAAATGCTGAGCTGAAGGCTAGACAAAGATGGAATGATCCTGCAGCGGCGTTCTTATCTGAACCCAAGAGTGGTACCGCTGCTGGTGTTGGCAGTGGCACTGCTGGGGGAGGGAAAAAGGTATATAAGGGTCCATCACCGCCGAACCGATATGGGATCCGGCCAGGTTTCAGATGGGATGGAGTGGACAGGAGTAATGGGTTTGAACATAGATGGTTTGAGGCACGGAACCGTCGGGGCAGGATGGAAACTATGGAATATGCCTGGCAGATGGACGAGTGATATTTACTGTTCACGGAAGCTGGATTTTATTTTATTTATTTTTTTTTCCCGGACTGGACGGCGGAAGGTCTTATTTACTCTCTGGACAAAATAAATATGGACGAACGAACCGATACAAGAGAATTTGAAACAGAAGGACAATAAACCACCATATATGTATGAAATGAAATTCGTCCAATCATACGTTCTTCGCCTATTTTCAAAGGAAAGAATGTGCTGTTTTTGTTTTTGTCTGTAGGTCAAGTGAGCGTGAGATGACCTATATCCCCGATTCCACCATCAGCTCGCCTCCTGAGCTCCCGACCCCGGCTCCAGCTCCAGCTTCAGTGTACACACGACACCCTTGGCAGCCCGTCAGTTGCATCAGACAGTTATATTGCCCTCCTTAAGATTATAGATAGCATGATAAGTATAAAACGAGACCAACAACACCCCCTTTCAGCAGCGTAGCAGCAGGACGGTAAAGCATGACAAAGCACTAGCATGAACAACTCTTATCTATTCAGCCACGATGATCCAATAAAATCATGTAGGTTAGTTTCATTCTTTTGCTTCTTTTCTCATCCCGAGTCATCGCCAGCATCTCACTTCGTCTCATCCGGCAATTCAGGGGCGTTAGAGGTGCCGAGGGGGATGGATGATGAAAAGCCAATGAGAGTGCAGGAGACAGATAAAAAAGAGGGACGAGACGACCACATTGCGGCCGAGAGCAGAGGAGGGGGACACCAGGATTGAACGCCGTTAACGATATTTTCGATGGTACCATTTGATCAAAGGAGGGATAGAGGAGGGGGGAGCTAGTTCATCTCCTCTTGACCTCTGATGCCCAACCTTCGATGCCTTCTCCTCGACTTCCCACGGGAATGTTAAGGGAGATGTGATCCATTCCTTTGGTGCCGTTGAGATACTTATGGTTAGCCATCCCGCCTGCATTTGCCCTCCGTTCAGGTATGAGTTCGAGCATGGGGATCAAAAAGTCGGACACAGCCTTGCTCTCTTCCTCGGAAAAGTGATACTTCTCTCTCAGGACGTCAGGTAGTGCCCAGTGGCGTAGTCTGTGAATATTGCGGAGCTCTCCCTTCCGGTTGAAGATTTCTTGACTCCATTTGCCGGATAGACAGAGAGATTTGGGGAAAGGACCTAGAAGTTCAATGATCTGAGCAATATGGTCGTCGTCTTTACCATATTTGGTGCCGGTCTGGGGGTCGAACAGGTAGTCTCCGGTGATAAGTTCGAATGACTGGAGAAAAAAAAGAGAGAGAAAGAGATTAGTGACTGAGGATCAGGTGAGAGCTATGCGGGTCGCTTACCATTGCAGCCATGCTCCAGATATCAGTGCTGGCTCCCCATTTGCCTCCGAGGATGACTTCTGGCGAGCGGTATTGGCGGGTCTGAATATCGTTTGTGAAGTGGTGTCCAACCCAGCAGGCGTTACCCAGATCGGCTATCTTAACGGAGATAATATCGATGGTGTACTGGTCGCCGGCCATGGACTGGTCTGTATCTTTGTTGAGGGAGATGCCTGAGACTTCGCGTTCAAGCAGGTCGCTGCTGAAGTTAGTATACAATGTGTGTAGATAGAACACGAAGTGAAAATGATGACTTACGTAGTTTTTTCTCTTTGTTTCTGTTTTTCGTCGGCAGCTGCGTCCGAATCCTTTATTCCTAGTTTATCTTTCATGGATTGCTTGGAGGGAGTGGTAGGAGTAGCAGAGACTGTAGAGGTTAGCCGATACGTCAAGATATACTAAGATAACAAAAATAGGGAAGAAATATCTTACGAGGAGATTCAGCAAGGACCTGGTTGAGGCTGCTATGGGAGCTCTGCATGGAGGGAGTCACATTGCGGAAAGGGTCCCCGCCGCTGAAGCTGGCGCTGAGCGGGCTGGGGAGCGGCTGGCTGCCTGTGATGAGAGTTCTCCGTCTCCGTCTGCCATTTCTGTTATCGTCTCTGGTATCGGCCTTCTTCTCTTCATCCTTGACGCAAGACTTGACGATCTGCTCGACGTCTCCAACCTCGATGAGGACGTTTTCAGGTTTGAGATCGGTATGGATGATACCGCACTCGCGGTGCAAGTAATCTAGGCCGAGGAGGACCTGCTTTGTGATCTGCTTGACGAGGGGCATGGGGATGCCTCTGTGGTTCCAGCGCTTGATGAGGCCGAGCAGGTTCTCGCCCAAGACCTCGAAGACCATGCAGACATGCACTCCGTTGGGCCCACGGTGCTCGAACGAGTCGAGCAGGCTGACGACATGTCTGCGGCCCGGATGGTCAGGGTTGGCGCTGTTTATGCGGTTGAGAAGCTTGATTTCGTCTATGGCGGTCTCGGTGTAGTGGGCGGCAGAGCGCACGACTTTGAGGGCGACGTGTTTGCCCGTGGTGGTATCGCGGGACAGCCAGACGGTCGAGAAATGGCCCCAGCCGAGCTTGCGGACCACGATGTACCGGCCGTTGTTGTAGGACTCGCCGACGGAGACAGGGTGGTAGCCCCCCTTGCAGTAGTCCTCGGAGTCTTCCTCGTCTGCAGCGTCGACTTCTTCCTCTGACGAGGACGACGAAGCTCGCGACAGGGGCGAACTATATGAAAGTTTCTGTCTATGTAGGAGTTAGCAGGCGGGCGGCACGTCTTTTTGTCTTTTGGCTATCATTCAAACAAACAGGGCAAAAGAGAGGGAGGAGGGTGTAAACAGACTGGGTGCTGGACATGGTAGCTGGATCAGACTCCTCGTTGGTGATGATGGGCTTGAGATCAGAGGCCTTCCTGCGTTTCTTGCCCGCAGTACCGTTAGCAGCAGCGGCAGCAGCCTTTTTCAAATCGCCGCCATTCATCGTCGGGCGCCAGTGGTTCAGTGTATGGCGTGTGGAGGCAAGGGGGAGCCGAAGTGCCCAGGCGAATGCCCAATGGTGGTGGTGGTGGAGGAGGCAGTTGACAGTAGAATAGAGTGGTGGCTGCAGAGGCGGCGAGGCGGGACGACCGTTACAGGCGCTTCGAGCAGGCCAATTCTACACGCAGGCCGGGGAGCTGGGGCATCAGGAAGCAGACGAGATGAAGCTGGCACCGTGGATGGCAGACGAGCAGGCCCTGGAGGCGGCGGGAGATGCGTTTCTTCGAGGGGGGTGGGGGTTAAGAGGGCTGGTTCTCGCGGCAGAGAGGCTGGTGGAGGCGCAGATCACGCTGAGCCGGCGGACAAGTGACGCTTTGCACCAGAAGCAGGCGAGGAAGAGGGTGAATCTGCGGTCTGGACGGCGCCAGTGCTGGCTTTTATGGCGTTGTCGTTGTCGTTGTAGCTGTTGTGGTTGTTGTGGTTGTTGTTGTGAAGTTGTAGATCTGGAGGTGAAGAAAAAGTTGGCGGAAGAGCCGAAAAAGGCAAAAGCAACAACATCGAACTTTTCTCTCTCTCTCTCTCTAAGCGCCGGCCAGGAATAAAACCAGACAACTCGACGGTTTCAGACAGCATCGACGGCGGCTAGGATGGAACAGCCTGGCGAGTGAGACCGCGAGATACCCTCTGAATAGCTGTTACTGTTGCCACGACGTTATTGACTTATTGCTGAAGATGCCGCCGTGGGACGCTCCGTCAGCCGGGACGCAGCTGCTGGCCTCGCCCCTGATATGCGTTCTACGACCGGTCTACGGACTGCTGTCTGCGCTACGGGCGCCGCCGTACACTCGCTCACCCACCCAGCGGGCCGTCAGAGTGGTCTGTCTGTCGGACACGCACTCCCAGCACCGCTCCGTGGACGAGATACCGGACGGCGACCTGCTGATACACGCCGGAGACCTGACGGACCTGGGCACGCCGGAGCAGATCCAGGAGGCAGCGGACTGGCTGAAGAGCCTCCCGCATCGGTACAAGGTGGTGGTGGCCGGGAACCATGACGGGTGGCTGGACGCTGGGGTGCGCGGACGGATAGCCGAGCTCAACGGGATAGATGAGAGCGCTGTTGATGATACGCGGATAGATTGGGAAGGGATATGCTATCTGCAGAACTCGTCTGTTACGCTGGAGTTTGGCTCGCGGACGCTTACGGTGCATGGGATACCGCAGATTCCCCAGCTGGAGCCGCATGTTACTATACACGCCTTCCAGTACCCGCCGTACCACGTTGGGCTTCCGTGGCCAACGGCCCCGCCGGCAGAGACGGATATACTGGTGTCTCATAGCCCGCCGCTGCACCATGGAGACTTGTTTCCGAACAGCATTGGGTGTGCACATTTGCTGGAGGCGGCGTGGCGGGTGAAGCCGGCGCTGTATGTGTTTGGCCATACGCATGCTGGCCGGGGCGTGGAGCGAGCGTACTATGACGATGCGCAGCGGGCGTGGGAGATGATGTTGCATCGGCGGCGAGAAGGGGGCATGCTCTGGGCCCGGGGTGAGCGAGGCTGGAGCTGGTGGCTGTTTCGGCGGTGGTCGGTAGTGCGGGACCTGGTGAGCGTGTGCTGGGCGTGGAGGGATGCGGTGCGGGTGGTGTTTGGGTCCCTTGTGAGCGTCATCTGGACGAGGGTGTGGGGAGGAGAGAGGCCGCTGGGCAGAGAAGGGTGGATGGTCAACCCGGCGTGTATGGACGTCCGGGGCCAGAGAATTGTGGCTGGACCGATAGTGGTAGACTTGTAAATCTATACAATTGATTCCTAGACCCCCCTATATATATATACAGGACAAGAAGAACATTTGGTATAGAAGAACATATGGTATAGAAGAACATATGGTATAGAAGAACATATGGTATAGAAGAACATATGGTATAGAAGAACATATGGTATAGAAGTAAAAGAGAACCACGCAAACAAGACATGGCAGACAGAACATGGCAGACAGAACATGGCAGACAGAACATGGCAGACAGAACATGGCAGACAGAACATGGCAGACAGAACATGGCAGACAGAACATGGCAGACAGAACATGGCAGACAGAACATGGCAGACAGAACATGGCAGACAGAACATGACAGACGGAGACGTAGACGAAGACGAAGATGGGTATTGTATTATAGCTTGGAAGCAGGCCTGTCTGCAGGCAAGCTCATCGGGTCATAAACGCTGCGAGAAAGGTTGTCAATGGGGCCTGAGACGGTGTGGACGGAGAGCCCCCTGGTATCAAGCAGGTCGGGCCCCAGCTGGTCGATACTGGTGCAACCCAGCAGACGCATGTTCATCTCCATCTCGTCCTTGAGCAGCTGCATGGCCTTCTCGACGCCCTCGGTGCCATAGGCACTCATCGCGTATAGGAACGGCCTGCCAATCCCCACGCCCTTTGCACCCAGACACACGGCCTTGAGGATGTCCGTGGCCCGCCTGACGCCTCCGTCGATGTAGACTTCGATCCTGCGGTCCCAGCCGCGAGCACGCAGGGCCGGCATGACGTCCGCCAGCAGCTCGATGGCGGAGGGAGCGTACTCGAGCTGCCGGCCGCCGTGGTTGGAGAGCACGACGGCATCGATGCCGGCCTCGACGGCGCGCAGCACGTCGTCTACGCGCTGCACCCCCTTGAGGGCAATGGGCATCTTGGTGATGGAGCGGAAGTACGGCAGGTCCTTCCAGGACAGGCTGGGGTCGATGAAGGAGGAGATGGCGCGGGCAGCGCCCTGGGAGCGGTCGACGGCGCCGGCGGTGCTGGAGGAGGCCTGGACGCTGGAGCCCTGCTCGGCGAACTTGGAGCGCATGTCCTTCTCCCTGCGGCCGAGCTGGGGAGCGTCGACGGTGATGAAGAGGCCCCTGCAGCCGCGGGCCTCGGCGTGCTCGACGATGCGGCGGGTGATGGCTCTGTCCTTGTTGGACGTAGAAGCTGCAAGCCATTGGGGTCCGCCCGGTCAGATCTTAGCGTCGGAGATCTCGTCGAAAGGAGCACGACGCCAGGGTGGGGGATCATCTGCACGACGTCGTGGGTAGCGGAGGCGCGCGTGAGGGCAGACCTCGCCGTCCGGAATGGCCCAGCTTGCCCAGCGCAGTCGCCGTGACGTAGAAGGGGGCCGAGACGGGGGTTCCCAGCATGGTCGTGCGGGTGCAGACCCTCTCCACGTCGACGAGGATGCGCGGCCGGAACCAGATCCTGTGGAACGCCGTGTGGTTTTCCCTCATCGTCTGCAGCAACTGTCAGCATCCATGGACAATGATAATAGAGGGTGGGTGAGCGGCACCATCTCGTCCTCGCAGCCGGAGGAGTAGTACCCCCAGGCGGTCTTCTTCATGACGCGGCGGGCGACGGACTCAAAGTCCATCAGGTTGTAGCACTGGTCCAGCGAGGGCATCCGGCGGATCCTCTCGAGCCGCTGCTCCTCGTCCGGGTCGGCCGCCGCGAGCTGCTTCTCCATCGTGTCCATGTCGACGGGGCCGAGATGCTTCGTGCGGTCGAGGTACCGGTCCAGCGTGTCCGGCGGGTGAACGGGCTCGAACTCGGCCGTGGCATCTTTGCCCGCGTACTTGAGGATGATCTGCTGGCCCCCGGGGTGTTCTAAGCCTCATCAGCGTCTCTGCTCGCCGTGCTTGCGTCTGTAGCTGTATCAATTGGACGGTCTTCCTCAGGCTTCCTCAGGCTTACCAGGCAAGAAGTCCGTCACGTCGTAGGCCTGGCCGTGCAGCACCACCCAGCACGACGCCGCCGAGCTGTGCCGCGCGACCTCTGCGCCTGTGAGCTTGCCCATCTCTCTCTCTCTCTCTCTCTCTCTCTCTGTCTCTGTCTATATCTCTGTCTTTCTCGTCGGTGGTTGAGGCTGATCGTGTGTCTGCTCGCCAGCCGGTCAGCACGCCGCAGCTTTATATACAACCCGCCAGTAGCGAAGCAGCCAGAATGACGCCGCCGTCTCGCACGAGAGACGCCTCGGAAAAGACGACGACGGCGAGGACGAGGACGCAGCAGCAGCCGGAGCTTCCATCGCCATCCACTCCATGTGGTTCTGGCTGGTCTTCCTCGGCTGTGTGAAGGCTTTTGCTCGGGGCTCGACTGACTTACAGAGGGAGGTCTTTCAGCTGTGCAGGACGAGACGAGACGCAGAGCAGGCCATCCAGGAGTAATATAGCAGTATAGCAGGTAGTAATAGTAATAGAATAGCAATAGTAATAGTAATAGTGATAGCAGTATAGTAATAGTAATAGTGATAGTAATGTGGTGATGTCTTCAGCGGAAGGCGACCGACGGAGAACAGCCGCCGTTTCATCGCGCAGAGCCGGCCAGGATGGAGACTCCAAGAGCTGCGCGCTGTAACACCGGCTGCTGATAGCGATAATGCCTAATGCCAGGCCTGGGATCGATGGACGTCGCAGGCGATCGCCGGGCGGTTGGCCGCAGGGCTGGTCGACTGCTGAGTGACTCTCGTGCTCCGCAGTGCTAGTTAGTCGAGCAGTGTTAGCGACTCCGTGACATCTCCATCTCCATCTCCATCTCCATCTCCATCTCACCACCAGGACCGCAACATACGACATGTAACATGAGCAACAGCCTGGAAGCCAAGATCGTTGTCCTCGGGGCCCAAGGTAGGTCTTTTCCACGGTCTCCCTGAGACGCTCTGCTGACTGACCGGGCGCAGGAGTAGGCAAGACGAGCCTGGTGCAGCGCTACGTCCGCAACTCCTTCAGCCAGACGGCGCCCGCGTCGACCGTCGGGGCCTCGTTCGTGACCAAGCGGGTGCTCGACTCGACCTCGGACACCATCGTGCGGCTGCAGATATGGGACACCGCCGGCCAGGAGCGCTTCCGCAGCATCTCGCGCCTCTACTACCGCGGCGCCCACGCGGGGCTGCTCTGCTACGACATCACCGACGAGCGCTCCTTTGACGAGATGCGCGGCTGGCTGCTCGAGCTCAAGCAGAATCTCGGCGGCGGCGGCGGCGGCGGCGGCAGTGGTGAGGCCGCGGACGGGCTGGTCATCCACGTCGTCGGCACCAAGTCGGATATCGTGGCGGACGACCCGGCCCGTCGACGGGTGCCCTTTGAGCGTACCATCGCCTACGTCGCCGAGCAGCTGTACCCGTCCCAGGCATCGACGCCGCCCCCAAGCTCTGGCATGGGCAGCGCCAGCAACAGCAATAATAATAATAATAATAACGCCTACAACTACAACTACAGTGGGAGTATGGCGCCGGACAGCAAGCGGAACAGCGGGTTCTGGGCGCAGGACATCGGCTGGGACTGCTGCCACGAGATCAGCAGCAAGGACGGCGAGGGCATCGACGAGGTGTTTCGGGTCATCACCCGCAAGCTGGTCGAGCAGCGCACCCGGAGAGAGCGGCAGGGCGAGGCGTCTGGGGGCAGTGCTGGCGGTGCTGCTGGTGCTGGCCGTGCTGGCCGTGCTGCTGCTGGTGCTGCTGGCTCCTCCGCCATCCACACGCCCGGAGGCAGCAACGGGAGCATCAGGGCCCGGTCGAGAGCCGGTCGCACCTCGGGGGACGCTGACAAGAGGCGCAGTTGGCTCAGTTTCCCGCCGGCCCTCATAGGCGATGCGGAAGACGAGCCTGAGCAGGACGCGGACGGCGGCCTCGACCTCACCGTCCAACGCAAGCGATGCTGTTGACTTCCCTCTCTTTTAATAGTTACTTACCTCTTCTCTTTTGCTTTATTCTTTCTTCTTCTTTTGGGTATGGAGTCTCAGACGGAGCACCACTGCATGGCGGATCAGGCACTCAATTTGAATACAGCGAACACTCGGGCATCTCAGGCGCATCTCTCTGTTTCTTTTGCTTCTCTGCTTCTCTGCTTCTCTGCTTCTCTGCTTCTCTTTCTCCTACCAGGATCCTGCATGTACCATGAGTTAGCCTATCTAGCTGCGACTAGTTATGGAGCTGAATGACAATCTCCTTCGTCACTGCATCCACAGCTACCAAATTTTGAACATCCAACACATCACACCATCCAAAACACAGCCCTACAACCAACAGTAACTACAGGCTGACAATCCACGATGAACGCGGAGATCGAGCTTCTGACGCAAGAACTGCCTCACGCATCACGCCATGAAGGAGTAAAGGAAGACAAAAAGGCCACCAGGATCGCTGCCGCCGCCTTCTGCTTCCTCGTCGCCGGCGTCAACGACGGCAGCCTCGGGGCCCTGGTCCCTTACCTGCTGCGCTCCTACGGCCTCTCCTCCTCCTCCGTCGGCCTCGTCTGGGGGCTCTCCTTCGTCGGATGGCTCCTCGCTGCCCTCACCGGCAGCTGGATGCGCTCCGCAACGGGGCTGGGGGGCGCTCTCGTCGCCGGCGCCGCGGCCCAGCTCGTGGCTCACCTCCTCCGCTTCTGGGTACTCCATCTATACCCTATACCAATATCATACCCTATGCCAAACTCATCCAGTATACACTGCTAATATTGGTAGACGCCCCCGTTTGGCCTGTTCGCAGTGACCTTCGTCTTCGCCGCCCTGGGCCAGGGATACCAGGACGCCCAGGCAAACGTCTTCGTGGCGGGCCTCGAGGGCGCGCATCGCTGGCTGGGGCTGATCCACGCCAGCTACAGCGCCGGATGTCTCGTCGGGCCTCTGCTGGCCGCTCTCGTGGCTACGCATACCGATGAGTGGATGTATTTCTACCTGGTGCCGGGAGGGCTCGGCCTGCTCAACTTGCTGCTTGTCTGGTGGGCGTTCAGGGAGCACATCTGCATCTCGATAGCATGGAGCAACACCAACTCTACCAACACCAACGATACCAATGCTGGCTCTACCTCTACGTGGACAGAGATGAAGCTCACGCTGCAGTGTAGGCCCGTCTGGCTGCTCAGCCTGTTCTACTTCTTCTATCTCGGCGTTGCCATCACCGTGGGCGGTACACCATCACCCACCTGAATAGCAAACTACTATTACCGAGTCTGACCTGCAACGATAGGATGGCTGGTCGAGTATCTCGTCCAGGAACGCAAGGGAGATCTCTCGCGTGTCGGATACGTGCCCACGGGATACTTCGGCGGCATCATGCTCGGCCGCCTCCTGCTGGCTGAGCCTGCCCATAGACTCGGCGAGAAGCCGGTGATTCTCGTCTGTTCGCTGTGCTGTTTGGCCCTGCAGATCGTCTTCTGGCGTGTCGATAATATCATTGCAGACAGCGTCGTTGTCAGCGTCTTCGGCTTCTTGTCAGGGCCGTTCTTTGCCTCGGTAACTACGTCTTGTCTTACTTGGCTTTCACCAATTATTGACCGCTTAATAGGGAATGTCGGTGGCTTCCAAGTTGATACCCACACACATCCATACAGCCGCCCTCGGTAAGCCACCGCTACCATAGCAGTTGTGCAATAAAATTACGTCTAACGTCAGCAGGACTCATCTTCGTCGTGGCCCAGGCCGGCGGAACAGTTTTCCCAGCCGTCACCGGCGCCATTGCCTCCAAGGCTGGTGCCAGTGTCCTGCAGCCCATCCTGGTCGGCCTCATCGCTCTCATGGGACTCAGCTGGGCCTTTGTTCCGAGCGTCGACAGGAAAAGGGATTAGAATATACCTTTTACATAGAGAAGAGTAATTGTAGAGTTACAGCAAAGATAAATAAAACACATGTAAATGCAAAAAACGTCTCGAAAAAAAAAAAAAAAAAATTGAAAAGAAAAATGAAAAGAAAAATGACAGCCGAAACATTTCTTTTTCTCCACCATGAACATACAGTGATATACAGTGATATATCTCTCCGTTGCGTATATCGACCTGCCGAATGATAGCTTTAACCTTCTGACCCCTACTTCTTTGCAGCTTTGGCTCGTTGCTCAGCCTGTTCCTGGAGAAACCGGTTATACTCTTCCTCTGCGGTGGCCTTCTCCAGCTGCTTCTTCATGATACTCCAGGTTGAGTTGTCCCGTGCATTTCGAATCCTTGCCATCTTCCTGTTGTATGCTTGAGTGCGCAGAGGCGTCTGGTTGAGGTGTGGGAATTTGTTTTCTTCAACAAGCAATCCAGCTTCTTGTTCCCTTCGCCGGTTGTTCTCCTGGTGCATCATCGTAGACGTTTTGAGTGTTCCATCGTTGAACAGATGTGCCGTAATGTTGCCGTGTGGAGTGCCGAGGAACTGGATAGTAACAGAGTTGCGTACTTCTTCCAGATCTGTAAAGGGACAGTGTTCTTTCGTGCCCCGAGGGAGCTTTATCCCTTTAAAGGGAAACGTGACCTGCATAGTAGTTAGTAACCGTTCCACTAATAGGAAAGGGTATCAGCTTACATGCGGATTTTTGCCTTCCACAATCGCCTTGATATGGGACTGGAATAAATTTGAACAGGCGTTGATCAACTCGAGAGGTAGTTGCTTCGCTCGTCCAGCCATCTTGAATAAGTTTTCGGGTTGAATTGATAGGTAGGCAGTGGGTATCCAAAAATTCAAGATGGGGAATGCAGCTGCGGGGAAGTTCGGGCGGTTGTATAATAGGACCGGTTCAAAAGTGCAAATGGTAGAGTTAGTTCGGGGGGATTTCTTAAGCTGTTCTGGGGGGGTATTGAGGATATCACCGCGGGGCAGGCACCCCTTTTTATAACCAACTTGGGCTCGGTGTAGTCTCTAAAGAGCATCATGGCTCAAATCCTTGGAATATCATGCCCCATCACTGTTGACATATACCTATAAATAAATCGGCGCTTAGATATAGGCCATTCAACACCAATGGTTCAACGGTGTACATCAGGTTCTGGGGCACTTCTGTTTCAGGAATCCATTATATACCATCCATACACGAACAAAGTGACATGGCACCTGTAGAAGTGGTATTCCATGAATCTTGTCGGAAATCTTTCCAGAGTAGGTTGTCAAAAGGGTTATCACGAGGATGGCGTAACGCCGGACCCAGAGTGCTGGGATATGCATGGCAGCACGCATGAATGAGGCCCCCTAAAACTGCCATGGCCCACGGCATTGACTCGACCTATGCTATGCTCGATATCGGGCATGACGGCCATCTGAGCTTTGTGCATCCATGGATATCAAATTGGTGGAGCTAAAAGAGCCACGCTGCACTAACCAGCAGCTTGAAGCGCGAAGCACTCTGAAAAGAACTCGCGCTTTTTGATCAAGGTTCCGGGAGTTCCGTTCCTGTTTTGTGGAGCATGCAACCCACCATTCTCCGCTAGCAAGCCATCAGCTAAATGTTTGAGGATGCATTGACAACGGATCTCTCCTATTATGGCTGTTCTGGAGCCGCCGGCCCCCAATTGGAGTGCCCCGTCCATTCATTACGCGTGCGGCGTAGCGGAGGTAAAAATGGCATGAAATGAGAATAAAAATAGCCGAAACCTTGGCGGCAACTAGCCTGAGCCTCAGCGCCAAGCCTGGATAATCGTTTACCACGTGATTAAAACTCAGTTCTAAGCGCCCTTGGCAGGCGGCAAGTGAAACTTTACTGCACTCCCCTTCGAGATGGAAAGATAAAGGAGTAAAGCAGCAGCAGGAGCAGCAGCAGGTAGTAGTAGTAGAAGAAGAAGAAGCAGAAACTGAGTAGCCATGGCCGCCAGCATGTTCATGAGACCACATCTCCGGTTTTCATCATTCTGCTCTGCTTCAACCATTCGCTGCTGTCCTAAATCTCCAATATCAACCTACCACCGCCGTTGGACTCACAAGATGGCGCAGCAGGAACTGGTCGAAGAGCAAGCTCTCTCATTCTATCGTCGCAAGAACTACTATCCCGTCAAGATCGGCGAAGTTTTCAACGGTCGATACCAAGTTATTGCAAAACTGGGCTACGGTGGATACTCGACTGTTTGGCTTGCGAGAGATAATAGGTATTTATGCATTTCCATAGCTAACGAATACTTCGTTATTGATTTTTTTTTCCCCTACTGACACTAAGTGTAGGACAAAAGAGTATAAAACACTCAAAATTACGGTGCAAACTGATAATGTCTTGCGGAACTCCACGCCCCCTGTGGTCAATGAAGTCAAGATGCTCAAACACCTGAAGTTAACTGCTGAAGAGAGGGAAGAGACCAACCACCCAGCATTGAAATTTCTACGCCTTGCCGACGAGATTCTAGAGCTTGATAACCCAGAAACTGGTGATCATCATTACTGCATTGTTTCGCGACCACAAGGGAACAGTATCCGCACCCTGCAGGACCAGTTCCCCGGTGGTATATTGCCTAGGATTATAGTGAAAACAATAGTCCACCAACTGATCATTGGGCTAAATTGGCTACATACGTGTGGTGGTGTTGTGCATACCGGTAACTTCTCAAGCTCAATTTCTCTTCCTGTTAATCGGGTATTGACTATGATAGATATACTGCCCCAGAACATCCTTATAAGCATTGACAATGACTCAATTGGCCTCAAAGAGGTTGAAGAACAAGAGACTAAGGATCCGAGCGTACCCATCATTACAAGGGACGGGAATGGAACTGAGTGCGGTATAGTCTACAGGTCTCGGTCTACTAGATTGGAATTGGCGGGTCACCCCGTCCTCACCGACTTCGGCCAGATGCGACTTCTGGATGATGGCGAGTTCAGCGACTGGTGGATGCCCGATCTTTACCGCGCCCCAGAGATTCTCTTGCAGCTCCCCTGGAGTTGCCCGGTTGATATGTGGTCTGTTGGCATCATGGTGAGTTTACATGGTCTTCAACATATGACGTTCAAGCTTAGAGTAGTCGAACTGACCGTGTTCACAAGATTCTCGAACTGATAGAAGGCCGAAATCTGTTTGACCCGATTGATCACGAGCATAGGCAGTATGTGTACCCGCTAGCAATGGCACAGTACATAGGCTACCTTGGTCCTCCTCCGCCACTACTGATGAGCAAAAGCCCGGTTGTATCCCAGTACTTTGATGATGATGGTATTCTCCCCTCCATGTTTTTACTGTTTTAATGGCCGGAGTAACTTACTGGGAAACAGGGAAGTATATAGGAGAGGCGCCGATACCAAAGACTAGTCTTGAAGATTTTGTCACAACCATTTCATGTGATAAGGAGAAAGAGATGTTCCTACGCTTTATTCGAAGGATGTTGACGTGGGATCCGGAGGAGAGAGCTACAACGAATGAAATTTTCACCGATCCATGGCTCATGCTGACCCCTGAAGAGATGCCTGGTGCGTTAGGGGTACTTGAGTCCTAGTCAATATTGTACAATATCGATGCTCCACTCTAGTAACTGCTTGTGTCTGTACAAACAAACAATTCTATATATAATTGTCGGAAGAGTTTTGAGTAGATTCACTGAGCCACAAGGGTATAAAGGCGGGCTTCTGAGTATAATCTCAAATCAATGTCTTATTCTTATCCAACCAGATGGCAGATATAGCTGTTGGACTTCTTCTATAGGCTCCATCCCTTCGAGCCCCTGACATGATTTTACAGCCTCCCTGCTCTTTCACCCATGTATGTTTTCGGGGTTGCACTCTCTACTAGGGAGATCTTTGTTCTTTCATCTCGACGCCCCCAGTCAGGGGCACATCTAGCATGCACGGTTCCTATGGAGCACAGCATCCACACAGGCAGGCGATCAGCCGAGCTTCTAGTCCTTTTACAACGCTTCTCCATCCAACGATTGGGCAGCTCATAGGCCAATCGCATGACCTGCTGTCATCGAACAAAGACCTGGCGCTGGTCGAGGATCCAACATATAGCTAGCAGTTCGCGGTATATAAGTATAAATGTCTCCATCGCCCCGGAGTTTTGACAAACCCCCCTGAATCTCCATATATCTAGACGACTCCAAGACTCAGATAACTACAGTAGCAACCGACCTGGGCCCTGTCTGCTGTCATCCATGCCATCGCAGAGATACTAGGCCGGCGAGATAACGACCATCGCTACCCGTCGCCTCTCATACGCTGCATCCTCGCATGCCTGGCGCCGCCATCCCGCATCTCGTATCCCCAGAGCCCAGAAGAGGCTTGCAGGCGCCGAGATGCCGCTCTGTACGCAATCCCTCATGCCTCTTTTTCTGGATTATTCCTCCCTTTCTGCTTCTTTTTCTTATCTTGTCTTGTTTGTCTTGTCTGCGTCCATGGCACTCTCTGCCTGTTCTCATCCGCTCTGTTCTTAACATACATATATCTATATAGGTCGCTGCCACCCAGCCGCCGCGCTGGCAGGGACTCGCAGCCATGTCGAGCATCATGTCCCAGCCTCAGATGGACGTCCGGTCCGTGGGCAGCTGTGTCGCCGCAGGTAATCATCGCCTCAGACCATATTTACGATCGGGCGACTGACTGACTCTCTTATTAGTTGTGGCCGCATATAATGACGCTGCGAAGCTGGTCAAACGTATCCAGTCGGCCGCCCCTACTACGGCTCCATCGCCAGTTGCTACGACTTCTCCAGATTCGCCGGCTATAGACGAGGCGAGCAATACCAGCGCTCTATCAGATCTAGGAGACTCGCTCATGCTGGGCCCGCCGATCGTACAGGGCCAGTATGAAGAGAATCTGATGCGACTGGGCAATGCATACGCCAACGGTGACCAGAACGCTCGTGAGACGCTCAAGGATGTGGTCATCAATCTACAACTGACGCTGCTGGCGACCCTGCGGATGGCGCTGCTGGATAACCTTGAGCTCGACTTTGCAGCCCTTCAGCGTGCTTCGGATGAAAGCAGAATCAGTGCGCTGGTCTGTCTCTTCCAGCTCGGCCAGCGTCTCAGCCTGGGGAGCCCATCTATGCTCCCGAAGGCTCCTCTGGCAACCAGCACATCGCCCACCAGACCTGCTGCGTTGAGCGATCCTGGAAGCAGCAGCAGTCCCTTTGCCGGGTCTTCTTCCCCCGCAGCGGCTACAGACCCCCGGAAACCACCCCCTATTCCTCCCATGTCACCCTCACGAGTGGCATCGAACTCGATATCGTCTGCAGATCTAGGCAACCGGGTTTCGCGAGAGAGCAACTACATCAACCATCGGCCACCCAGCAGCATCAACCCCGTCTCACCACCTCTCAAGCCACAGTCGAACTACCCTCCCCCTAAAGCCCCCTACGGGCCCAGTGCCGGTCATGGCCATGGTGTCAAGACACCGCCCACTCGCCTGGCCGAGTTGCAGGGCTCACAGCCCATGATCAGGGAGGAGTCAAATAGGTCCGCAAGCGTATACAGCGTGCTTTCATCCAACAACTCCAGCACCAAAGGTGTCGAGGCACCAATGGACCGGTACAGATCAAATCCCAGCAGCGGTGACCCTCATATAGAACCAGACCAAAGTGCTGTGGAACTAAGTGCTGGTATCTTCTCTCGCACCTCCTCCTCCAGATCAAGTTCCAATGACCCCAGAAAGGCTCCCCACCCGGGAACAGAAAAGGTCATTTCTCAGTTATCTTCCTCGCCGGGTACGAAATCCTTACCCATGTTCAAATGGAAACCCTTCGCCCGTTCGACAGGCAGCTCTTCAAGCAAGAACAACAGCGCAGACCAACCGATGCTCCCCCCACCAGACCTGTACCTCCCCACGGAAGAAAACAACTTCGCGGGATTCTGTAAGGGAGCCTGGCGGCTGCAGAACAGTATGAAGAACTCATTCCGTATCGACAACCGTCCTGTGGGAATGTACATGCTTCAAAGCTCATGGCACTGTTCAAAGTGTTCTTTTGAAGGAATTGTGCAAGAATCCAAATTCAGCGGGAAAGCTCCCGTTCTATCCTCCATGCTTGGCCCGGTCAAAACGTCTATCATTCAGGGCATGCGTGTCCTCCAGATGTTTGACCAGACGGTTCATCTGCATGGACCCAGCGGGAACAGGTACCGGTGGATCTTCCTAGCTAAATCTCACGTTGAGTGTAAGCCTCCCAAACCAACCGATAAGGTGGTATGTGGGTTCGGGTGCATATTCTGCAGTGTGCAGAACCATGGGCCCGCCCCGATATATGGCAACCTAGATACATTTATGGAACATCTGCGAGAACACGGAGGGAGAGGGTATGCTTGGGACAGAAAGAAACCGAGCCAGCCGCTCTTGGACTGGACGAGGTGCATCCTTGGACGTATTGCTGATGATTCTGAAGATTTCGACATTAATATACCCACCGTGGCAGAAGTGGGGGGTTAATATATATGATGACTTAGTTACGCTTGAAATGTCCTTAATGTTTTATGTTCCTTTTACCCGATGTCTTTATTTATACCATTGATGCGAGCGTTTTAAGCTGGGAAATTCCATTGTTGTCAACCCTCTGAGCGACTGTACATATATGCTGTTTAGTGAATCCAAGGAAACCATATGCCACTGACAGAGTATCTCAGCATACAAGTTCAATACTTGCTATTATTGTATTAGAATGAACGTCAACATTATGTAGATCATGACAGATGCAGCTGATACAGCCTATGCAAGCGGGGAGAGGACAGCAAGGAGCAAATATTAACAACCACCAGGGGAAAGGCAACCAGCAAAAGCCTTCCTGGAAGAACCTCGATCTTGAAAATAAACGAATGTACGATGAAAACCACACCGATGTAGCAAGTGCATTTACATAACAACACAGCAGCTGTTCTGCTTCTTGGCCTGGCCATAGAACATCTTGCTCTGTGCGCTTAGGCCGTCACTCTTTGCAACACTGATAAACCGTTAGACGAATGACCGCTCCAAAGTATTTACTGTCGGAAGGAGAAACTCACAGGCTGTCAATCTTCTCCCCTCTTTCCAAAACACTCTCAATAGTCTTATGCAAGACGATCTTAGTCTCATCAAGCTCCTTTTGAATCTTCATGATGCTATCTGCCTGGGTGGGGTCCTGGTATTTAACAATATACTCCTTCAACTCCGGGAAGTCAAGGGGACCGCCTATTTCCTTGCCAATAAAGGATGTCCGGGGGTGCTTGACGAGGAACTCATCGACAATCTTGGAAAGAAGCTGATGGGCGACGAGAGCAGGGTAGTCTGCGTCCGAAATGATGACGCCCGCTATGCCTTCGGACCGGCCGTAGACGTGGAATGTGTATGATTTCTCTTCGATATCCTGTCGCTGGCCGGGACGTGTGCGTTCGGCAACTGTCTTGCAGAAGAGGGTCATGAATTCACCGTAGCTGTAGGCCGGGATATCGTTAGCTGGGGCTGAAGACTGGAGGCGTAGTAGGGAGGGCGGCACACTTGTCCCTGGTGAAGCGGGAGAAGCTGCTAAGGTCCATTTCACGGCATAGCTCGACGGCAGGCCGGTCTTCGTTTCGCAGAATCTAGAAGACTCATCGTCAATATAACGTCTGGAAATCCGGGTTTGCTTCTCCCTCACATACTCCAATATAAAAGAGCTTCATGTTAACGGTGTAGTTGTTTGCAAGGGGTGCGGGCGCTTCGGTATGTGGCTATGACGGCGGTTTATGTAGCCAAAAGAACGAACGTGATATTATCGGCCGTTGAACAGTCCGTGGTCAAGATAGTCTCAAAAGAAAGATAAGGCCAAATCCGTTTAACTGCACTTGATCTCGAGTTGTTGGTGTTGTCTGTTGTTGTAGACACGGAGAGGCGTTCTTCAGGCTGTCGCATTTCCAGCAACGGCCCCGGATTATGTAAGCTGGGGCCGTGGGAGTCACAGATATACATTTCTTTTTTCGACTTCATCTCCTCGACTACATACATCGTCGTCGTTGCATCTTTGTTGGCATTGAAGAAGTCTTTCCCTCCCTATATACTGCTATAAGAATAGATAGATCGGTGTATTTGACTCTCGTTTATTGTTCACCATGTCGACCGATCTAACGCCAGAAGAAAGACAGTGGCTCGACCAGCTGACTGCCATGCGGCAGGAGATAGAGAAGCTGAATCTGCCAAACGAGCCTGAATCAGTTCTCTATGGCTCGGATCTGAATCTGAGCGATGACGACTTCTCCTCGCAGCTAGGGTCATCCGACGATATCTGGGACTTGATCAGTGACAGTGGTGAAAGCGACGAATTTGACGATATCAATGGAGTTGCTCTGCCTGTTGACTCATCCCACGGTGAGCAGAAGCAAGAACACGACCGCCGATGGCTCACAAAGAAGTGTGAATCCATTGCTCAACTCAAAGAAGGGCTCAGCGGACCGGATTTACAGCAGCAGGTAGAGGCTCTTCTTGCCTCTGATATGTCTTCAGATGAACTGCAGATTGCTTTGGCGGAAGTCGTTGGCTTTGATGAGCTAGATTTTGTCATCGAACTGCTATCTCATCGTCAGGAAGTTCTTTCAGGGCCTACTATACCAGATTCTCAGCCTATTTCGGCCATAGGGCGACTGCAAACCCGGGCAGAGAGGGAAGAGGCCCTCCGCCGACAGGACTATGAGCATAAGCATGCACAGCTTGCGGCAAAAGTTGACCGTGAGGGACCACAGTATCCCCATGTTTACAAAACGTACCAGGCTGGGAACACTCTGTCGGTAAATGGCCGAAAATATGGGCTTCCTGTTGGGACCATCCATAGAGAGGAGCCACTATATACTGAATACGCCGTACCTGCATCAAAAGTCGGAACTCTAGGAGCTGATCACAGGCTAGTCCCGATATCAGAGATGGATGCTCTCTGCCGGGGCACATTTCCTGGATATAAGTCCTTGAATCGCATGCAGAGTTTGCTCTACACTGTTGCATACAAAACCAATGAAAACATGCTTATATGCGCACCAACGGGAGCTGGTAAGACTGATGCCGCTATGCTCACCATCCTCAACGCCATAGCTCGGCACACTACTCCAAGTCCACTAGAAGACCCCGAAGCTACGGATTTTGTTGTGCAAGTCGAAGATTTCAAAATCGTCTATGTTGCTCCAATGAAAGCTCTCGCAGCCGAAGTCACGGAGAAACTCGGCAAGCGTTTGGCATGGCTCGGGATTCAAGTCAGAGAACTAACTGGAGATATGCAATTGACTAAGCAAGAGATTGTACAGACTCAAATTATCGTCACTACCCCTGAGAAGTGGGATGTTGTCACAAGAAAGAGTACTGGAGACACTGAACTAGTGCAGAAGGTTAAACTACTGATCATCGACGAAGTTCACATGTTGCATGATGAGCGTGGTGCTGTGATTGAATCTCTCGTAGCCCGAACTCAACGTCAAGTCGAAAGCACACAATCCTTGATTCGGATTGTTGGACTTTCTGCAACTCTCCCTAACTACCTTGATGTGGCAGACTTCCTCAAAGTCAACCGCATGGCCGGGCTCTTCTTTTTTGACGCTTCTTTCCGCCCAGTCCCGCTTGAACAGCATTTCATCGGAGTGAAGGGAGATGCTGGCTCCAAGAAATCCAGAGATAACCTAGACAAAGTCTCCTTCGAAAAAGTAAGGGAAATGCTTGAAGCGGGCCATCAAATCATGGTTTTCGTCCATTCCCGAAAGGACACAGTCAACACTGCTCGCCTTTATGCAAAAATGGCCATGGATGAGCAATGTAGTGATTTGTTCTCCCCTGTGGATCATGAAAAATACTCTCTGGCCTTGAAAGATTTAAAGGGGACTCGTGCTCGAGAGTTAAGGGATCTAGTACCCAAGGGAATGGGCACACATCATGCCGGTATGTCTAGATCGGATCGAAACTTGATGGAGCGCCTATTCTCTCAAGGTGTTATCAAAGTACTATGCTGTACAGCAACTTTAGCTTGGGGTGTAAACTTGCCAGCCGCAGCTGTTATTATCAAAGGAACCCAGATATACAGTGCCCAGGAAGGAAAATTCATTGACCTTGGAATTCTGGATGTCCTCCAAATATTTGGTCGAGCTGGTCGACCTCAATTCCAAGACACTGGTATCGGTTTCATATGTACCCCTCAGAGCAAGCTACAGCATTATATATCCGCCGTCACCTCTCAGGAGCCCATTGAGTCTAGGTTCTCCCGCAAGTTGGTAGACAACCTGAACGCTGAAATAGCGTTAGGTACCGTCACCTCTGTCACTGAAGGTGTTCAGTGGCTTGGATACTCTTATCTGTTTGTTCGAATGAGACGGAATCATTCTGCCTATGGTATAGAATGGAGTGAGATTCGTGATGATCCCCAACTAGTTCAGCGGCGTCGCGATCTTATTATAAAGGCCGCCAAGGTACTTCAAAAGAGTCAAATGATCATATTTAATGAAAATACCGGGGAATTACGTGCAAAAGATGTGGGACGAATTGCAAGCCAATACTACGTCCTTCAAACCAGCGTGGAAATCTTCAATTCCATGATGAACCCTAATGGTAGTGATGCTGATGTCATGAAGATGATTAGTATGAGTGGAGAATTCGACAACATTCAGTCAAGAGACAATGAATTCAAGGAGCTGGACAGGCTTCGTGAAGAAGGCCTGCGAACTGAGGTCGAAGGAGCCAATGATACTGCACACGCAAAGACCAATATCCTTCTTCAGTCTTATATCTCCAGAGCTAGAATTGAAGACTTTGCTCTTGTCTCGGATACCTCATATGTTGCTCAGAACTCTGCCAGAATTTGCCGGTCACTTTTTATGATTGCATTAAATCGACGATGGGGATACCAATGCCAGGTCCTGCTATCGACCTGTAAATCCATTGAAAAACAGATTTGGCCTTTCCAACATCCATTCCATCAATTTGATTTACCGCCAACCATCTTGAAAAATCTTGATGAAAAGTTCCCTGCCTCGTCCATTGAATCAATGAGAGAGATGGACACCGCGGAACTCGGCCAGCTCGTGCATAATACGCGCATGGGCGGGACTTTGAAAAAGTTACTTGACAACTTTCCAACGTTGAGTGTTGATGTTGAAATATCACCCCTTAACAGAGATGTGCTTCGTATTCGGCTCTATCTCTATGCGGACTTCCAATGGAACACCCGGCACCATGGCACATCAGAGCCATTCTGGATATGGGTAGAGAATTCAGAGACTGCAGAAATATACCACCACGAATACTTCATACTGAACCGTAGGAAGCTCCATGACAGCCAGGAATTGAACTTCACCATTCCATTGACAGACCCTCTACCATCCCAGATATACGTTAGAGTGATCTCAGATAGATGGCTTGGTGCTGAAACCGTTGCTCCAGTCTCATTCCAGCATCTCATTCGCCCGGATACAGTAAGCGAGTATACAGATCTCCTTGAATTGCAGCCTCTACCAATAACGGCACTGAAGAACCCTTCGCTTGAGCATGTATATGGGAAGAGATTTGACTACTTCAACCCAATGCAAACCCAACTTTTCCATACACTCTACCATACCGACATGAACGTCCTTTTAGGATCCCCAACTGGAAGTGGGAAAACTGTAGCTGCAGAGTTAGCTATGTGGCAGAACTTCAAGGATAAGCCTGGATCAAAAGTTGTCTATATTGCTCCCATGAAAGCGCTTGTGCGAGAACGTGTTCATGACTGGAGACATCGGCTTGCGACGCCCTTGGGCTTAAAGTTGGTGGAGTTAACTGGTGATAATACCCCTGACACAAGAACTATCAAAAATGCAGATATCATCATCACCACACCGGAGAAGTGGGACGGTATATCTCGAAGCTGGCAAACAAGAGGATACGTTCGCCAGGTTGGATTAGTTATTATTGACGAAATCCACCTTCTTGCGGGTGAACGTGGTCCCATCCTGGAAATCATCGTTTCAAGAATGAACTATATTGCATCTCAGTCCAAAGGTTCCGTTAGATTAATGGGCATGTCTACTGCTTGTGCTAATGCTCGCGACCTTGCGGACTGGCTGGGAGTGAAGAAGGGCCTATATAACTTTAGGCACTCCGTTCGTCCCGTGCCTCTAGAGATATTTATTGACGGTTTCCCAGAGCAAAGAGGCTTCTGCCCTTTGATGCAGTCGATGAACAGGCCAACTTTCCTTGCAATCAAGAATCACTCGCCTGATAAGCCCGTAATCGTATTTGTGGCATCTCGACGACAGACGCGCCTTACAGCAAAGGATCTAATCAATTACTGTGGAATGGAAGATGATCCTCGAAGGTTTGTTCACATGTCAGAAGAAGACCTGGAACTCAATATGTCTCGAGTTAAAGATGCAGCACTGAAAGAGGCTTTGAGCTTCGGAATTGGCCTCCACCATGCAGGTCTTGTTGAGTCGGATCGACAGTTAGCCGAAGAGCTCTTTGCTAACAACAAAATCCAAATACTAATTGCGACCAGTACCTTGGCCTGGGGTGTCAATTTACCAGCTCATCTAGTTGTGGTGAAAGGAACGCAATTCTTTGATGCGAAGGCCGAGGGGTATAAAGACATGGATCTTACCGATGTGCTCCAGATGCTTGGACGTGCGGGCCGTCCACAGTTCGACACTTCGGGTATTGCTCGTATTTTCACCCAAGATGCAAAGAAAGCATTCTATAAACATTTCCTTCATACCGGATTTCCCGTGGAATCAACGTTGCACAAAGTCCTAGATGACCATTTAGGAGCAGAGGTCAGCTCGGGCACGATCACAACAAAACAAGATGCGTTGGATTACTTGACCTGGACATTCTTTTTCCGAAGATTGCATAAGAATCCGTCATACTATGGGCTCGAGATATCCGCTGAAGAATACAATTCAGCTGCAGCCCGGGAGATCGTATCTGAGTTCATGGTTGAACTAGTTGACAAGTCACTTGGGGCACTTGCGGAATCCTCTTGTGTCTTGTTTGACACTGCTACTGGATTTGTCGACCCAACTCCTTATGGAAAGATAATGAGTTACTACTACATATCTCATAAGACCGTTAGATACTGGATGACACATGCTAAACCCGATCCCACGTTTGCTGATGCTTTGGGATGGATGTGTTCCGCGACGGAATTTGATGAGCTCCCAGTCCGGCACAACGAAGATCTGGTCAATGCGGAACTTGCAAAGAACCTACCGCTGCCTACTACAGCAATCAGTGACCATTTACCGCTTTGGGATCCTCATATCAAGGCGTTCTTGTTGATCCAAGCCTTCATGTCTCGGGTTGAACTTCCAATCTCAGATTACGTTGGTGACCAGACGTCAGTCCTCGACCAAGGCATCCGTGTTATTCAAGCCTGCATAGACGTGCTTGCAGAGCTAGGTTACCCTAAGGCTTGCTCGACGATGATGACGCTGCTTCAATGTATCAAATCAGCACGCTGGCCAACTGATCACCCGCTGTCAATATTGCCCGGCATTGAACCTGATAGCGTTGCTGATGGTAGCATCAATGCTAGCAAGCTTCCACTGTCGCTTACGAAATTGGTAGCTATGCCAAACCCCGCAATATCTCGTATGCTCGACGCCATCGGTCTTGACCAATCCCTTGCTTCACAGTTTTCAAAGACAGTACCCATGCTGCCGAATCTTGATGTGTCAATCGCAGATTTGACTCTTGACGGATTGACGGTTGTCTTGAGACGGAAATCCAAGGAATCGGACAACCAGAGACAACCACGTTCTCATGGAACAGATGGATTCAGAATCTATGCTCCGCAATTCCCCAAGCCACAGACTGAAGGATGGTTCGTTCTCGTGACGGCGGTCCAGGATCAGAGCAAAGGAAGAGAGGAGTTGTTGGCCCTGAAGCGTGTTTCGTTGTCACCGCCGGCTTCGGGAACCCGAGGAACTGGTCCCCGTGGCAAATTAAACGGAGATCTTCTACCAAGACAA